TTTATCTCCATGGTGTTCCTTTAGAATATGTCACTGAATACAAATATCTTGGTGTTATATTTGATAAAAAGTGTTCTTTTAAAGCATCCATTGCTAATCTATGTCAGCAGGCTACAAAATCCATGTATTTCGTACTTCGTAAAAGCCGAAGCCTTAATTTATCAATTCAATGCCAATTATATCTTTTTGACACAATGGTCAAACCAATCTTATTATATGATTGTGAATGATGGGGTTTTGTTAATCTAAAACAAATTGAAAATGTACATATTTGTTTCATGAGAAAATTATTACCTGTTAAAAAGAGTACCCCTTTGTGCATGCTTTACGGTGAACTAGGTAGAGTTCCGTTATCTGTTGATGTTAAAACCCGTATGTTAACCTTTCGGTCGAAATTACTTACAGATAAATCCAGCAAAATATCTTCAATCATTTACTCTATTGTATATAACATCCATAATACAGGTGTTTACAACTATGACTGGATTTCATGTATTCAAAATGTTCTAAACAATATTGGTTTAAGTTATGTATGGTTGTCACAGTCTCCTGTTTCATCTTCCTGGCTCAAAGCAACAGCTCACTCTATTTTAACTGATCATGCTAAACAAACCTGGAGCTCTGAGGTGGAAAATTAAAAAAAAAGTGTAGTCTATTCTCTCTTGAAACTACAATTTGAATTAGAAAATTATCTGACGTCCCTACCCCTAAATAAAGCTATCCCTCTACTTTTATTTCGTACTTCATGCCACCACTTACCAATTGAAAAAGGAAGATGGAATGGGATACCTATTTGTGAAAGATAATGTAAACTGTGTTTTATTGATGATATTGGAGATGAATTTCACTATATTTTTAAATGTCCATATTTTACTAAAGAAAGAATTTTGTATATCCCACCTACATATTCTAAAAGACCTAATATGATTAAATTTCAAAGGCTTTTCACTTGTAAAGAGATATCTGTATTAAAAAACCTTAGTAAATTCTGTAAATATGTAATGCAAATTGTAAAATCTTCCGGCTAACCACATATCCGCTATTATAATGCTGTCATCTTGTACCTCATATGCCGAGGATCTCGGCCTGAGCGTAATAAAGTTCTGTTCTGAGGATCTGTCTGTGTAAATGTGACACCAAATTGGCCAATTTTGCTGGTGTGGTGGTTTTAGCGATGTTAGGATCGGTCTGTTTATTTAGTGTATCGGCTAGTGCAAGTGGTATGGTTGACAAGTATATATACAAGTAGAAGGCAATGTTTATACAGAAGAGTAGATATGAGATGTAATTATACTGAAGTGGAGAAGCCTGTTACGTACACACAAGGGTAGTAATGACAACCATCGGTGGAGTCAGTGACATAAACAAAGAATGAAGCCAGTAATATAAACCACAGGATTATGGCTGATTGGGGTCTTTGATGAGTTGATGGTACGCCGGGGGTATGTAATAGCCTTGGTCACGGTTGATTGACCGTTGGAGTCTGTTGATGTTGATGGTTTCTTGTAGTTTTCTGATTTTGAAATCTTTGACTTTATCCCACTTAATGCTTTGACTTTATCCCACTTAATGCTGTGGCTTGGGTTTTCACGGATGTGGTCTGATAGAACTGATTTAGACTCATCTTTGGAGACTGAACTTTGATGTTCTTTAATTCGGGCTTTGAGGGGCCGAGATGTTTTTCCTATGTAAGCATGGAATGTGGTACACTTCTCCTGGTGGTTCCAGCTTGTGGCTGGATTTTATTGTGTTCTGAATGGTATGACTTATTTTGAAAACTACATCAATGTTGGCCTGTTTCTTTAAGAGTCTCCTGATTTTGTGCCTAACTGTTCCAAAGTAGGGGAGGCTGATCACAAAGGGTGCAGACTGTTGACGGGGAGATTTCTGAAATTTCTTGGTGAAGCTCTGTATCGTCTGTTGTACTTGTTGCTCAAGGTAGAGGTTATACTGTGGAAATACTTGTTTGAGGTGGCTTAGTTCAGTGGTTAGGTGCTGCTTCGTAGAACAGATGTTGTTGCTTCGTAGAACAGATGTTGTGAGCTGTCTCGCTTAAGTTGAAATAATTTGACGTCGCTCCTATTTGTAATAAAGAAGTTGTTCATCCATACATTATCATCTTTACTACATATTTGAGTCATAACAGTTGCAACAATTGCATTAAGCATGTTTTCAACTATCATGAACACAAACTCGCAAAAAGAAAGGTCCTAACAATAATATACTGTTTAGTTTCAACAAGATCAGTAATGGTACTCTTGTGTCACTAGATTTATCAGTTCATCGATCACTTGGTTGTCTGGTTTGTTTACAGGCTGACGTCGCATGGCAGGGGTACTGCTGTGTGGCGTCAGGAAATACAAACTATGCAATTTATATGAATGGCGGGTTCTACCGGTAGGTCAGGACATACTTACCCTTTTTGCGAACAGCTTGTGTCATCACTGATTTTCAGTGGCCCATTCACACAATTTCGACATCTATTTGCCCTTTACGCCAAATTGAATCTGTTTTGACAGAACATCTGTAATGTCTTTATGTACGCTCCAAGTTTGTTCCATCATTTTGAGAAAGTAAAGGCATTTATCTAGTTCAGAACTGCCTTAGCTCTCTTTGATCCAGACCTGGATACATGTGTTACAAGAGATGCCTCGGGATATGGTCTGGGTGCAGTTCTTTCTGAGAGAGAAAGCACTGGTGAAAGAACAGTTGCATTTGCATCTCGTACTGAGAAGCTGAGAGGAAATACTCAGTGGGAGAGAAAGAAGATTTAGCCTGTGTATGGGCATGTGAAAAGTAGACGAAAGTTCCAGTTGATCATAGATCATCAAGCACTAACTACACTCCTGACTACAGGGACAAGACATCAGCATATGCGCATTGCAAGATGGAATGCACGCCTTCTGAACTATGACTACACAATCGCCAGGCAAAGGAAACCATGTTGCAGACGCCTTGTCACATCTTCTAGTGCATGAAGAAATTTCTGAAGATCCGGTTGAGGAGGATATAATCAACATGATTATGTCCAATGTAGTTCCTTCAACCACAGCAAGTGAATTAAAGCAAGCAACAATTCAAGATCCAGTTCTGATTTAAATATCCCAATGTCTACGGTCTGAGTGGCCCAGAAAAGTCAAACTTGATGAACAAATGAAACCATTCTTTCAAGTCCGAGATGAACTTTCATGGTGCAACGGCTTAGTTTTCAGAGGAGTACAAGTACTAATTGCAGACGCACCCTCATTTTTGGGGGTCATGAAGTACACAAAGGCATTGTACGCACCAAAGCAAGACTACGTGATCTCTACTGGTGGCCAGGAAGAGATCGTCAAGTCGAAGAGAAGCTATGAAAATGTGAGATATGTAACGCCAGTGATAAATCTGCTCCAACAGCATTGCCTGAAGGACATCGTGGGACCAATTGAAAAAGCCCCTGCTGACTGTCGTTTTGCTATTACGTTGGTTGACTATTTCAGTAAGTGGCCAGAAGTAGTATTCTTGGCAAGTGTTACAACAGAAACTGTCATCAAATGTTTACATACAGTCTTAAGACGGGAAGGATACCCTCTTGAAATTGTGTCAGACAATGGCCCAAAATTTGTCTCCACTCAGTTTGAACAATTTCTGAATCTGCTCTGTACTACCCACAAGCGAAATGGTTTGTTGGGCGTTTCAACAGGAATCTGAAAAGCTGCATACAGCTTGCTAAAATCCGAAGTAAACCACTCAAGCTTTTAGTGACAGAATTTATCTGCATTTACCGCACAACTCCTCATGCAACTACTGAAGAATCACCTTCATTCCTGCTACATGGTCGGAAGATGAGAACAGGTCTTGACAAAGGCTCCTAACAAAAGTCCTGTCGTCAGGACGCGAGTCGCAGAAAAGCAGCTGTAGTACAAGGAGCTAACATATAACTTGAGAGGCGCAAAAACTCAAGATTTCTCAGTTGGTGATGAAGTAAGGATAAAGAAACCTGGTCATGTACCAAAAGGGGAAAACAGACAGTCAGGTCCTACAGTAATAACTGGGCAGAAAGAACCTGCCACATTCATCACTCAGAGTGAACAGGGAAGTCAGGTGTGGAATGCATCACGTCTGGCAAGTGTAAAGTCACGAGCTCAGGCACCAGAGTTACCTTCTGTGATAAAACATCAAATCAAGAACCAAGACGATCGACAAGAGAAATCAAATCTCCGGGATGGACCATATACTTTTGTCATGAACTGATAGGAACTGTCCCCATGAAAGTTATTGTGTGTTAACTTGTTTATGTTGAATTGAACTTAAAGTGATCAGTTTCAGGTTAATTGCAGTTTTGATATATCTTCCAACATGTGTTACAGTTCAGGGAGAGATATTTTAGAGTACAGTATTACTAGAGTAGAATCTATCATGGACTCTAAACACCAGTTTAAATTTTTCCTAGTACAGCTATGTAGTTCAGAATATTTTCATTGATAGTTATACGTGCATGTTTCCAGAGGATTGTATGTCGTTTAGAAGTTTGTGCTGTATTAGTTCAATGTGTAAGTAAGCCTTTTATTCCAAAGGGGAAACTATGTACACTCAATGTAGTGGTCTATAGGAGATAACTCCGGACGGCCTAATGTGTTCATGGTATAGTCTGGGGGAGATAACTCCAGACAGATTATGTTATAAAATGTACTCTTCAGTTAGGGCGTAAGAAAGGGGGGAGTTTCAATGTGTCTGCCTGCATGTATGCAATGTGCTCTGTGTGAATTAAAACCCTTATTCTACATTTCCTGAATCAATTATACAACAAAATCTAGGTGCGTTATTCTCTTCCATTGTCAATTGATGTTATATTGATGAGCCTACTCACTGACTCAGCACCATCTGGTAACTTTTTTTTTCTAATTCCACTGAATCACAAAATAGGTTACATTAAATCTTAAAATTATTTTTAGATTAACTTCCTAAGGATATTATTGCATGTTATGCCCTTGATGTTCCATTTTTATTTTCTTTCCCAGCTGGTGCTGACCTTGAGAATCCTGAAGACGTGCCTTTACTGCCAAGTAGGTAACCATAACAACAGGGTGATGTTGTAACAATGACGTTATATGTATTCTCACTTATTCCGTAACATTGTGAAAGGAAAACTAACATCAATAGAATTTGACTTGACTTTCACCTTGTCAATGCCTAATGAAAGCTTACCTTCAGCACTGCAGTTGTATTGAGAGTGAGTGCGTGGGTGTGGTTTTGTGACGCTTTTAGCAATATTCAAGCAATATCACGGCCGGGGACACCATAAATAGGCTTCATTGTATCCATGTCGGGAATCGAGGCCGGTTCTTCGGCGTGATGAGCGAACGACTTCACCACTAGGCTACCCCACCGCCCCCCAGTTGTAGAGACGTAGATGATGATGACGGTATATGTGTCATAAGTAATGTAGCAGCAGCTGGGGTTATACAAAACATCATGTTACTTCTGAACTCATGTGTACCACTAATGAGTTGGTGGTTGTTGATTCCCGCCTACATTCAAGGACATGGGCAGGATGACGCCAATTTATTAGTTAGGCATCAACCAGAAGTAAATGTGTACTGTGTTGAGGGTGCAACAAGCTCCCGATAAACTTGATCAATGTTGCTTGGGGTGGGTACATCTGAGTATGTGAGACTGAAGGAGCATACTAACTTGTAAAGTTGTTTGTGGTTTATTTGGTTCTTGGAGTTATTGCAGTGGACATGCATCTTTCTGAAGAGAAGGCATAATGATAAACCAAAAGTGCTAACACCTTTATCTTGAGGATGATATAGGAATTGAACTTTCGTTAATTACATTGCATTGGGCGAACACTTTCAAAGCTGAAAGGGATGTAATTAAGTTGTGAATCCTGAGAAATTTGGTATCATGTTTGCGGCATGGACATAATTACTGTACTGTACTGCAATGGACATGTACATATTCAAAGCAAAATAACGTTACAAAACCGGGAATGTTTATACCTTGTGTTTAGGGTGGCTTAGGGCATTTCATAACATTATGATATCGATGAGGTCATCTTCCTCCGCACTTGGTAAAGTGAAACGGTTCATGAGACATGGTTCTGTTGGGAATGTTTTGGGCAATTGAGGACAGTTCAATGGCAAAATGTACTTGAGTAAATCTGATCTTAAATTAGACAGACAGACAGAGTACAATCAGTATTCAAGGCCTCTGGCCAATAACACAAACTTATACACAATTCATTTCATGCTTTCAAAGCCAAATTTGTATCTAGGACAATCTAAATCGTTTGACGTTAAACTAATTTCGAGCCACAAGTTTTGGGGAACTGTTGATAAAAACAGAGCGTTCGTCAAACGTAAAAAAACATTCAAAAGCAAAAGCTTAGCATGGTCCTCACAGGGGGTCCAGTGTCATCACACTCAATTGTTAATGGAAAGTTGTAAAATGTCATACTTTAAATACTTATTTGATAATACAGTGGGAGTTCAGATAAGTATCTCTCTTTACCCTGGGGGGCAGGGGTGGCCCAGTCGTCTAAGACGCCGCGATTCGCTGTGCAGAGTTGCGTCCCTTGGGCAAGCCAGAAACCTATGATTGCGGGTTCGAATCCCGGTTCACCTCAGTTATGTTTCTAGGTTTGTCAGTACCATACCCGTGTTAGTGGGTTTCACCGAAGTGGTAAACGCCTGAGGCCTACATCACTTCGGGCTTTCCGCCCACATTAAGCTGACACGCCGCGATATGACTGGAATATTGTTAAAAGCGGCGTTAAACCCAACTCACTCACTCACTCACTCTTTACACTGAGTGAGGACTTGTATTGCGAGTAGTATTGACATTTATCAAGTGTTCAGGGATAGATGGCACATTTGGGCGAGACTGTCATATGTACTCTTTGTTAGAAATACTAAAAAAATATTTCATATCACCAATCTCTTGACCTATTTATTTGACATATCATGCTTAAATGCCCACAAAAAAAGTAAACCTTTCATCACTGGTTATATGTCCAAGGTTTTGATTCAATCAATTGATTGATGATAATGCTTTGGTAGCCTGTTCTGCTAAACATAATTGTATATTTTGACCATGAGAGTTTGGGAGTGAAGCAAAGTGCTAAGATATGTATAGTTATTCACAGTTTCTATCTGTTCCCCTTTAAAATATAATTTATCATAATGTCTAAGTGGTCCGCCCCTTCTTGTTTTAAGATCGATATTCATTCCTGTAGCATTACATAATTCTTCAACACTAGTTATTTCCTTCTGAAGGTTTTGTTCAATAAAGTGTTATATACACATGTAACTAATTCGCTAAAACCCGAATAATTATATTACCATGTTGATATACTTATGTTGTGCAGTAGGCCGTGGTGTGGCGTATCCTGAATGTGTTGTTTTACATTTATTCTTGTAGCCATTGAAATCTGAATTCCAACGGTACTATATAAAACATTGAATCAAAATTGTGATAAAATCAATGTACCGTTTCAGATGAGATTTGACATGAATCATGTTCTAATTGGTTTTTCTTCAGGATATAATGTGCTTTCCCACATCAATAATCAAAAGAAAGATGAGTATGCAGGTGTCATGGAGAGAGGTAGGTTTCACACACACATAGACACAGACACAGACACAGACACAGACACAGACACAGACACACACACACACACACACACGTACAGGTAGGCTTCATATTCGACGGGCGTTCAATTAGTTTTGCAACTTCAATATAAGACAAAGTCGCAAAATATATTTTGCACTTTTATTGTTCAATATAATCTCCATTCACCTCAATACACTTATTCCATTTGTCCTTCAAGCTTTTAATACCAATTTTATAGAAATCCGCAGATAGGCCCTCTAACCTCGCCTCTGTGGCAGCCTTTATGCCTTCGTGATTCTGGAACAGTCTTCCACGTAGGGCAGATTTAATTTGCCGGAACAGAGAATAGTCACTGGGGCCTGAATCTGGGCTGTAGGATTGGGTGATTTAACTGTTCGAATCCACATTCACATATGGCGGCCTGTGTAATTCTCGACTTGTGAACCGGAGCATATAAGGAACTTTATTACAGCGCGTTGTTCTGGTTTGAGAGAATCCATGATTGCGACCATCCTTAGGGGAATGAAGCCATCACATCTAACTTATTGTTGTGTCCGGAACTTGTTAGTGTCACACCTGCCAATAGTTGACATTCTTTGCGTAAATACAAATGGCCAAGTTGCAAAACTTATTGAACTTATTGAACGCCCCTCGTGGAAATCAGTGACAACGCAAGGTGTTCGGGAAGATCGTGAGCACGTCCTGCCCTACCGATAGTACCCTCCAATTCACACAATTTGTGTAAAAATGTTGGTATTTATTGCGTGACCCCGCACAACATTACTCCTGTCATGGACGGCCAAAAAGAGCCCAAAAACAAGGTGTGTCTCCCTTAACGCTCACATCAACAGATACTCAGAAAGATTGGGAATTTGATTTATTAAATAGTCAGTGTTGGTTCTTTAAAATGAATACAGCTGACGCTATGTAGAGTAAATTGTTAAACTAATGACGAAACAAATTAGTGCAAACTTGTGTCTACCTTTAAGTAGGTAAAGCGATGTATATGTATATGAGTATTGGTATTTATTGTGAATGTTACCACTGTCATTGTAATGTGCTAACCTGACGCTATGACAGTGTTTGTGCAAGATACGCCTTGAAATATATGTGTTGTAATATAAACGATATCTAACGGGTACAAATTTAGTAATTTAATTGTAACTCTCTTAAACTTTACATATTCTAAAAATGTCACGTTGAAAAAAAGACGTTGTTGTTAAAGACTGGTGTATGATTACAGCATTCGCAGCTGATGATTCGAGCATAGAATGTTCTTTCAAGGTGCACCCTGGAAATAAAGTGCGCAGATTTCTCCAAGATTGATTATAAGAAATATTCGATGCCGATTCTAAATTCGTGTCCGTAATAGTTAGCATTTAAATACACAGACATCACCGAGTTACATTTGTATCTAACGGAAATTCAGCTTCAAATTCTGTTCAGTGAAGGTTAGCCGTGAAGGAAACCCGCGAGACGATTTACTGACTTCACAAATGGCAAAGTTGAAAATTTATTGAACTTATTGAACGCCCCTCGTGGAAATAAGTGATAACACAATGTGTTTGGGAAGATTGGAAGCACGTCCTTGCCATACCGATAGTATCATCCAATTCACACAATTTGCGTAAAAAGGTTGGTATTTATTGCGTGACGCCGCAAAGCATTACTCCTGCCATGGACGGCCAAAAGGGACCTCAAAACAAGTTGCGTCTCCCTCAGCGCTCACATCGACAGATACTCAGAGGATATATTGAATAGTCAGGTTTTGTTCTTTCAAATGAATACAGCTGACGCTATGTAGAGTAAATCGTAAAGCTAATGACGAAACTAATAAGTGCAACCTTGTGTCTACCTTTAAGGAGGTAAAGCAATGTATATGATTAATATTTGTATTTATTGTGACTGTTACCAGTGTCATTGCAACGCGCTAACGTGACGCAGTGACAGTGTTTGTGCAAGAAATGTATGTGTTGTAATATAAACGCTATCTAACGGGTACGAATGTAGTAATTTATTTGTAACTCACTTAAACTTTACATATTCTCTAAGTTTTATGTTGAAAAACGACGTCGTTGTTAAAAAGTGGCGTATGATTACAACATTCGTAGCTGATGATTCCAGCGTAGTTTGTTCTTTCAAAGTGCCCCCTGGAAATAAAGTGCGCAGCTTCCTCAAAGATTGATGAGACGAAATAGTTGATGCCGATTCTAAATTCGTGTCGAAATAGCATTTAAATACACAGACATCACCGAATAACATTTGTATCTAACGGAAATTCAGCTTCAAAGTAGGTTTAGTAAAGATGAGCCGTGAAGGAAGCTCGCGAGACGATTTAGTCACTTCATGTTGACTGTGTGATTTCATGCGAACCAGCATGTTGTTTATCTGTTATAGAATTGGTGGTAATTACTGTTAGGCTACACCATCTCTTCAATGTCGGAGCACGAATGATTCACGACGAAAAATTGCAACGGTTGACATGAGGACGACATGACTAACGACTGTCCACTTGGTCCAAGGGCGCTACTCGCGTTTACGGCACTAAGTTCATGGTCGTAATTAGACGCGGCGATCTCTGTTAGTCTGTTGTGACGATTTTTTGACATAATGTTTTGTTTATTACTGAGGCTCTGAATGATTCCACAACACTCACACTACGACAAAAATGCAAAGTGAAAGTCAGTACACTATCTTTATTTCAAACCTATTTGTTCGCGAGTTCTGCTATAGGCAACTGCAAAGAACCACGGACCTAAATTATTCAAGTAAAATATGTCAATAATACAGTTTCGAGATGCGTACATAGTGTTTCTATGCATCTCTGGTGTTTTGTGAAAAACACAAGTGTCGACCGGGAGTAGATTATTCGCCTAGGGGTTGAGTGGACCTTGCTGATTATGATCACTTTGTCTATCTGTAATGTTCTCTGAATGTCTCCATGTTGTCTTCCAGGTGTGCTGGAGTGGGAGATCAAGAAGACAGAAGAATTATTTGAAGAGACTGCTATCTACAATAAGGTCAAGGAACGTTTAGATAAATTTAGACATGTGACCATATCTGGTGCTTCAGGGGAAGGAAAGACGTCAATAGCGCTGATGTTGGGATCAGAATACCTGAAGAAAGGATATGAACTATATTTTGTCAACAACATTTCAGAATTCAAATTATGTAGTGAAAGACTAGGTAAAAATCTGTGTTTTGTATTTGATGACATATTTGGAACAGTTGGAATATCAACCGATTCACCTCACCTCAAACGGATTTTAGATATTCTCAACACTTGGCTGGAGCAGGTGGCATCTAACTTTTCTAAACCGTTCCAATCTAATGGGAAACTTAACTCGCATTCAACTCATAGAGAGAACTACATGGGAAACGTTCATGTCATATTTACCACAAAATCATACAATCTTGAGCTGGGAAAATTACACTTCGGAGAAAATGAGTATGTGTTTTTCAAAGGAGATTCGGTAATTGATCTTACGCAGACTGAGTGTCGCTACACAGTAGACGAAAAGAAACAAATGTTTAAAAAACATAAAAACTATAACGGTAACAGTAGTTATTTTGATTTAGACAAAATATGTGGCATTAAGGATCAACTGTTTGGCTTCCCGCTCACATGCAAACTGTTCTTCAGTTTTCCCAAATCACATGATCAATATGAAGATTTTTTTAAGACGCCTTTAACCTATCTCAGGGCAGAACTGGAGTCTCTGCTAAAAAAAAGGAATAACAAGTCGGCAGCACTGATCCTGATGTTGCTTTGTGAAGGTAACCTGAACCTTTGCCAATTGGAATCAGGCAGCCAAGCTCTGGAGAAACATCTCTCCACAGTTTCAAGTGTAGTTGGTGGTGTTGACCGTGCAAAGGTTATCAGTTGTGTAAAGGGATTTTTCGGTACATTTTTTACCAAAGCAGACAATACCAGTTTTTCACACCCAGCAATCTATGATGCCTGTGCCTTTGTCTATTGCAAAATCAATCCTGCTTTTGTATTACAACACTGCAGCATACACTTCCTATATGAACGTGTTCAGGCCCAAACAGTACCTGCATGTGAGACTGATGAGGATAGGCATGTCATCTATGTATCAGATGCCTACAATGACATCATTGCTTCAAGATTGGCAGGGGCTGTGAGAGAGGGGATCTATCGGTTGTCTATCATGCATCCTATTTTGGAAAGACATGATATAGTGGATAAGGTCCTTGCTGAACTCAAACCCTACCTGACTGACACATCAGTGACAGATGAACATGGTAACAACGTATTTCATTATGCCTGCTACACGGGAAATATATACCTTGTACGCCAACTCCTTCCTTTTTGTGACATCAACAGTAAAGGAGCAGATGGTTTGACGCCAATAATGCTAGCTGCGAAGCTGGAGCTAGAGGATGTGTTTCAACTTCTTGTGTCAAAGGGAGCTGACATCACACTGACCGATAAGGACAATAACAGCTGCCTTCACCTGGCATGTTGGGGGGGACATAAACCATTAGTAGAATATCTACTGCCAATGTGTGACATAAACGTAAGAGGACATATTGGACGGACACCTCTAATGACTGCAGCTTTGGGTGGAAAGAAAGATGTGTTTGACTTTCTTGTGTCAAAGGGAGCTGACATCACACTTACTGATGACGACAATGACAGCATTCTTCATCTGGCATGCGAAGGTGGCAAAAAGGCCTTAGTAGAATATCTACTGCCAAAGACTGACATAGACATAAGAGGATATATGGGATGGACACCACTAATGACTGCAGCTTGGTGTGGACTGAAAGATGTGTTTGACGTCCTTGTGTCAAAGGGAGCTGATATCACACTGACTGATGATGACAATGACAACATTCTTAATCTTGCATGTCGGGGAGGAAATAAGGCGTTGTTAGAATATGTACTGCAAAAGATTCACATAAACATAAGAGGATATATGGGATGGACACCGTTAATGACTGCAGCTTGGAGTGGAAAGAAAGATGTATTTGACTTCCTTGTGTCAAAGGGAGCTGAAATGACACTGACTGATGACGACAATGACAACATTCTTCATCTTGCATGCTGGGGAGGAAATAAAGCGTTAGTAGAATATCTGCTGCAAAAGACTGACATAAACATCAGAGGAAATATTGGACGGACACCACTAATGAATGCAGCTTGGAGAGGAAAGAAAGATGTGTTTGACTTCCTTGTGTCAAAGGGAGCTGACATCACACTGACTGATGACGACAATGACAACATTCTTCATCTTGCATGTCGGGGAGGAAATAAGCCATTAGTAGAATATCTGCTGCCAAAGACTGACATAAACATAAGAGGAAATATTGGACGGACACCACTAATGAATGCAGCTTGGAGAGGAAAGAAAGATGTGTTTGACTTCCTTGTGTCAAAGGGAGCTGACATCACACTGACTGATGATGACAATGACAACATTCTTCATCTTGCATGTCGGGGAGGAAATAAGCCTTTAGTAGAATATATACTGCCAAAGACTGACATAAACATAAGAGGAAATATTGGACGGACACCACTAATGAATGCAGCTTGGATTGGAAATAAAGCTGTGTTTGACTTACTTGTGTCAAAGGGAGCTGACATCACACAGACTGATGACGACAATGACAACATTCTTCATCTTGCAAGTCGGGGAGGAAATAAGTCATTAGTAGAATATCTGCTGCCAAAGACCGACATAAACATAAGAGGAAATATTGGACGGACACCACTAATGAATGCAGCTTGGAGAGGAAAGAAAGATGTGTTTGACTTCCTTGTGTCAAAGGGAGCTGACATCACACTGACTGATGATGACAATGACAACATTCTTCATCTTGCATGTCGGGGAGGAAATAAGCCGTTAGTAGAATATATACTGCCAAAGACTGACATAAACATAAGAGGAAATATTGGACGGACACCACTAATGAATGCAGCCTGGAGAGGAAAGAGAGAAGTGTTTGACTTCCTTATGTCAAAGGGAGCTGACATCACACTGATTGATGACGACAAAGACGACATTCTTCATCTGACCTGCGAAGGTGGAAATAAGGCCTTAGTACAAGATCTTCTGCCAAAGATGGACATCAACTGTCACGGGAAGAGAGGGTGGACATCAGTAATGAAAGGAGCTTACAGTGGGAAAAAGGATACATTTGAACTACTTCTCTCCAAGGGAGCTAACCCATCACTCACTGGTGATGACAATGATACTTTACTCCATGCAGCCAGTAGAGGTGGAAACATTGACATTGTTAGACATGTTATCGGCGACTTTGACATCAACACACGAGGTTGGAATGGTCACACGCCACTGATGCTAGCTGTGTGTGGAGGTCACAAAGATGTAGTTGACTTCCTAGTTGATTATGGTGCTGACGTCCACATGGTGGACAATGATGGAGATAGTCTCCTCCATTTGGCTTGTGAGAAAGGAAACTTGAAGATGGTGAAGCATGTTGTGTCATATTCTAATATTAACCTGAGAGATAACTTTGGTTGGACACCGTTGGCAATGGCAGCTGTCGAGGGGAAATTTGCTGCTTTTAAATATCTTAAAGGCCTAGGAGCAGATGTGACACTGGCAGACAGGGCAGGAGATGATGTGTATACTCTGGCCCTCAAGGGAGGATGCAGGGGAATCATCAAGGAGTTAGGACGAGAGGAACATTCAGGGAAAAGCATCACACCATGAAATAAACTGATGAAGTCACTTGTGGAATCTAGAATGGTCCACCTGAAGAAATATTCACAACAAAGTCCTGACCTTGTTCAGACAGACCAATTTGGAGATAGCTTACTACATCTGGCCTGTCGAGGAGCGAAGAGTCAGTGTGTGGAGTATCTGCTCCCATCCTATGACATCAATGTCCGAGGTCGGTATGACTGGACACCCGTGATGATGGAGGCTGTGTGAGGATGTCTTCCAGCTACTGGTCTCTCACAAGGCAGATCTCTCTCTGCTCTCAAACACAAAAGAAGGTATCACCACCCTGGCTCGTCGGGGCAACAACGACGACATTGTCCAGTACTTATTGGAGAAGTCTTGAAATAACGCGATGAAGCTTATTTGCAAGTAGTTGTGCCCTCGACTCTCATTCCTAGATAATACTTATTTCATTAATATAATGGGTATTATGTTATGAACGTTGTCCCGAGTGAATCAACAGTTTCACAGAGTTATATTTACCCTTAACAGTCATTCATAGACGATATGTAAGAGTTGTCACCTACATGTATGTGTACTAACGGGGAAAAGTAACTGTGCTTCATGTAAAGTGGTGTAAATGTTATGCTATTGAAAATAACAGCACACTATTTAGTCACCCGTCTGATTAATGTTTTATCACGAAAAAATAATTGACAAAACCCATACCTAGTAACACGAGACAGAGCGACACGCCCTAAAAAATCCACATAAATATCATTTGCGTTAATGGAGAGGAGGCAAAGCGTTAAAGACACCCGATGATTTAAAACAACCTGGGGAATGCTGTCTTAAATGTCAACCAAAGATTGGCCCAACTAAGCTGGGCACAGTGTTGCAGAGGTCTGCACCAACAGACAGCCATGACATTGTCATTGGTATACCGTCTCAAAAAGTATGTTACAACACGTGTGTGGAACGGCACACACGGTACGTGGACGTGTGTACCTGTATTTGCACAAGGGGTAGAGCATAATGTAGTCGTTCCGGTAGCGTACGCTGTTCCAATTGCCAGTCAAACTGATGAGTTGCGTTCTCCCATGAGTTGTGAGGCATCGACATCCCATAACACTTCCACTCCTAAGCTAATGACATTGAGCAATGCAAGCGTCGCTAACACGTTCATCTGGACGCATGTAGACCTGTGTACGACCATCAGACCTGTCAAGATCAAAACCTGGACTCTGTGAACATTCCGTTCTTCTAAATCTCAGGGGGCGGTCGGGTAGCCTAGTGGTTAAAGCGTTCGCTCGTCATGCTTAAGACCCGGGATCGATTCCCGACATGGGTACAATGTGTGAAACCCATTTCTGGTGTCCCCCGCCGTGATATTGCTGGAATATTGGTAAAAGCGGCGTAAAACCAAACTCACTCATTACTCTAAATCTCAGATGCTGTCTACACCAAGTTCGAAAGCAAAATTTGGCATATCGCTGGAACGTCGGGAGCGGATGTTGTGCTCCCTCAACCGGTTGGGAACGGTTTGAGCTGTTAATCTGGCAGTTTGGAATCGATTACGTAGATGCACCAACCGAATACGTCTGCCTTGCTGACGTGAGGTCACACGTGAACGGCCTTCATTTACGGATATCAAAAGTATTTCATGAGCACAAGATAGCATTGTGTGCTGTTCACATTTGAAAACAACAACAGTGAAGCCTATTTCTGATGTCCCCCGCCGTGATATTGCTGGAATATTACTGTAATTGGCGTAAAACCATACACACTCACTCACTCACTGATCAAAAACACTAACTTGTGTATCACTCCCCGGCCCAACAAACACGAAAACATTCCAAGTGTGTGCACGTGTAAACTGTGCATTATTTAATTTAGAATAAATATATATTTATTTAACTTTATGTGAAGCACAGTCACTTCTTTTCCGTTGGTATATTTGTTTTGCCACAATAATTGCTTTGTGTACTTTGTGGAATATATTTCAAAGACAATATCAGCATAAAGTAGCTGCAAAGCAATTATATTCATAAATGAATAGCAAGTTCTGCTGTGTACATAACTGTTTGAGATAGTTAATAACATGGAAGGTCGTCCTACATGTAATTGCCAAGACTGTAAATGACAAGTGATGCATCGCAGAAACAAGTGTCTCATGCTGTGTACACCGCATGCGCTAGAACAATTACAGGCCGAACACTGAACACTGGATACCATCGTAGATTTTAACAAGGACCACTCTTGTGACAATCGGAAGTTAAATGCTTCTGGATGTATAAGTTGTGTTATTGTCATGCCCTCTATAGTTTTGAAGTAGTAGTTGAATTGAATTACGCTACATATTGTACATGTATTGTACATATGTACATGTGGATTGTACATAATGTACATAGTTTGAACACTTTCTAGAAGTCTGTGTTTGTGTCCGAGGTCGATGTGACTGGACACCGGTGATGATGGCGGCTGTGTGTAGCCGTGATGATGTCTTCCAGCTATGTGTTGAGTATCTGCTCCCATCCTTTGCATCAACGTCCGAGGTCGGTGTGACTGGACACCAGTGATGATGGCGGCCCGTGTGGGGCCATGACGATAAGTGTTGATAAAATAACGGAACTAGAACCTGATTTTCATTTTTTTATATTGGGATGCATACCAATATGGATTGTGCACGGGTTCCGGTGTGAGAAGCATTACATATGTTTAATATGTTTGAAACAAAACATGCGAATATACTTCCCGTGTGACTTGTCATAAGGGCTGGACACCAGCGATGAATGCAGCAGTGATAAGGCTGTATTTTTGTAAATGAGCAGTTATGTAAAAACGATAGTCTATGATTAGTTACGTATATAGCCATTATATGTATGCAACACCGGAAAAAAATGTTAAACGTTGTATTGTTTGTTGTGCTGTAAAAAATAATGTATAAGTCTAAATATTGTATATACTTTGAAGCTTAATCTGAATTGCAATGACACATAATATAACAAAAGCATTACACTGACAAATGTATAACAGAAGCAGCTGTATCACAATGTGTGAAATACAGCTTCCGTGGAAGAATCCATGTTCAAGGTACCAGGGCCACCACCAGACAGTTTACTCCTTCTTGATGGTGAATACCCAGCATTGTGTACACCCACGAAACAAACAGTAGTACCTGATACATTATAGGGGCTTCCTAACATAATATATACTATACTTCATATTTACTTTAGATGATTTTGTCATATGCTGTATACACAATGTTACTGAATTGTTGCCACTGGACAATTGTATTTATCCTTTCACTCTATGTTCTACCCATGCTTCCAAAAACACACAGGATGATACTTGTAAATGGATAGTTAGCTATGCAATGTAAATAATCTTTATTTGGCGTCTTTATGACATGGCGTTAATTGCCCAGCACTCTCACACAACCATGTGATGTATACCAGAAGCAGGTGTATCAGATTCCGTTATTCTGAAAAAAAAAGCTTCTGTGCTGAGAATCAAATATAAGTACCAAGCCGTGTATAGAAACGTTCTGTGCCTAACATAATGTGTAATCGTGTATTAGCTTTGTACATCAAATTTGATTTGTATGCATGTTTTGGCAATGAAAATATCATGTCAATGTTGTCATAAATTAAAATGTTTCTCCTAGGGGTTAGATAGCCTTGCAGGGTTATTGACCCCGTATCGGTGCATAACAAGGACGTGCTTCTTGTGATTAATTGACAGTTTAAGAATTGCAGGTTGTATTACATTTTATTTTATTTTTATGGTGCTTTATCATCAATGATTTTAAATATTCCCGACTTTTAATATTTAGATTTGGTCATAGACACATAACTACTCAATTTCGTCCCATTTGTTCATTGTTTTAAGTTTTTGGACATATAACAAGAAATGATATTACTTATTAACTCCAATGTTATTAACAAAATCAACAAATAAAAATAGTAGAAAGCAACTCTGTTCCATATATAAGCATTCAACATCGCGCAAGGAGCTGCGATGAAACAAACAAATTGTCTATGCCATATTGTGTTATTGTAGTTTAGGTATACTTTGTAATTAAATCAGGTGTTTATCTTGTGTGATAAGTGTGCAGGGTAAGTAAGTCTAAGTGTGTGCATACCAAGGTGACATGACGTTAGATAAGTGTGCAGGGGAACTAACTCTAAGTGTGTGCATAACAAGGTAACAGAACCAACGCTTGGAGAGGAAAGAAAGATGTGTTTGACTTCCTTGTGTCAAAGGGAGCTGACATCACACTGACTGATGACGACAATGACAACATTCTTCATCTTGCATGTCGGGGAGGAAATAAGCCATTAGTAGAATATCTGCTGCCAAAGACTGACATAAACATAAGAGGAAATATTGGACGGACACCACTAATGAATGCAGCTTGGAGAGGAAAGAAAGATGTGTTTGACTTCCTTGTGTCAAAGGGAGCTGACATCACACTGACTGATGACGACAATGACAACATTCTTCATCTTGCATGTCGGGGAGGAAATAAGCCATTAGTAGAATATCTGCTGCCAAAGACTGACATAAACATAAGAGGAAATATTGGACGGACACCACTAATGAATGCAGCTTGGATTGGAAATAAAGCTGTGTTTGACTTACTTGTGTCAAAGCGAGCTGACATCACACAGACTGATGACGACAATGACAACATTCTTCATCTTGCATGTCGGGGAGGAAATAAGTCATTAGTAGAATACCTGCTGCCAAAGACCGACATAAACATAAGAGGAAATATTGGACGGACACCACTAATGAATGCAGCTTGGAGAGGAAAGAAAGATGTGTTTGACTTCCTTTTGTCAAAGGGAGCTGACATCACACTGACTGATGATGACAATGACAACATTCTTCATCTTGCATGTCGGGGAGGAAATAAGCCGTTAGTAGAATATATACTGCCAAAGACTGACATAAACATAAGAGGAAATATTGGACGGACACCACTAATGAATGCAGCCTGGAGAGGAAAGAGAGAAGTGTTTGACTTCCTTATGTCAAAGGGAGCTGACATCACACTGATTGATGACGACAAAGACGACATTCTTCATCTGTCCTGCGAAGGTGGAAATAAGGCCTTAGTACAAGATCTTCTGCCAAAGATGGACATCAACTGTCACGGGAAGAGAGGGTGGACATCAGTAATGAAAGGAGCTTACAGTGGGAAAAAGGATACATTTGAACTACTTCTCTCCAAGGGAGCTAACCCATCACTCACTGGTGATGACAACGATACTTTACTCCATGCAGCCAGTAGAGGTGGAAACATTGACATTGTTAGACATGTTATCGGCGACTTTGACATCAACACACGAGGTTGGAATGGTCACACGCCACTGATGCTAGCTGTGTGTGGAGGTCACAAAGATGTAGTTGACTTCCTAGTTGATTATGGTGCTGACGTCCACATGGTGGACAATGATGGAGATAGTCTCCTCCATTTGGCTTGTGAGAAAGGAAACTTGAAGATGGTGAAGCATGTTGTGTCATATTCTAATATTAACCTGAGAGATAACTTTGGTTGGACACCGTTGGCAATGGCAGCTGTCGAGGGGAAATTTGCTGCTTTTAAATATCTTAAAGGCCTAGGAGCAGATGTGACACTGGCAGACAGGGCAGGAGATGATGTGTATACTCTGGCCCTCAAGGGAGGATGCAGGGGAATCATCAAGGAGTTAGGACGAGAGGAACATTCAGGGAAAAGCATCACACCATGAAATAAACTGATGAAGTCACTTGTGGAATCTAGAATGGTCCACCTGAAGAAATATTCACAACAAAGTCCTGACCTTGTTCAGACAGACCAATTTGGAGATAGCTTACTACATCTGGCCTGTCGAGGAGCGAAGAGTCAGTGTGTGGAGTATCTGCTCCCATCCTATGACATCAATGTCCGAGGTCGGTATGACTGGACACCCGTGATGATGGAGGCTGTGTGAGGATGTCTTCCAGCTACTGGTCTCTCACAAGGCAGATCTCTCTCTGCTCTCAAACACAAAAGAAGGTATCACCACCCTGGCTCGTCGGGGCAACAACGACGACATTGTCCAGTACTTATTGGAGAAGTCTTGAAATAACGCGATGAAGCTTATTTGCAAGTAGTTGTGCCCTCGACTCTCATTCCTAGATAATACTTATTTCATTAATATAATGGGTATTATGTTATGAACGTTGTCCCGAGTGAATCAACAGTTTCACAGAGTTATATTTACCCTTAACAGTCATTCATAGACGATATGTAAGAGTTGTCACCTACATGTATGTGTACTAACGGGGAAAAGTAACTGTGCTTCATGTAAAGTGGTGTAAATGTTATGCTATTGAAAATAACAGCACACTATTTAGTCACCCGTCTGATTAATGTTTTATCACGAAAAAATAATTGACAAAACCCATACCTAGTAACACGAGACAGAGCGACACGCCCTAAAAAATCCACATAAATATCATTTGCGTTAATGGAGAGGAGGCAAAGCTTTAAAGACACCCGATGATTTAAAACAACCTGGGGAATGCTGTCTTAAATGTCAACCAAAGATTGGCCCAACTAAGCTGGGCACAGTGTTGCAGAGGTCTGCACCAACAGACAGCCATGACACTGTCATTGGTATACCGTCTCAAAAAGTATGTTACAACACGTGTGTGGAACGGCACACACGGTACGTGGACGTGTGTACCTGTATTTGCACAAGGGGTAGAGCATAATGTAGTCGTTCCGGTAGCGTACGCTGTTCCAATTGCCAGTCAAACTGATGAGTTGCGTTCTCCCATGAGTTGTGAGGCATCGACATCCCATAACACTTCCACTCCTAAGCTAATGACATTGAGCAATGCAAGCGTCGCTAACACGTTCATCTGGACGCATGTAGACCTGTGTACGACCATCAGACCTGTCAAGATCAAAACCTGGACTCTGTGAACATTCCGTTCTTCTAAATCTCAGGGGGCGGTCGGGTAGCCTAGTGGTTAAAGCGTTCGCTCGTCATGCTTAAGACCCGGGATCGATTCCCGACATGGGTACAATGTGTGAAACCCATTTCTGGTGTCCCCCGCCGTGATATTGCTGGAATATTGGTAAAAGCGGCGTAAAACCAAACTCACTCATTACTCTAAATCTCAGATGCTGTCTACACCAAGTTCGAAAGCAAAATTTGGCATATCGCTGGAACGTCGGGAGCGGATGTTGTGCTCCCTCAACCGGTTGGGAACGGTTTGAGCTGTTAATCTGGCAGTTTGGAATCGATTACGTAGATGCACCAACCGAATACGTCTGCCTTGCTGACGTGAGGTCACACGTGAACGGCCTTCATTTACGGATATCAAAAGTATTTCATGAGCACAAGATAGCATTGTGTGCTGTTCACATTTGAAAACAACAACAGTGAAGCCTATTTCTGATGTCCCCCGCCGTGATATTGCTGGAATATTACTGTAATTGGCGTAAAACCATACAAACTCACTCACTCACTGATCAAAAACACTAACTTGTGTATCACTCCCCGGCCCAACAAACACGAAAACATTCCAAGTGTGTGCACGTGTAAACTGTGCATTATTTAATTTAGAATAAATATATATTTATTTAACTTTATGTGAAGCACAGTCACTTCTTTTCCGTTGGTATATTTGTTTTGCCACAATAATTGCTTTGTGTACTTTGTGGAATATATTTCAAAGACAATATCAGCATAAAGTAGCTGCAAAGCAATTATATTCATAAATGAATAGCAAGTTCTGCTGTGTACATAACTGTTTGAGATAGTTAATAACATGGAAGGTCGTCCTACATGTAATTGCCAAGACTGTAAATGACAAGTGATGCATCGCAGAAACAAGTGTCTCATGCTGTTGTCGGATAAAAAGTGTACACCGCATGCGCTAGAACAATTACAGGCCGAACACTGAACACTGGATACCATCGTAGATTTTAACAAGGACCACTCTTGTGACAATCGGAAGTTAAATGCTTCTGGATGTATAAGTTGTGTTATTGTCATGCCCTCTATAGTTTTGAAGTAGTAGTTGAATTGAATTACGCTACATATTGTACATGTATTGTACATATGTACATGTGGATTGTACATAATGTACATAGTTTGAACACTTTCTAGAAGTCTGTGTTTGTGTCCGAGGTCGGTGTGACTGGACACCGGTGATGATGGCGGCTGTGTGTAGCCGTGATGATGTCTTCCAGCTATGTGTTGAGTATCTGCTCCCATCCTTTGCATCAACGTCCGAGGTCGGTGTGACTGGACACCGGTGATGATGGCGGCCCGTGTGGGGCCATGACGATAAGTGTTGATAAAATAACGGAACTAGAACCTGATTTTCATTTTTTTATATTGGGATGCATACCAATATGGATTGTGCACGGGTTCCGGTGTGAGAAGCATTACATATGTTTCATATGTTTGAAACAAAACATGCGAATATACTTCCCGTGTGACTTGTCATAAGGGCTGGACACCAGCGATGAATGCAGCAGTGATAAGGCTGTATTTTTGTAAATGAGCAGTTTTGTAAAAACGATAGTCTATGATTAGTTACGTATATAGCCATTATATGTATGCAACACCGGAAAAAAATGTTAAACGTTGTATTGTTTGTTGTGCTGTAAAAAATAATGTATAAGTCTAAATATTGTATATACTTTGAAGCTTAATCTGAATTGCAATGACACATAATATAACAAAAGCATTACACTGACAAATGTATAACAGAAGCAGCTGTATCACAATGTGTGAAATACAGCTTCCGTGGAAGAATCCATGTTCAAGGTACCAGGGCCACCACCAGACAGTTTACTCCTTCTTGATGGTGAATACCCAGCATTGTGTACACCCACGAAACAAACAGTAGTACCTGATACATTATAGGGGCTTCCTAACATAATATATACTATACTTCATATTTACTTTAGATGATTTTGTCATATGCTGTATACACAATGTTACTGAATTGTTGCCACTGGACAATTGTATTTATCCTTTCACTCTATATTCTACCCATGCTTCCAAAAACACACAGGATGATACTTGTAAATGGATAGTTAGCTATGCAATGTAAATAATCTTTATTTGGCGTATTTATGACATGGCGTTAATTGCCCAGCACTCTCACACAACCATGTGATGTATACCAGAAGCAGGTGTATCAGATTCCGTTATTCTGAAAAAAAAAGCTTCTGTGCTGAGAATCAAATATAAGTACCAAGCCGTGTATAGAAACGTTCTGTGCCTAACATAATGTGTAATCGTGTATTAGCTTTGTACATCAAATTTGATTTGTATGCATGTTTTGGCAATGAAAATATCATGTCAATGTTGTCATAAATTAAAATGTTTCTCCTAGGGGTTAGATAGCCTTGCAGGGTTATTGACCCCGTATCGGTGCATAACAAGGACGTGCTTCTTGTGATTAATTGACAGTTTAAGAATTGCAGGTTGTATTACATTTTATTTTATTTTTATGGTGCTTTATCATCAATGATTTTAAATATTCCCGACTTTTAATATTTAGATTTGGTCATAGACACATAACTACTCAATTTCGTCCCATTTGTTCATTGTTTTAAGTTTTTGGACATATAACAAGAAATGATATTACTTATTAACTCCAATGTTATTAACAAAATCAACAAATAAAAATAGTAGAAAGCAACTCTGTTCCATATATAAGCATTCAACATCGCGCAAGGAGCTGCGATGAAACAAACAAATTGTCTATGCCATATTGTGTTATTGTAGTTTAGGTATACTTTGTAATTAAATCAGGTGTTTATCTTGTGTGATAAGTGTGCAGGGTAAGTAAGTCTAAGTGTGTGCATACCAAGGTGTCATGACGTTAGATAAGTGTGCAGGGGAACTAACTCTAAGTGTGTGCATAACAAGGTAACAGAACCAACGCTTGGAGAGGAAAGAAAGATGTGTTTGACTTCCTTGTGTCAAAGGGAGCTGACATCACACTGACTGATGACGACAATGACAACATTCTTCATCTTGCATGTCGGGGAGGAAATAAGCCATTAGTAGAATATCTGCTGCCAAAGACCGACATAAACATAAGAGGAAATATTGGACGGACACCACTAATGAATGCAGCTTGGAGAGGAAAGAAAGATGTGTTTGACTTCCTTGTGTCAAAGGGAGCTGACATCACACTGACTGATGATGACAATGACAACATTCTTCATCTTGCATGTCGGGGAGGAAATAAGCCGTTAGTAGAATATATACTGCCAAAGACTGACATAAACATAAGAGGAAATATTGGACGGACACCACTAATGAATGCAGCTTGGAGAGGAAAGAAAGATGTGTTTGACTTCCTTGTGTCAAAGGGAGCTGACATCACACTGACTGATGATGACAATGACAACATTCTTCATCTTGCATGTCGGGGAGGAAATAAGCCGTTAGTAGAATATATACTGCCAAAGACTGACATAAACATAAGAGGAAATATTGGACGGACACCACTAATGAATGCAGCCTGGAGAGGAAAGAGAGAAGTGTTTGACTTCCTTATGTCAAAGGGAGCTGACATCACACTGATTGATGACGACAAAGACGACATTCTTCATCTGACCTGCGAAGGTGGAAATAAGGCCTTAGTACAAGATCTTCTGCCAAAGATGGACATCAACTGTCACGGGAAGAGAGGGTGGACATCAGTAATGAAAGGAGCTTACAGTGGGAAAAAGGATACATTTGAACTACTTCTCTCCAAGGGAGCTAACCCATCACTCACTGGTGATGATAATGATACTTTACTCCATGCAGCCAGTAGAGGTGGAAACATTGACATTGTTAGACATGTTATCGGCGACTTTGACATCAACACACGAGGTTGGAATGGTCACACGCCACTGATGCTAGCTGTGTGTGGAGGTCACAAAGATGTAGTTGACTTCCTAGTTGATTATGGTGCTGACGTCCACATGGTGGACAATGATGGAGATAGTCTCCTCCATTTGGCTTGTGAGAAAGGAAACTTGAAGATGGTGAAGCATGTTGTGTCATATTCTAATATTAACCTGAGAGATAACTTTGGTTGGACACCGTTGGCAATGGCAGCTGTCGAGGGGAAATTTGCTGCTTTTAAATATCTTAAAGGCCTAGGAGCAGATGTGACACTGGCAGACAGGGCAGGAGATGATGTGTATACTCTGGCCCTCAAGGGAGGATGCAGGGGAATCATCAAGGAGTTAGGACGAGAGGAACATTCAGGGAAAAGCATCACACCATGAAATAAACTGATGAAGTCACTTGTGGAATCTAGAATGGTCCACCTGAAGAAATATTCACAACAAAGTCCTGACCTTGTTCAGACAGACCAATTTGGAGATAGCTTACTACATCTGGCCTGTCGAGGAGCGAAGAGTCAGTGTGTGGAGTATCTGCTCCCATCCTTTGACATCAATGTCCGAGGTCGGTATGACTGGACACCCGTGATGATGGAGGCTGTGTGAGGATGTCTTCCAGCTACTGGTCTCTCACAAGGCAGATCTCTCTCTGCTCTCAAACACAAAAGAAGGTATCACCACCCTGGCTCGTCGGGGCAACAACGACGACATTGTCCAGTACTTATTGGAGAAGTCTTGAAATAACGCGATGAAGCTTATTTGCAAGTAGTTGTGCCCTCGACTCTCATTCCTAGATAATACTTATTTCATTAATATAATGGGTATTATGTTATGAACGTTGTCCCGAGTGAATCAACAGTTTCACAGAGTTATATTTACCCTTAACAGTCATTCATAGACGATATGTAAGAGTTGTCACCTACATGTATGTGTACTAACGGGGAAAAGTAACTGTGCTTCATGTAAAGTGGTGTAAATGTTATGCTATTGAAACTAACAGCACACTATTTAGTCACCCGTCTGATTAATGTTTTATCACGAAAAAATAATTGACAAAACCCATACCTAGTAACACGAGACAGAGCGACACGCCCTAAAAAATCCACATAAATATCATTTGCGTTAATGGAGAGGAGGCAAAGCGTTAAAGACACCCGATGATTTAAAACAACCTGGGGAATGCTGTCTTAAATGTCAACCAAAGATTGGCCCAACTAAGCTGGGCACAGTGTTGCAGAGGTCTGCACCAACAGACAGCCATGACATTGTCGTTGGTATACCGTCTCAAAAAGTATGTTACAACACGTGTGTGGAACGGCACACACGGTACGTGGACGTGTGTACCTGTATTTGCACAAGGGGTAGAGCATAATGTAGTCGTTCCGGTAGCGTACGCTGTTCCAATTGCCAGTCAAACTGATGAGTTGCGTTCTCCCATGAGTTGTGAGGCATCGACATCCCATAACACTTCCACTCCTAAGCTAATGACATTGAGCAATGCAAGCGTCGCTAACACGTTCATCTGGACGCATGTAGACCTGTGTACGACCATCAGACCTGTCAAGATCAAAACCTGGACTCTGTGAACATTCCGTTCTTCTAAATCTCAGGGGGCGGTCGGGTAGCCTAGTGGTTAAAGCGTTCGCTCGTCATGCTTAAGACCCGGGATCGATTCCCGACATGGGTACAATGTGTGAAACCCATTTCTGGTGTCCCCCGCCGTGATATTGCTGGAATATTGGTAAAAGCGGCGTAAAACCAAACTCACTCATTACTCTAAATCTCAGATGCTGTCTACACCAAGTTCGAAAGCAAAATTTGGCATATCGCTGGAACGTCGGGAGCGGATGTTGTGCTCCCTCAACCGGTTGGGAACGGTTTGAGCTGTTAATCTGGCAGTTTGGAATCGATTACGTAGATGCACCAACCGAATACGTCTGCCTTGCTGACGTGAGGTCACACGTGAACGGCCTTCATTTACGGATATCAAAAGTATTTCATGAGCACAAGATAGCATTGTGTGCTGTTCACATTTGAAAACAACAACAGTGAAGCCTATTTCTGATGTCCCCCGCCGTGATATTGCTGGAATATTACTGTAATTGGCGTAAAACCATACACACTCACTCACTCACTGATCAAAAACACTAACTTGTGTATCACTCCCCGGCCCAACAAACACGAAAACATTCCAAGTGTGTGCACGTGTAAACTGTGCATTATTTAATTTAGAATAAATATATATTTATTTAACTTTATGTGAAGCACAGTCACTTCTTTTCCGTTGGTATATTTGTTTTGCCACAATAATTGCTTTGTGTACTTTGTGGAATATATTTCAAAGACAATATCAGCATAAAGTAGCTGCAAAGCAATTATATTCATAAATGAATAGCAAGTTCTGCTGTGTACATAACTGTTTGAGATAGTTAATAACATGGAAGGTCGTCCTACATGTAATTGCCAAGACTGTAAATGACAAGTGATGCATCGCAGAAACAAGTGTCTCATGCTGTTGTCGGATAAAAAGTGTACACCGCATGCGCTAGAACAATTACAGGCCGAACACTGAACACTGGATACCATCGTAGATTTTAACAAGGACCACTCTTGTGACAATCGGAAGTTAAATGCTTCTGGATGTATAAGTTGTGTTATTGTCATGCCCTCTATAGTTTTGAAGTAGTAGTTGAATTGAATTACGCTACATATTGTACATGTATTGTACATATGTACATGTGGATTGTACATAATGTACATAGTTTGAACACTTTCTAGAAGTCTGTGTTTGTGTCCGAGGTCGGTGTGACTGGACACCGGTGATGATGGCGGCTGTGTGTAGCCGTGATGATGTCTTCCAGCTATGTGTTGAGTATCTGCTCCCATCCTTTGCATCAACGTCCGAGGTCGGTGTGACTGGACACCGGTGATGATGGCGGCCCGTGTGGGGCCATGACGATAAGTGTTGATAAAATAACGGAACTAGAACCTGATTTTCATTTTTTTATATTGGGATGCATACCAATATGGATTGTGCACGGGTTCCGGTGTGAGAAGCATTACATATGTTTAATATGTTTGAAACAAAACATGCGAATATACTTCCCGTGTGACTTGTCATAAGGGCTGGACACCAGCGATGAATGCAGCAGTGATAAGGCTGTATTTTTGTAAATGAGCAGTTATGTAAAAACGATAGTCTATGATAAGTTACGTATATAGCCATTATATGTATGCAACACCGGAAAAAAATGTTAAACGTTGTATTGTTTGTTGTGCTGTAAAAAATAATGTATAAGTCTAAATATTGTATATACTTTGAAGCTTAATCTGAATTGCAATGACACATAATATAACAAAAGCATTACACTGACAAATGTATAACAGAAGCAGCTGTATCACAATGTGTGAAATACAGCTTCCGTGGAAGAATCCATGTTCAAGGTACCAGGGCCACCACCAGACAGTTTACTCCTTCTTGATGGTGAATACCCAGCATTGTGTACACCCACGAAACAAACAGTAGTACCTGATACATTATAGGGGCTTCCTAACATAATATATACTATACTTCATATTTACTTTAGATGATTTTGTCATATGCTGTATACACAATGTTACTGAATTGTTGCCACTGGACAATTGTATTTATCCTTTCACTCTATATTCTACCCATGCTTCCAAAAACACACAGGATGATACTTGTAAATGGATAGTTAGCTATGCAATGTAAATAATCTTTATTTGGCGTATTTATGACATGGCGTTAATTGCCCAGCACTCTCACACAACCATGTGATGTATACCAGAAGCAGGTGTATCAGATTCCGTTATTCTGAAAAAAAAAGCTTCTGTGCTGAGAATCAAATATAAGTACCAAGCCGTGTATAGAAACGTTCTGTGCCTAACATAATGTGTAATCGTGTATTAGCTTTGTACATCAAATTTGATTTGTATGCATGTTTTGGCAATGAAAATATCATGTCAATGTTGTCATAAATTAAAATGTTTCTCCTAGGGGTTAGATAGCCTTGCAGGGTTATTGACCCCGTATCGGTGCATAACAAGGACGTGCTTCTTGTGATTAATTGACAGTTTAAGAATTGCAGGTTGTATTACATTTTATTTTATTTTTATGGTGCTTTATCATCAATGATTTTAAATATTCCCGACTTTTAATATTTAGATTTGGTCATAGACACATAACTACTCAATTTCGTCCCATTTGTTCATTGTTTTAAGTTTTTGGACATATAACAAGAAATGATATTACTTATTAACTCCAATGTTATTAACAAAATCAACAAATAAAAATAGTAGAAAGCAACTCTGTTCCATATATAAGCATTCAACATCGCGCAAGGAGCTGCGATGAAACAAACAAATTGTCTATGCCATATTGTGTTATTGTAGTTTAGGTATACTTTGTAATTAAATCAGGTGTTTATCTTGTGTGATAAGTGTGCAGGGTAAGTAAGTCTAAGTGTGTGCATACCAAGGTGTCATGACGTTAGATAAGTGTGCAGGGGAACTAACTCTAAGTGTGTGCATAACAAGGTAACAGAACCAACGCTTGGAGAGGAAAGAAAGATGTGTTTGACTTCCTTGTGTCAAAGGGAGCTGACATCACACTGACTGATGACGACAATGACAACATTCTTCATCTTGCATGTCGGGGAGGAAATAAGCCATTAGTAGAATATCTGCTGCCAAAGACCGACATAAACATAAGAGGAAATATTGGACGGACACCACTAATGAATGCAGCTTGGAGAGGAAAGAAAGATGTGTTTGACTTCCTTGTGTCAAAGGGAGCTGACATCACACTGACTGATGATGACAATGACAACATTCTTCATCTTGCATGTCGGGGAGGAAATAAGCCGTTAGTAGAATATATACTGCCAAAGACTGACATAAACATAAGAGGAAATATTGGACGGACACCACTAATGAATGCAGCTTGGATTGGAAATAAAGCTGTGTTTGACTTACTTGTGTCAAAGGGAGCTGACATCACACAGACTGATGACGACAATGACAACATTCTTCATCTTGCAAGTCGGGGAGGAAATAAGTCATTAGTAGAATATCTGCTGCCAAAGACCGACATAAACATAAGAGGAAATATTGGACGGACACCACTAATGAATGCAGCTTGGAGAGGAAAGAAAGATGTGTTTGACTTCCTTGTGTCAAAGGGAGCTGACATCACACTGACTGATGATGACAATGACAACATTCTTCATCTTGCATGTCGGGGAGGAAATAAGCCGTTAGTAGAATATATACTGCCAAAGACTGACATAAACATAAGAGGAAATATTGGACGGACACCACTAATGAATGCAGCCTGGAGAGGAAAGAGAGAAGTGTTTGACTTCCTTATGTCAAAGGGAGCTGACATCACACTGATTGATGACGACAAAGACGACATTCTTCATCTGACCTGCGAAGGTGGAAATAAGGCCTTAGTACAAGATCTTCTGCCAAAGATGGACATCAACTGTCACGGGAAGAGAGGGTGGACATCAGTAATGAAAGGAGCTTACAGTGGGAAAAAGGATACATTTGAACTACTTCTCTCCAAGGGAGCTAACCCATCACTCACTGGTGATGACAATGATACTTTACTCCATGCAGCCAGTAGAGGTGGAAACATTGACATTGTTAGACATGTTATCGGCGACTTTGACATCAACACACGAGGTTGGAATGGTCACACGCCACTGATGCTAGCTGTGTGTGGAGGTCACAAAAATGTAGTTGACTTCCTAGTTGATTATGGTGCTGACGTCCACATGGTGGACAATGATGGAGATAGTCTCCTCCATTTGGCTTGTGAGAAAGGAAACTTGAAGATGGTGAAGCATGTTGTGTCATATTCTAATATTAACCTGAGAGATAACTTTGGTTGGACACCGTTGGCAATGGCAGCTGTCGAGGGGAAATTTGCTGCTTTTAAATATCTTAAAGGCCTAGGAGCAGATGTGACACTGGCAGACAGGGCAGGAGATGATGTGTATACTCTGGCCCTCAAGGGAGGATGCAGGGGAATCATCAAGGAGTTAGGACGAGAGGAACATTCAGGGAAAAGCATCACACCATGAAATAAACTGATGAAGTCACTTGTGGAATCTAGAATGGTCCACCTGAAGAAATATTCACAACAAAGTCCTGACCTTGTTCAGACAGACCAATTTGGAGATAGCTTACTACATCTGGCCTGTCGAGGAGCGAAGAGTCAGTGTGTGGAGTATCTGCTCCCATCCTATGACATCAATGTCCGAGGTCGGTATGACTGGACACCCGTGATGATGGAGGCTGTGTGAGGATGTCTTCCAGCTACTGGTCTCTCACAAGGCAGATCTCTCTCTGCTCTCAAACACAAAAGAAGGTATCACCACCCTGGCTCGTCGGGGCAACAACGACGACATTGTCCAGTACTTATTGGAGAAGTCTTGAAATAACGCGATGAAGCTTATTTGCAAGTAGTTGTGCCCTCGACTCTCATTCCTAGATAATACTTATTTCATTAATATAATGGGTATTATGTTATGAACGTTGTCCCGAGTGAATCAACAGTTTCACAGAGTTATATTTACCCTTAACAGTCATTCATAGACGATATGTAAGAGTTGTCACCTACATGTATGTGTACTAACGGGGAAAAGTAACTGTGCTTCATGTAAAGTGGTGTAAATGTTATGCTATTGAAAATAACAGCACACTATTTAGTCACCCGTCTGATTAATGTTTTATCACGAAAAAATAATTGACAAAACCCATACCTAGTAACACGAGACAGAGCGACACGCCCTAAAAAATCCACATAAATATCATTTGCGTTAATGGAGAGGAGGCAAAGCGTTAAAGACACCCGATGATTTAAAACAACCTGGGGAATGCTGTCTTAAATGTCAACCAAAGATTGGCCCAACTAAGCTGGGCACAGTGTTGCAGAGGTCTGCACCAACAGACAGCCATGACATTGTCGTTGGTATACCGTCTCAAAAAGTATGTTACAACACGTGTGTGGAACGGCACACACGGTACGTGGACGTGTGTACCTGTATTTGCACAAGGGGTAGAGCATAATGTAGTCGTTCCGGTAGCGTACGCTGTTCCAATTGCCAATCAAACTGATGAGTTGCGTTCTCCCATGAGTTGTGAGGCATCGACATCCCATAACACTTCCACTCCTAAGCTAATGACATTGAGCAATGCAAGCGTCGCTAACACGTTCATCTGGACGCATGTAGACCTGTGTACGACCATCAGACCTGTCAAGATCAAAACCTGGACTCTGTGAACATTCCGTTCTTCTAAATCTCAGGGGGCGGTCGGGTAGCCTAGTGGTTAAAGCGTTCGCTCGTCATGCTTAAGACCCGGGATCGATTCCCGACATGGGTACAATGTGTGAAACCCATTTCTGGTGTCCCCCGCCGTGATATTGCTGGAATATTGGTAAAAGCGGCGTAAAACCAAACTCACTCATTACTCTAAATCTCAGATGCTGTCTACACCAAGTTCGAAAGCAAAATTTGGCATATCGCTGGAACGTCGGGAGCGGATGTTGTGCTCCCTCAACCGGTTGGGAACGGTTTGAGCTGTTAATCTGGCAGTTTGGAATCGATTACGTAGATGCACCAACCGAATACGTCTGCCTTGCTGACGTGAGGTCACACGTGAACGGCCTTCATTTACGGATATCAAAAGTATTTCATGAGCACAAGATAGCATTGTGTGCTGTTCACATTTGAAAACAACAACAGTGAAGCCTATTTCTGATGTCCCCCGCCGTGATATTGCTGGAATATTACTGTAATTGGCGTAAAACCATACACACTCACTCACTCACTGATCAAAAACACTAACTTGTGTATCACTCCCCGGCCCAACAAACACGAAAACATTCCAAGTGTGTGCACGTGTAAACTGTGCATTATTTAATTTAGAATAAATATATATTTATTTAACTTTATGTGAAGCACAGTCACTTCTTTTCCGTTGGTATATTTGTTTTGCCACAATAATTGCTTTGTGTACTTTGTGGAATATATTTCAAAGACAATATCAGCATAAAGTAGCTGCAAAGCAATTATATTCATAAATGAATAGCAAGTTCTGCTGTGTACATAACTGTTTGAGATAGTTAATAACATGGAAGGTCGTCCTACATGTAATTGCCAAGACTGTAAATGACAAGTGATGCATCGCAGAAACAAGTGTCTCATGCTGTTGTCGGATAAAAAGTGTACACCGCATGCGCTAGAACAATTACAGGCCGAACACTGAACACTGGATACCATCGTAGATTTTAACAAGGACCACTCTTGTGACAATCGGAAGTTAAATGCTTCTGGATGTATAAGTTGTGTTATTGTCATGCCCTCTATAGTTTTGAAGTAGTAGTTGAATTGAATTACGCTACATATTGTACATGTATTGTACATATGTACATGTGGATTGTACATAATGTACATAGTTTGAACACTTTCTAGAAGTCTGTGTTTGTGTCCGAGGTCGGTGTGACTGGACACCGGTGATGATGGCGGCTGTGTGTAGCCGTGATGATGTCTTCCAGCTATGTGTTGAGTATCTGCTCCCATCCTTTGCATCAACGTCCGAGGTCGGTGTGACTGGACACCGGTGATGATGGCGGCCCGTGTGGGGCCATGACGATAAGTGTTGATAAAATAACGGAACTAGAACCTGATTTTCATTTTTTTATATTGGGATGCATACCAATATGGATTGTGCACGGGTTCCGGTGTGAGAAGCATTACATATGTTTAATATGTTTGAAACAAAACATGCGAATATACTTCCCGTGTGACTTGTCATAAGGGCTGGACACCAGCGATGAATGCAGCAGTGATAAGGCTGTATTTTTGTAAATGAGCAGTTATGTAAAAACGATAGTCTATGATAAGTTACGTATATAGCCATTATATGTATGCAACACCGGAAAAAAATGTTAAACGTTGTATTGTTTGTTGTGCTGTAAAAAATAATGTATAAGTCTAAATATTGTATATACTTTGAAGCTTAATCTGAATTGCAATGACACATAATATAACAAAAGCATTACACTGACAAATGTATAACAGAAGCAGCTGTATCACAATGTGTGAAATACAGCTTCCGTGGAAGAATCCATGTTCAAGGTACCAGGGCCACCACCAGACAGTTTACTCCTTCTTGATGGTGAATACCCAGCATTGTGTACACCCACGAAACAAACAGTAGTACCTGATACATTATAGGGGCTTCCTAACATAATATATACTATACTTCATATTTACTTTAGATGATTTTGTCATATGCTGTATACACAATGTTACTGAATTGTTGCCACTGGACAATTGTATTTATCCTTTCACTCTATATTCTACCCATGCTTCCAAAAACACACAGGATGATACTTGTAAATGGATAGTTAGCTATGCAATGTAAATAATCTTTATTTGGCGTATTTATGACATGGCGTTAATTGCCCAGCACTCTCACACAACCATGTGATGTATACCAGAAGCAGGTGTATCAGATTCCGTTATTCTGAAAAAAAAAGCTTCTGTGCTGAGAATCAAATATAAGTACCAAGCCGTGTATAGAAACGTTCTGTGCCTAACATAATGTGTAATCGTGTATTAGCTTTGTACATCAAATTTGATTTGTATGCATGTTTTGGCAATGAAAATATCATGTCAATGTTGTCATAAATTAAAATGTTTCTCCTAGGGGTTAGATAGCCTTGCAGGGTTATTGACCCCGTATCGGTGCATAACAAGGACGTGCTTCTTGTGATTAATTGACAGTTTAAGAATTGCAGGTTGTATTACATTTTATTTTATTTTTATGGTGCTTTATCATCAATGATTTTAAATATTCCCGACTTTTAATATTTAGATTTGGTCATAGACACATAACTACTCAATTTCGTCCCATTTGTTCATTGTTTTAAGTTTTTGGACATATAACAAGAAATGATATTACTTATTAACTCCAATGTTATTAACAAAATCAACAAATAAAAATAGTAGAAAGCAACTCTGTTCCATATATAAGCATTCAACATCGCGCAAGGAGCTGCGATGAAACAAACAAATTGTCTATGCCATATTGTGTTATTGTAGTTTAGGTATACTTTGTAATTAAATCAGGTGTTTATCTTGTGTGATAAGTGTGCAGGGTAAGTAAGTCTAAGTGTGTGCATACCAAGGTGTCATGACGTTAGATAAGTGTGCAGGGGAACTAACTCTAAGTGTGTGCATAACAAGGTAACAGAACCAACGCTTGGAGAGGAAAGAAAGATGTGTTTGACTTCCTTGTGTCAAAGGGAGCTGACATCACACTGACTGATGACGACAATGACAACATTCTTCATCTTGCATGTCGGGGAGGAAATAAGCCATTAGTAGAATATCTGCTGCCAAAGACCGACATAAACATAAGAGGAAATATTGGACGGACACCACTAATGAATGCAGCTTGGAGAGGAAAGAAAGATGTGTTTGACTTACTTGTGTCAAAGGGAGCTGACATCACACTGACTGATGATGACAATGACAACATTCTTCATCTTGCATGTCGGGGAGGAAATAAGCCGTTAGTAGAATATATACTGCCAAAGACTGACATAAACATAAGAGGAAATATTGGACGGACACCACTAATGAATGCAGCTTGGATTGGAAATAAAGCTGTGTTTGACTTACTTGTGTCAAAGGGAGCTGACATCACACAGACTGATGACGACAATGACAACATTCTTCATCTTGCAAGTCGGGGAGGAAATAAGTCATTAGTAGAATATCTGCTGCCAAAGACCGACATAAACATAAGAGGAAATATTGGACGGACACCACTAATGAATGCAGCTTGGAGAGGAAAGAAAGATGTGTTTGACTTCCTTGTGTCAAAGGGAGCTGACATCACACTGACTGATGATGACAATGACAACATTCTTCATCTTGCATGTCGGGGAGGAAATAAGCCGTTAGTAGAATATATACTGCCAAAGACTGACATAAACATAAGAGGAAATATTGGACGGACACCACTAATGAATGCAGCCTGGAGAGGAAAGAGAGAAGTGTTTGACTTCCTTATGTCAAAGGGAGCTGACATCACACTGATTGATGACGACAAAGACGACATTCTTCATCTGACCTGCGAAGGTGGAAATAAGGCCTTAGTACAAGATCTTCTGCCAAAGATGGACATCAACTGTCACGGGAAGAGAGGGTGGACATCAGTAATGAAAGGAGCTTACAGTGGGAAAAAGGATACATTTGAACTACTTCTCTCCAAGGGAGCTAACCCATCACTCACTGGTGATGATAACGATACTTTACTCCATGCAGCCAGTAGAGGTGGAAACATTGACATTGTTAGACATGTTATCGGCGACTTTGACATCAACACACGAGGTTGGAATGGTCACACGCCACTGATGCTAGCTGTGTGTGGAGGTCACAAAGATGTAGTTGACTTCCTAGTTGATTATGGTGCTGACGTCCACATGGTGGACAATGATGGAGATAGTCTCCTCCATTTGGCTTGTGAGAAAGGAAACTTGAAGATGGTGAAGCATGTTGTGTCATATTCTAATATTAACCTGAGAGATAACTTTGGTTGGACACCGTTGGCAATGGCAGCTGTCGAGGGAAAATTTGCTGCTTTTAAATATCTTAAAGGCCTAGGAGCAGATGTGACACTGGCAGACAGGGCAGGAGATGATGTGTATACTCTGGCCCTCAAGGGAGGATGCAGGGGAATCATCAAGGAGTTAGGACGAGAGGAACATTCAGGGAAAAGCATCACACCATGAAATAAACTGATGAAGTCACTTGTGGAATCTAGAATGGTCCACCTGAAGAAATATTCACAACAAAGTCCTGACCTTGTTCAGACAGACCAATTTGGAGATAGCTTACTACATCTGGCCTGTCGAGGAGCGAAGAGTCAGTGTGTGGAGTATCTGCTCCCATCCTATGACATCAATGTCCGAGGTCGGTATGACTGGACACCCGTGATGATGGAGGCTGTGTGAGGATGTCTTCCAGCTACTGGTCTCTCACAAGGCAGATCTCTCTCTGCTCTCAAACACAAACGAAGGTATCACCACCCTGGCTCGTCGGGGCAACAATGACGACATTGTCCAGTACTTATTGGAGAAGTCTTGAAATAACGCGATGAAGCTTATTTGCAAGTAGTTGTGCCCTCGACTCTCATTCCTAGATAATACTTATTTCATTAATATAATGGGTATTATGTTATGAACGTTGTCCCGAGTGAATCAACAGTTTCACAGAGTTATATTTACCCTTAACAGTCATTCATAGACGATATGTAAGAGTTGTCACCTACATGTATGTGTACTAACGGGGAAAAGTAACTGTGCTTCATGTAAAGTGGTGTAAATGTTATGCTATTGAAAATAACAGCACACTATTTAGTCACCCGTCTGATTAATGTTTTATCACGAAAAAATAATTGACAAAACCCATACCTAGTAACACGAGACAGAGCGACACGCCCTAAAAAATCCACATAAATATCATTTGCGTTAATGGAGAGGAGGCAAAGCGTTAAAGACACCCGATGATTTAAAACAACCTGGGGAATGCTGTCTTAAATGTCAACCAAAGATTGGCCCAACTAAGCTGGGCACAGTGTTGCAGAGGTCTGCACCAACAGACAGCCATGACATTGTCGTTGGTATACCGTCTCAAAAAGTATGTTACAACACGTGTGTGGAACGGCACACACGGTACGTGGACGTGTGTACCTGTATTTGCACAAGGGGTAGAGCATAATGTAGTCGTTCCGGTAGCGTACGCTGTTCCAATTGCCAGTCAAACTGATGAGTTGCGTTCTCCCATGAGTTGTGAGGCATCGACATCCCATAACACTTCCACTCCTAAGCTAATGACATTGAGCAATGCAAGCGTCGCTAACACGTTCATCTGGACGCATGTAGACCTGTGTACGACCATCAGACCTGTCAAGATCAAAACCTGGACTCTGTGAACATTCCGTTCTTCTAAATCTCAGGGGGCGGTCGGGTAGCCTAGTGGTTAAAGCGTTCGCTCGTCATGCTTAAGACCCGGGATCGATTCCCGACATGGGTACAATGTGTGAAACCCATTTCTGGTGTCCCCCGCCGTGATATTGCTGGAATATTGGTAAAAGCGGCGTAAAACCAAACTCACTCATTACTCTAAATCTCAGATGCTGTCTACACCAAGTTCGAAAGCAAAATTTGGCATATCGCTGGAACGTCGGGAGCGGATGTTGTGCTCCCTCAACCGGTTGGGAACGGTTTGAGCTGTTAATCTGGCAGTTTGGAATCGATTACGTAGATGCACCAACCGAATACGTCTGCCTTGCTGACGTGAGGTCACACGTGAACGGCCTTCATTTACGGATATCAAAAGTATTTCATGAGCACAAGATAGCATTGTGTGCTGTTCACATTTGAAAACAACAACAGTGAAGCCTATTTCTGATGTCCCCCGCCGTGATATTGCTGGAATATTACTGTAATTGGCGTAAAACCATACACACTCACTCACTCACTGATCAAAAACACTAACTTGTGTATCACTCCCCGGCCCAACAAACACGAAAACATTCCAAGTGTGTGCACGTGTAAACTGTGCATTATTTAATTTAGAATAAATATATATTTATTTAACTTTATGTGAAGCACAGTCACTTCTTTTCCGTTGGTATATTTGTTTTGCCACAATAATTGCTTTGTGTACTTTGTGGAATATATTTCAAAGACAATATCAGCATAAAGTAGCTGCAAAGCAATTATATTCATAAATGAATAGCAAGTTCTGCTGTGTACATAACTGTTTGAGATAGTTAATAACATGGAAGGTCGTCCTACATGTAATTGCCAAGACTGTAAATGACAAGTGATGCATCGCAGAAACAAGTGTCTCATGCTGTTGTCGGATAAAAAGTGTACACCGCATGCGCTAGAACAATTACAGGCCGAACACTGAACACTGGATACCATCGTAGATTTTAACAAGGACCACTCTTGTGACAATCGGAAGTTAAATGCTTCTGGATGTATAAGTTGTGTTATTGTCATGCCCTCTATAGTTTTGAAGTAGTAGTTGAATTGAATTACGCTACATATTGTACATGTATTGTACATATGTACATGTGGATTGTACATAATGTACAAAGTTTGAACACTTTCTAGAAGTCTGTGTTTGTGTCCGAGGTCGGTGTGACTGGACACCGGTGATGATGGCGGCTGTGTGTAGCCGTGATGATGTCTTCCAGCTATGTGTTGAGTATCTGCTCCCATCCTTTGCATCAACGTCCGAGGTCGGTGTGACTGGACACCGGTGATGATGGCGGCCCGTGTGGGGCCATGACGATAAGTGTTGATAAAATAACGGAACTAGAACCTGATTTTCATTTTTTTATATTGGGATGCATACCAATATGGATTGTGCACGGGTTCCGGTGTGAGAAGCATTACATATGTTTAATATGTTTGAAACAAAACATGCGAATATACTTCCCGTGTGACTTGTCATAAGGGCTGGACACCAGCGATGAATGCAGCAGTGATAAGGCTGTATTTTTGTAAATGAGCAGTTATGTAAAAACGATAGTCTATGATTAGTTACGTATATAGCCATTATATGTATGCAACACCGGAAAAAAATGTTAAACGTTGTATTGTTTGTTGTGCTGTAAAAAATAATGTATAAGTCTAAATATTGTATATACTTTGAAGCTTAATCTGAATTGCAATGACACATAATATAACAAAAGCATTACACTGACAAATGTATAACAGAAGCAGCTGTATCACAATGTGTGAAATACAGCTTCCGTGGAAGAATCCATGTTCAAGGTACCAGGGCCACCACCAGACAGTTTACTCCTTCTTGATGGTGAATACCCAGCATTGTGTACACCCACGAAACAAACAGTAGTACCTGATACATCATAGGGGCTTCCTAACATAATATATACTATACTTCATATTTACTTTAGATGATTTTGTCATATGCTGTATACACAATGTTACTGAATTGTTGCCACTGGACAATTGTATTTATCCTTTCACTCTATATTCTACCCATGCTTCCAAAAACACACAGGATGATACTTGTAAATGGATAGTTAGCTATGCAATGTAAATAATCTTTATTTGGCGTCTTTATGACATGGCGTTAATTGCCCAGCACTCTCACACAACCATGTGATGTATACCAGAAGCAGGTGTATAAGATTCCGTTATTCTGAAAAAAAAAGCTTCTGTGCTGAGAATCAAATATAAGTACCAAGCCGTGTATAGAAACGTTCTGTGCCTAACATAATGTGTAATCGTGTATTAGCTTTGTACATCAAATTTGATTTGTATGCATGTTTTGGCAATGAAAATATCATGTCAATGTTGTCATAAATTAAAATGTTTCTCCTAGGGGTTAGATAGCCTTGCAGGGTTATTGACCCCGTATCGGTGCATAACAAGGACGTGCTTCTTGTGATTAATTGACAGTTTAAGAATTGCAGGTTGTATTACATTTTATTTTATTTTTATGGTGCTTTATCATCAATGATTTTAAATATTCCCGACTTTTAATATTTAGATTTGGTCATAGACACATAACTACTCAATTTCGTCCCATTTGTTCATTGTTTTAAGTTTTTGGACATATAACAAGAAATGATATTACTTATTAACTCCAATGTTATTAACAAAATCAACAAATAAAAATAGTAGAAAGCAACTCTGTTCCATATATAAGCATTCAACATCGCGCAAGGAGCTGCGATGAAACAAACAAATTGTCTATGCCATATTGTGTTATTGTAGTTTAGGTATACTTTGTAATTAAATCAGGTGTTTATCTTGTGTGATAAGTGTGCAGGGTAAGTAAGTCTAAGTGTGTGCATACCAAGGTGACATGACGTTAGATAAGTGTGCAGGGGAACTAACTCTAAGTGTGTGCATAACAAGGTAACAGAACCAACGCTTGGAGAGGAAAGAAAGATGTGTTTGACTTCCTTGTGTCAAAGGGAGCTGACATCACACTGACTGATGACGACAATGACAACATTCTTCATCTTGCATGTCGGGGAGGAAATAAGCCATTAGTAGAATATCTGCTGCCAAAGACTGACATAAACATAAGAGGAAATATTGGACGGACACCACTAATGAATGCAGCTTGGAGAGGAAAGAAAGATGTGTTTGACTTCCTTGTGTCAAAGGGAGCTGACATCACACTGACTGATGACGACAATGACAACATTCTTCATCTTGCATGTCGGGGAGGAAATAAGCCATTAGTAGAATATCTGCTGCCAAAGACTGACATAAACATAAGAGGAAATATTGGACGGACACCACTAATGAATGCAGCTTGGAGAGGAAAGAAAGATGTGTTTGACTTCCTTGTGTCAAAGGGAGCTGACATCACACTGACTGATGATGACAATGACAACATTCTTCATCTTGCATGTCGGGGAGGAAATAAGCCGTTAGTAGAATATATACTGCCAAAGACTGACATAAACATAAGAGGAAATATTGGACGGACACCACTAATGAATGCAGCTTGGATTGGAAATAAAGCTGTGTTTGACTTACTTGTGTCAAAGGGAGCTGACATCACACAGACTGATGACGACAATGACAACATTCTTCATCTTGCATGTCGGGGAGGAAATAAGTCATTAGTAGAATACCTGCTGCCAAAGACCGACATAAACATAAGAGGAAATATTGGACGGACACCACTAATGAATGCAGCTTGGAGAGGAAAGAAAGATGTGTTTGACTTCCTTGTGTCAAAGGGAGCTGACATCACACTGACTGATGATGACAATGACAACATTCTTCATCTTGCATGTCGGGGAGGAAATAAGCCGTTAGTAGAATATATACTGCCAAAGACTGACATAAACATAAGAGGAAATATTGGACGGACACCACTAATGAATGCAGCCTGGAGAGGAAAGAGAGAAGTGTTTGACTTCCTTATGTCAAAGGGAGCTGACATCACACTGATTGATGACGACAAAGACGACATTCTTCATCTGACCTGCGAAGGTGGAAATAAGGCCTTAGTACAAGATCTTCTGCCAAAGATGGACATCAACTGTCACGGGAAGAGAGGGTGGACATCAGTAATGAAAGGAGCTTACAGTGGGAAAAAGGATACATTTGAACTACTTCTCTCCAAGGGAGCTAACCCATCACTCACTGGTGATGACAATGATACTTTACTCCATGCAGCCAGTAGAGGTGGAAACATTGACATTGTTAGACATGTTATCGGCGACTTTGACATCAACACACGAGGTTGGAATGGCCACACGCCACTGATGCTAGCTGTGTGTGGAGGTCACAAAGATGTAGTTGACTTCCTAGTTGATTATGGTGCTGACGTCCACATGGTGGACAATGATGGAGATAGTCTCAAGGGAGGATGCAGGGGAATCATCAAGGAGTTAGGACGAGAGGAACATTCAGGGAAAAGCATCACACCATGAAATAAACTGATGAAGTCACTTGTGGAATCTAGAATGGTCCACCTGAAGAAATATTCACAACAAAGTCCTGACCTTGTTCAGACAGACCAATTTGGAGATAGCTTACTACATCTGGCCTGTCGAGGAGCGAAGAGTCAGTGTGTGGAGTATCTGCTCCCATCCTATGACATCAATGTCCGAGGTCGGTATGACTGGACACCCGTGATGATGGAGGCTGTGTGAGGATGTCTTCCAGCTACTGGTCTCTCACAAGGCAGATCTCTCTCTGCTCTCAAACACAAAAGAAGGTATCACCACCCTGGCTCGTCGGGGCAACAACGACGACATTGTCCAGTACTTATTGGAGAGTCTTGAAATAATGCGATGAAGCTTATTTGCAAGTAGTTGTGCCCTCGACTCTCATTCCTAGATAATACTTATTTCATTAATAAAATGGGTATTATGTTATGAACGTTGTCCCGAGTGAATCAACAGTTTCACAGAGTTATATTTACCCTTAACAGTCATTCATAGACGATATGTAAGAGTTGTCACCTACATATATGTGTACTAACAGGGAAAAGTAACTGTGCTTCATGTAAAGTGGTGTAAATGTTATGCTATTGAAAATAACAGCACACTATTTAGTCACCCGTCTGATTAATGTTTTATCACGAAAAAATAATTGACAAAACCCATACCTAGTAACACGAGACAGAGCGACACGCCCTAAAAAATCCACATAAATATCATTTGCGTTAATGGAGAGGAGGCAAAGCGTTAAAGACACCCGATGATTTAAAACAACCTGGGGAATGCGGTCTTAAATGTCAACCAAAGATTGGCCCAACTAAGCTGGGCACAGTGTTGCAGAGGTCTGCACCAACAGACAGCCATGACATTGTCATTGGTATACCGTCTCAAAAAGTATGTTACAACACGTGTGTGGAACGGCACACACGGTACGTGGACGTGTGTACCTGTATTTGCACAAGGGGTAGAGCATAATGTAGTCGTTCCGGTAGCGTACGCTGTTCCAATTGCCAGTCAAACTGATGAGTTGCGTTCTCCCATGAGTTGTGAGGCATCGACATCCCATAACACTTCCACTCCTAAGCTAATGACATTGAGCAATGCAAGCGTCGCTAACACGTTCATCTGGACGCATGTAGACCTGTGTACGACCATCAGACCTGTCAAGATCAAAACCTGGACTCTGTGAACATTCCGTTCTTCTAAATCTCAGGGGGCGGTCGGGTAGCCTAGTGGTTAAAGCGTTCGCTCGTCATGCTTAAGACCCGGGATCGATTCCCGACATGGGTACAATGTGTGAAACCCATTTCTGGTGTCCCCCGCCGTGATATTGCTGGAATATTGGTAAAAGCGGCGTAAAACCAAACTCACTCATTACTCTAAATCTCAGATGCTGTCTACACCAAGTTCGAAAGCAAAATTTGGCATATCGCTGGAACGTCGGGAGCGGATGTTGTGCTCCCTCAACCGGTTGGGAACGGTTTGAGCTGTTAATCTGGCAGTTTGGAATCGATTACGTAGATGCACCAACCGAATACGTCTGCCTTGCTGACGTGAGGTCACACGTGAACGGCCTTCATTTACGGATATCAAAAGTATTTCATGAGCACAAGATAGCATTGTGTGCTGTTCACATTTGAAAACAACAACAGTGAAGCCTATTTCTGATGTCCCCCGCCGTGATATTGCTGGAATATTACTGTAATTGGCGTAAAACCATACACACTCACTCACTCACTGATCAAAAACACTAACTTGTGTATCACTCCCCGGCCCAACAAACACGAAAACATTCCAAGTGTGTGCACGTGTAAACTGTGCATTATTTAATTTAGAATAAATATATATTTATTTAACTTTATGTGAAGCACAGTCACTTCTTTTCCGTTGGTATATTTGTTTTGCCACAATAATTGCTTTGTGTACTTTGTGGAATATATTTCAAAGACAATATCAGCATAAAGTAGCTGCAAAGCAATTATATTCATAAATGAATAGCAAGTTCTGCTGTGTACATAACTGTTTGAGATAGTTAATAACATGGAAGGTCGTCCTACATGTAATTGCCAAGACTGTAAATGACAAGTGATGCATCGCAGAAACAAGTGTCTCATGCTGTTGTCGGATAAAAAGTGTACACCGCATGCGCTAGAACAATTACAGGCCGAACACTGAACACTGGATACCATCGTAGATTTTAACAAGGACCACTCTTGTGACAATCGGAAGTTAAATGCTTCTGGATGTATAAGTTGTGTTATTGTCATGCCCTCTATAGTTTTGAAGTAGTAGTTGAATTGAATTACGCTACATATTGTACATGTATTGTACATATGTACATGTGGATTGTACATAATGTACAAAGTTTGAACACTTTCTAGAAGTCTGTGTTTGTGTCCGAGGTCGGTGTGACTGGACACCGGTGATGATGGCGGCTGTGTGTAGCCGTGATGATGTCTTCCAGCTATGTGTTGAGTATCTGCTCCCATCCTTTGCATCAACGTCCGAGGTCGGTGTGACTGGACACCGGTGATGATGGCGGCCCGTGTGGGGCCATGACGATAAGTGTTGATAAAATAACGGAACTAGAACCTGATTTTCATTTTTTTATATTGGGATGCATACCAATATGGATTGTGCACGGGTTCCGGTGTGAGAAGCATTACATATGTTTAATATGTTTGAAACAAAACATGCGAATATACTTCCCGTGTGACTTGTCATAAGGGCTGGACACCAGCGATGAATGCAGCAGTGATAAGGCTGTATTTTTGTAAATGAGCAGTTATGTAAAAACGATAGTCTATGATTAGTTACGTATATAGCCATTATATGTATGCAACACCGGAAAAAAATGTTAAACGTTGTATTGTTTGTTGTGCTGTAAAAAATAATGTATAAGTCTAAATATTGTATATACTTTGAAGCTTAATCTGAATTGCAATGACACATAATATAACAAAAGCATTACACTGACAAATGTATAACAGAAGCAGCTGTATCACAATGTGTGAAATACAGCTTCCGTGGAAGAATCCATGTTCAAGGTACCAGGGCCACCACCAGACAGTTTACTCCTTCTTGATGGTGAATACCCAGCATTGTGTACACCCACGAAACAAACAGTAGTACCTGATACATCATAGGGGCTTCCTAACATAATATATACTATACTTCATATTTACTTTAGATGATTTTTTCATATGCTGTATACACAATGTTACTGAATTGTTGCCACTGGACAATTGTATTTATCCTTTCACTCTATATTCTACCCATGCTTCCAAAAACACACAGGATGATACTTGTAAATGGATAGTTAGCTATGCAATGTAAATAATCTTTATTTGGCGTCTTTATGACATGGCGTTAATTGCCCAGCACTCTCACACAACCATGTGATGTATACCAGAAGCAGGTGTATAAGATTCCGTTATTCTGAAAAAAAAAGCTTCTGTGCTGAGAATCAAATATAAGTACCAAGCCGTGTATAGAAACGTTCTGTGCCTAACATAATGTGTAATCGTGTATTAGCTTTGTACATCAAATTTGATTTGTATGCATGTTTTGGCAATGAAAATATCATGTCAATGTTGTCATAAATTAAAATGTTTCTCCTAGGGGTTAGATAGCCTTGCAGGGTTATTGACCCCGTATCGGTGCATAACAAGGACGTGCTTCTTGTGATTAATTGACAGTTTAAGAATTGCAGGTTGTATTACATTTTATTTTATTTTTATGGTGCTTTATCATCAATGATTTTAAATATTCCCGACTTTTAATATTTAGATTTGGTCATAGACACATAACTACTCAATTTCGTCCCATTTGTTCATTGTTTTAAGTTTTTGGACATATAACAAGAAATGATATTACTTATTAACTCCAATGTTATTAACAAAATCAACAAATAAAAATAGTAGAAAGCAACTCTGTTCCATATATAAGCATTCAACATCGCGCAAGGAGCTGCGATGAAACAAACAAATTGTCTATGCCATATTGTGTTATTGTAGTTTAGGTATACTTTGTAATTAAATCAGGTGTTTATCTTGTGTGATAAGTGTGCAGGGTAAGTAAGTCTAAGTGTGTGCATACCAAGGTGACATGACGTTAGATAAGTGTGCAGGGGAACTAACTCTAAGTGTGTGCATAACAAGGTAACAGAACCAACGCTTGGAGAGGAAAGAAAGATGTGTTTGACTTCCTTGTGTCAAAGGGAGCTGACATCACACTGACTGATGACGACAATGACAACATTCTTCATCTTGCATGTCGGGGAGGAAATAAGCCATTAGTAGAATATCTGCTGCCAAAGACTGACATAAACATAAGAGGAAATATTGGACGGACACCACTAATGAATGCAGCTTGGAGAGGAAAGAAAGATGTGTTTGACTTCCTTGTGTCAAAGGGAGCTGACATCACACTGACTGATGACGACAATGACAACATTCTTCATCTTGCATGTCGGGGAGGAAATAAGCCATTAGTAGAATATCTGCTGCCAAAGACTGACATAAACATAAGAGGAAATATTGGACGGACACCACTAATGAATGCAGCTTGGAGAGGAAAGAAAGATGTGTTTGACTTCCTTGTGTCAAAGGGAGCTGACATCACACTGACTGATGATGACAATGACAACATTCTTCATCTTGCATGTCGGGGAGGAAATAAGCCGTTAGTAGAATATATACTGCCAAAGACTGACATAAACATAAGAGGAAATATTGGACGGACACCACTAATGAATGCAGCTTGGATTGGAAATAAAGCTGTGTTTGACTTACTTGTGTCAAAGGGAGCTGACATCACACAGACTGATGACGACAATGACAACATTCTTCATCTTGCATGTCGGGGAGGAAATAAGTCATTAGTAGAATACCTGCTGCCAAAGACCGACATAAACATAAGAGGAAATATTGGACGGACACCACTAATGAATGCAGCTTGGAGAGGAAAGAAAGATGTGTTTGACTTCCTTGTGTCAAAGGGAGCTGACATCACACTGACTGATGATGACAATGACAACATTCTTCATCTTGCATGTCGGGGAGGAAATAAGCCGTTAGTAGAATATATACTGCCAAAGACTGACATAAACATAAGAGGAAATATTGGACGGACACCACTAATGAATGCAGCTTGGATTGGAAATAAAGCTGTGTTTGACTTACTTGTGTCAAAGCGAGCTGACATCACACAGACTGATGACGACAATGACAACATTCTTCATCTTGCATGTCGGGGAGGAAATAAGTCATTAGTAGAATATCTGCTGCCAAAGACCGACATAAACATAAGAGGAAATATTGGACGGACACCACTAATGAATGCAGCTTGGAGAGGAAAGAAAGATGTGTTTGACTTCCTTGTGTCAAAGGGAGCTGACATCACACTGACTGATGATGACAATGACAACATTCTTCATCTTGCATGTCGGGGAGGAAATAAGCCGTTAGTAGAATATATACTGCCAAAGACTGACATAAACATAAGAGGAAATATTGGACGGACACCACTAATGAATGCAGCCTGGAGAGGAAAGAGAGAAGTGTTTGACTTCCTTATGTCAAAGGGAGCTGACATCACACTGATTGATGACGACAAAGACGACATTCTTCATCTGACCTGCGAAGGTGGAAATAAGGCCTTAGTACAAGATCTTCTGCCAAAGATGGACATCAACTGTCACGGGAAGAGAGGGTGGACATCAGTAATGAAAGGAGCTTACAGTGGGAAAAAGGATACATTTGAACTACTTCTCTCCAAGGGAGCTAACCCATCACTCACTGGTGATGACAATGATACTTTACTCCATGCAGCCAGTGAAGGTGGAAACATTGACATTGTTAGACATGTTATCGGCGACTTTGACATCAACACACGAGGTTGGAATGGTCACACGCCACTGATGCTAGCTGTGTGTGGAGGTCACAAAGATGTAGTTGACTTCCTAGTTGATTATGGTGCTGACGTCCACATGGTGGACAATGATGGAGATAGTCTCCTCCATTTGGCTTGTGAGAAAGGAAACTTGAAGATGGTGAAGCATGTTGTGTCATATTCTAATATTAACCTGATAGATAACTTTGGTTGGACACCGTTGACAATGGCAGCTGTGGGGGGAAAATTTGCTGTTTTTAAATATCTTAAAGGCCTAGGAGCAGATGTGACACTGGCAGACAGGGCAGGAGATGATGTGTATACTCTGGCCCTCAAGGGAGGATGCAGGGGAATCATCAAGGAGTTAGGACGAGAGGAACATTCAGGGAAAAGCATCACACCATGAAATAAACTGATGAAGTCACTTGTGGAATCTAGAATGGTCCACCTGAAGAAATATTCACAACAAAGTCCTGACCTTGTTCAGACAGACCAATTTGGAGATAGCTTACTACATCTGGCCTGTCGAGGAGCGAAGAGTCAGTGTGTGGAGTATCTGCTCCCATCCTATGACATCAATGTCCGAGGTCGGTATGACTGGACACCCGTGATGATGGAGGCTGTGTGAGGATGTCTTCCAGCTACTGGTCTCTCACAAGGCAGATCTCTCTCTGCTCTCAAACACAAAAGAAGGTATCACCACCCTGGCTCGTCGGGGCAACAACGACGACATTGTCCAGTACTTATTGGAGAGTCTTGAAATAATGCGATGAAGCTTATTTGCAAGTAGTTGTGCCCTCGACTCTCATTCCTAGATAATACTTATTTCATTAATATAATGGGTATTATGTTATGAACGTTGTCCCGAGTGAATCAACAGTTTCACAGAGTTATATTTACCCTTAACAGTCATTCATAGACGATATGTAAGAGTTGTCACCTACATATATGTGTACTAACAGGGAAAAGTAACTGTGCTTCATGTAAAGTGGTGTAAATGTTATGCTATTGAAAATAACAGCACACTATTTAGTCACCCGTCTGATTAATGTTTTATCACGAAAAAATAATTGACAAAACCCATACCTAGTAACACGAGACAGAGCGACACGCCCTAAAAAATCCACATAAATATCATTTGCGTTAATGGAGAGGAGGCAAAGCGTTAAAGACACCCGATGATTTAAAACAACCTGGGGAATGCGGTCTTAAATGTCAACCAAAGATTGGCCCAACTAAGCTGGGCACAGTGTTGCAGAGGTCTGCACCAACAGACAGCCATGACATTGTCATTGGTATACCGTCTCAAAAAGTATGTTACAACACGTGTGTGGAGCGGCACACACGGTACGTGGACGTGTGTACCTGTATTTGCACAAGGGGTAGAGCATAATGTAGTCGTTCCGGTAGCGTACGCTGTTCCAATTGCCAGTCAAACTGATGAGTTGCGTTCTCCCATGAGTTGTGAGGCATCGACATCCCATAACACTTCCACTCCTAAGCTAATGACATTGAGCAATGCAAGCGTCGCTAACACGTTCATCTGGACGCATGTAGACCTGTGTACGACCATCAGACCTGTCAAGATCAAAACCTGGACTCTGTGAACATTCCGTTCTTCTAAATCTCAGGGGGCGGTCGGGTAGCCTAGTGGTTAAAGCGTTCGCTCGTCATGCTTAAGACCCGGGATCGATTCCCGACATGGGTACAATGTGTGAAACCCATTTCTGGTGTCCCCCGCCGTGATATTGCTGGAATATTGGTAAAAGCGGCGTAAAACCAAACTCACTCATTACTCTAAATCTCAGATGCTGTCTACACCAAGTTCGAAAGCAAAATTTGGCATATCGCTGGAACGTCGGGAGCGGATGTTGTGCTCCCTCAACCGGTTGGGAACGGTTTGAGCTGTTAATCTGGCAGTTTGGAATCGATTACGTAGATGCACCAACCGAATACGTCTGCCTTGCTGACGTGAGGTCACACGTGAACGGCCTTCATTTACGGATATCAAAAGTATTTCATGAGCACAAGATAGCATTGTGTGCTGTTCACATTTGAAAACAACAACAGTGAAGCCTATTTCTGATGTCCCCCGCCGTGATATTGCTGGAATATTACTGTAATTGGCGTAAAACCATACACACTCACTCACTCACTGATCAAAAACACTAACTTGTGTATCACTCCCCGGCCCAACAAACACGAAAACATTCCAAGTGTGTGCACGTGTAAACTGTGCATTATTTAATTTAGAATAAATATATATTTATTTAACTTTATGTGAAGCACAGTCACTTCTTTTCCGTTGGTATATTTGTTTTGCCACAATAATTGCTTTGTGTACTTTGTGGAATATATTTCAAAGACAATATCAGCATAAAGTAGCTGCAAAGCAATTATATTCATAAATGAATAGCAAGTTCTGCTGTGTACATAACTGTTTGAGATAGTTAATAACATGGAAGGTCGTCCTACATGTAATTGCCAAGACTGTAAATGACAAGTGATGCATCGCAGAAACAAGTGTCTCATGCTGTTGTCGGATAAAAAGTGTACACCGCATGCGCTAGAACAATTACAGGCCGAACACTGAACACTGGATACCATCGTAGATTTTAACAAGGACCACTCTTGTGACAATCGGAAGTTAAATGCTTCTGGATGTATAAGTTGTGTTATTGTCATGCCCTCTATAGTTTTGAAGTAGTAGTTGAATTGAATTACGCTACATATTGTACATGTATTGTACATATGTACATGTGAATTGTACATAATGTACAAAGTTTGAACACTTTCTAGAAGTCTGTGTTTGTGTCCGAGGTCGGTGTGACTGGACACCGGTGATGATGGCGGCTGTGTGTAGCCGTGATGATGTCTTCCAGCTATGTGTTGAGTATCTGCTCCCATCCTTTGCATCAACGTCCGAGGTCGGTGTGACTGGACACCGGTGATGATGGCGGCCCGTGTGGGGCCATGACGATAAGTGTTGATAAAATAACGGAACTAGAACCTGATTTTCATTTTTTTATATTGGGATGCATACCAATATGGATTGTGCACGGGTTCCGGTGTGAGAAGCATTACATATGTTTAATATGTTTGAAACAAAACATGCGAATATACTTCCCGTGTGACTTGTCATAAGGGCTGGACACCAGCGATGAATGCAGCAGTGATAAGGCTGTATTTTTGTAAATGAGCAGTTATGTAAAAACGATAGTCTATGATTAGTTACGTATATAGCCATTATATGTATGCAACACCGGAAAAAAATGTTAAACGTTGTATTGTTTGTTGTGCTGTAAAAAATAATGTATAAGTCTAAATATTGTATATACTTTGAAGCTTAATCTGAATTGCAATGACACATAATATAACAAAAGCATTACACTGACAAATGTATAACAGAAGCAGCTGTATCACAATGTGTGAAATACAGCTTCCGTGGAAGAATCCATGTTCAAGGTACCAGGGCCACCACCAGACAGTTTACTCCTTCTTGATGGTGAATACCCAGCATTGTGTACACCCACGAAACAAACAGTAGTACCTGATACATTATAGGGGCTTCCTAACATAATATATACTATACTTCATATTTACTTTAGATGATTTTGTCATATGCTGTATACACAATGTTACTGAATTGTTGCCACTGGACAATTGTATTTATCCTTTCACTCTATGTTCTACCCATGCTTCCAAAAACACACAGGATGATACTTGTAAATGGATAGTTAGCTATGCAATGTAAATAATCTTTATTTGGCGTCTTTATGACATGGCGTTAATTGCCCAGCACTCTCACACAACCATGTGATGTATACCAGAAGCAGGTGTATCAGATTCCGTTATTCTGAAAAAAAAAGCTTCTGTGCTGAGAATCAAATATAAGTACCAAGCCGTGTATAGAAACGTTCTGTGCCTAACATAATGTGTAATCGTGTATTAGCTTTGTACATCAAATTTGATTTGTATGCATGTTTTGGCAATGAAAATATCATGTCAATGTTGTCATAAATTAAAATGTTTCTCCTAGGGGTTAGATAGCCTTGCAGGGTTATTGACCCCGTATCGGTGCATAACAAGGACGTGCTTCTTGTGATTAATTGACAGTTTAAGAATTGCAGGTTGTATTACATTTTATTTTATTTTTATGGTGCTTTATCATCAATGATTTTAAATATTCCCGACTTTTAATATTTAGATTTGGTCATAGACACATAACTACTCAATTTCGTCCCATTTGTTCATTGTTTTAAGTTTTTGGACATATAACAAGAAATGATATTACTTATTAACTCCAATGTTATTAACAAAATCAACAAATAAAAATAGTAGAAAGCAACTCTGTTCCATATATAAGCATTCAACATCGCGCAAGGAGCTGCGATGAAACAAACAAATTGTCTATGCCATATTGTGTTATTGTAGTTTAGGTATACTTTGTAATTAAATCAGGTGTTTATCTTGTGTGATAAGTGTGCAGGGTAACTAAGTCTAAGTGTGTGCATACCAAGGTTACATGACGTTAGATAAGTGTGCAGGGGAACTAACTCTAAGTGTGTGCATAACAAGGTAACAGAACCAACGCTAAACAATTTACTAAATGTCATATCCTTTCACAGCAGATGGTGTTTGATACGAAGGGATTTGTGAAATCCATATTTCATTTTAGTTTTGGCATATGCTGTATGTTATGAAATCGTTACAATATGCCAGAGCAAGAACCAGAATGTTATCATTTTTTTATGTCTTGGTTACAACAGTTTGTGTATACTTTACAATCAGCAATAAATAATTGAAAGCTTGAATACATTTCCTCCTGTGCTTCGAATTCATCTACATCTACTCTTGTCAGGGGGGTACTCAAAGTACGTGACCAGTTGTAGGACTTTCATTTTAGTTGAAGCCTTGGTGGCTGAGTGGGTTAAAACGCTGATTTTGTGTGCTGGTGATTAGGTGCCTCACCCTGGCAGGTGTGGGTTCGAATCCCGGACGGGACTCAACCCCGAAAAAGTACTAAAAAAGTACTAGAATCTGTACTTTACTAAGAAAATTTTATCCCAAATATAACATTAGTTACATCTATGACGTTCACTCGTCAGTCGGGGCGGTCGGGTAGCCTAGCGCTTAAATCATTTACTAGTCACGTCGAAGACACGGGTTCGATTCCCGACATGGGTACAATGTGTGAAGCCCATGTCTGGTGTCCCAGGCCGTGATAGTGCTGGTATATTGCTAAAAGCGACGTAAAACCATACTCACTCACTCAAGGTCTCAGTTCGAATCCGGACGTGTAAAGTGAATGTCTGGTTTCTGCCATCATGACACTGCTACCTCATTCACTTGAATTTGTTTATTCCCAGTCAAGACCAGAGAGGTGTTAGTTGACCAGAGCCGCATTGCTCTTTGAACAAGTTTGATCTTATTGTTAAATGTATCCACATACTTAAGAGAATACCGCTTTGTTCCTTGTAAATCGTTCATATTAAAAATAACGAACTACGTTTAGTTCCCTGGTTAAGTAACAGGTAAGTGATTTGTGTTAATGTCATGTTTGACCAACTCTGAATTTATGATATATCCATGGCGCACACGGCAGCAATGACATGATAATGTTTGTATATTTAGAAACATTATGGGTTAACAGCTACTTGTTTCATTTTTGCTAAGAACTTGTTCTATAGTGAATAAAATATATAAATAGCAATGTTGATGGCAATTGTTTACAGTAGCTGCCACTGTGTCTGTCTGTCTGTCTGTCTGTCTGTCTGTTTATAATAAGTTATAATAAGGGTTTAATTAATAACGACTAAAGGAAGACAATAAAGCGTCAGTCCTTAGCATGGTGTTTCAATGGTCCAGTACTACAATATTATGTAGGATATAGGCTTCTGTAGATATCACAGACAAACACGCCATCCACACCCCGAGACGTAGTGTACAATACACCTTGATACAGAGAAGGATACCGGCTTCTGTATATATCTGAGACAAACACGCCACCCATGCCCCGAGACGTAGTGTACAATACACCATGAAACAGAATAGGACCGTGGCTTGCGTAATATCTGGATGTCAGTGGTTAGTGGGGTGAATAATAGAGACAGGGTTCTACAAAGGGGGATAATTAACTTAATGGCCAAGCTCTTTCAAACAAACAACGGTCTTAGGAAGGCACAGAAGCGTCATATAATCGTTAAGAGTGACTTATTAAAGGCCCTTAACTAATATGGAAATAGTACATATGCTGAATCACATGGACGGGTGTGTGCCCCTGCTGCACATTTTGATTCATACAGTTAGCTGTAATCTTCAGCCAACATAGATCCTATGTGAATACAACTGTGGGGAATTCAACAAATCCTACTTTCTTGGGTAAAACGGTAGATGTGATTTCATCTAAATCGTCAGTGTTATTATACAGCCATGCACAGTCAACCTGAAGGACAGCATTGACTGGTGGGTCGTGGTGGAACTATATCCCGGTGAGCTCATGGAAGTGTATTTCCACTGGGAATTTCCGTTTGTATTAACATATACTCTTAAGGTTTACCTGGTGAAAGAATTGCAATTGATCACTTAACTATGATAATGAGCTGAAGGTCTGAACGAGCTGGAACGAATGCAAGTGTTTTTTTTGTGTTTCCTCATTCGGCCGACACTGAAATGTCAACAGACTACGTCGTCTTACCGAGAGCAGGACATGGACTCCTGAAAATAACACGGACAAACACGCCATCCATACCCTGAGACGTAGTGTACAATACACCATCACACAGAGAGTGGAACGCCGACTTCTGTAGATATCACAGACAACACACCATCCTTAACCCGAGACCTGTTTACAATACACCATGAAACAGAGAGCAGGACATAGCCTCATAAAGATACCACTGACAAACACACCACCCATACACCGAGACGTAGTGTACAATACACCATGAAACAGAGTAGTATATTGCCTTCTGAAGATGTCACACACAAACCCTTCATCCATACCCCGAGTCGAAGGTAACAATAAATGTATGGCTTGTAAACAAGCCAGTGTCCCCGTCAGTGGGATGTTTGCGGTTTCAGAAGGAACATTTCCTCTTGGTCAGTCGTTATACAATGTATATGTTCAGTTTAACAAGCTGATAATAATGTGTTTCACTTCGGAAATGAGGCATAATGTGTTTGTCACATCTATGGGTAATATGAAATGGCAAATCATGTTGTGGATAACTGCCATTTTTAGCTTGATAAAATAGATACGTGTTCTATTAGTTTAATTCAATTCAACAATCGTTACTGAAATAGGTTGTTTTGTTTTTTTAACATACCGACTTAGGGGTTTATTTTGCTTCAACATTGCCTTAAATATAATTGCTGTGTGTTTGTGTGTGTGTGTTTACGTGTGTTTGTGTGTACGTGTGTTTGTGTGTGTGTACGTGTGTACGTGTGTTTGTGTGTGCGTGCGTGCGTGCGTGCGTGCGTGCGTGCGTGCGTGCGTGTGTGTGTGTGTGTGTGTGTGTGTGTGTGTGTGTGTGTGTGTGTGTGCTTGTCCATTGAAACACCACGGCGCAGTTCAACATGAATACCCTACCTGTACACACTGTACTAACTCTGAGCTGACTAGACCAGCGCCAGGTATAGTATATGTGCTGATGTATGTTTGCATCAGTTGTAAGCTACAACCTATAACACATGGGATTATATGTTTACTTTAATTATTGTATGGCCCATAAAGCCCACGTTGTATGTGTGTCTACAGTCAAATGATACTACATTATGACACATCCATTTTAATTTCCGTGTTTTCTGCGTGAAATAATTCGTATTCATTATGACATATTCAGTTTAATTTCCGTGTTTTCTGTGTGAAATTATTCGTATTTATTATAGGTCTATACGCATACATTGAGATTCCGTTGAATTTAATTTCGAAACTAATGTCATTGCTTGTCAACGGGTCCAAATGCGGTTGTATATCAAGGGTAATTTTTGCCTGACGAGTACAGTACACTGTCAATCAGTCAAGCAGGGCTGTGCTTCTAAAACACTGTTACCTGGAGAGAAACTGTGCTATGGCTTATACTGACACTGAACTATAAGTGCACAGTAACCTCACCAAAATGCTGGACTATAAACGAATTCATTTTTTGCAAGGGCGATCATTTACAAAATAAAACTGTTGAACATCATGTTACATTACAAAAAACAATGTTACATGTGAGTTGTGTCCCTAAACATATTTTTATAACCAACGATTGGCATTGGATCTACGTTTAAAACTTATGACCTATAAAAGGTAATTTCCTCTTATTGACCAAGCAAGTTGTTTGAAACTCCATGTCGCCTGTTGTGAAGAAATAATTTCCTCCTCACACCCATATAGCTAGTGTGTTTCAATGAAGGAAGTTATAACATCCTCACTTCCAAGCTTCACAGTCACAAGACACATTCAGACGTTGTACACTGAGATCCCGGGGAGGTGGAGCTCGGCCACTAACAGCAAGTATACTGCTATACTCATTATACAAACGTGTGTTTCTAACCAAGTGAGCATTTCGTGTTGTTTTGTTATAAATAGTTAGGATAATGGAACATGCTTAGATGTGTATTAACATTATGTGACGTATATCAACATTCTGTGATGTATATCAACATTATGTGATGTATATCAACACTATGTGATGTATATCAACATTATGTGATGTATATCAACACTATGTGATGTATATCAACATTATGTGATGTATATCAACACTATGTGATGTATATCATCATTCTGTGATGTGTATCAACATTATGTGATGTATGTCAACACTATGTGATGTATATCAACATTGTGTGATGTATATCAACATTGTGTGATGTATATCAACATTGTGTGATGTATATCAACACTATGTGATGTATATCATCATTTTGTGATGTATATCAACATCATGTGATGTATATCAACATAATGTCATGTATTTCAACATAATGTCATGTATATCAACACGATGTGATGTATATCAACACGATGTGATGTATATCAACACGATGTGATGTATATCAACATAATGTCATGTATATCAACACGATGTGATGTATATCAACATCCTGTGAATTATGGCAGAACTATTACACGCACGTCTCACCGAACATCTATATGTATCTTATATTTATTTATGCGTTTTGTTTCAGGTGATATGGCACCGATGACAGTTCTGTGCGTAGCGTGCATGATGGTGTACACTCGTAGTAAAGACAAGAATATTTCCTTTATGAAAGATTTCATTATTTCAGCTTTTTAGATTTCTGACATGTTATGCATTTACATCTGCAACATGCGCTGTTCTATAGATAACATCACTCTTCCTTGTATCATGATCAGCTGTAGTTATGAAACTGAGGATGTCATATCGTCAATCACAAGGGCCAGTTTTAATTATTTAACAGAACAAATCCACACATTGTATACTTATATTTTTGGCTTTTAACGCTTTTTTGCACGTGCTTCAGTAATATACATTTTTGCCATCATTTTCAGCTGCCAAATGCAAAGGATACCAACACTGTTCAGACTGTGACAGCACTACAGGACATTGCATCTTTGAGTGTGAACCTGGGTATTTTGATCAGGAGTGTAGTTCTATTTGCAACAAAAATTGTCGAAACAAGAAATGTAAACTGTCAATAAATGGCAATGATAATTGCACTGAAGGTTGTGTCCTGGGATACCAAGGCCCGGGGTGTAGTCGGCCATGTTACAACCCAGGAGGTGTTTGTACAGCATGCCCAGGTGGGTGTGATGGAGGATATTGTCAGCTTGGCTCCTCCTGTGTGTCTGGATGTATAGACTCCTACTATGGGTCTGGCTGCAAGACATGTCACAGAGGATGTAAGACATGCAACAGCATAACAGGATCATGCACGGAGTGTCATCCTTCATTTCCCGGTCCGAACTGTGAACAGGAGACGAACACTACCAGAGGTTGTGAAGGTGGTTGTGTACCTGGACATATGGACAGAGACTGCAAACATTGTTCTGACAAATGTCTCAATAAGACCTGTCACCCTAAGAACGAACCCTTTGATAAACGATGTAATCCAGGATTCTATGGTGAACACTGCAACAAGACGTGTGGTGTGTGTATTGATGGAGACTGTGATCAGATGACAGGGATGTGCTTCAGAGGGTGTAACAGGACCAAACTTGGATGTGAACCTTCCTGTAGAGCCAACTGTACTTTAGCTGAATGTGACATTGACACATGTCCACAAGGTGAATATATTCTCTTTATATTAATTAAAATAGAGGGGAGATCCCGCATAACCAATGGATTAATCCACATGCCAAACTTAGTTGTAGGCGCAAGGCTTCTGCTGTCCATTCCCTGTTCTGTTTTGATTCATGCACGGACTGGAATCACCCATCTATGTTGTACTTGAACAGGTTATACTTGAGCGTGTGAACCACTGATAACGTCTCTCCCCTAATTTAACACTTTCAGCAGCTGTAGTTGACACAAAGTTAACACAGGACATATTCAAAATGAGCATTTATTGGTTCTTGTTTTGTGTGTATATATTGAGGAAGTAACTTAGTAAAGCAGTTTTACAAGTGTGACATTAGAAACTGAGGATTTAGCGATTTGAACAAATTAATTTATACATTCATCTTTTCGCAAGATGTCTGTAAAAGGGGAGGTACACCTATGCAGTGTCCTGGTACACGTTCCTGTCATCTGATGAGAAACAACATTCAGACGGACTACACAAGTATGGTTGTAGTTTTGCTGTAACATCCAGGTATACAACCATGCATACAATCCCGGGTAGCCACGTGTCTTACATGTTTAGAAATACATAAGGAGGAACATCCAGGTATACAACCATGCACACAATCCCGGGTAGCCAGGTGTCTTACATGTTTAGAGATGCATAAGAAGGAACATCCAGATATACAACCATGCATACAATCCCGGGTAGCCATGTGTCTTACATGTTTAGAGATACATAAGGAGGAACATCCAGGTATACAACCATGCATACAATCCCGGGTAGCCACATGTCTTACATGTTTAGAGATACATAAGGAGGAACATCCAGGTATACAACCATGCATACAATCCCGGGTAGCCACGTGTCTTACATGTTTAGAGATACATAAGGAGGAACATCCAGGTATACAACCATGCATACAATCCCGGGTAGCCACGTGTCTTACATGTTTAGAAATACATAAGGAGGAACATCCAGGTATACAACCATGCATACAATCCCGGGTAGCCACGTGTCTTACATGTTTAGAGATGCATAAGGAGGAACATCCAGGTATACAACCATGCATACAATCCCAGGTAGCCACGTGTCTTACATGTTTAGAGATACATAAGGAGGAACATCCAGGTATACAACCATGCATACAATCCCGGGTAGCCACGTGTCTTACATGTTAAGAGGTACATAAGGAGGAACATCCAGGTATACAACCATGCATACAATCCCGGGTAGCCATGTGTCTTACATGTTTAGAGATACATAAGGAGGAACATTCAGGTATACAACCATGCATACAATCCCAGAAAGCCACGTGTCTTTCATGTTTAGAAATACATAAGGAGAAACATCCAGGTATACAACCATGCATATAATCCCGGGTAGCCACGTGTCTTACATGTGTAGAGATACATAAGGAGGAACATCCAGGTATACAACCATGCATACAATCCCGTGTAGCCATGTGTCTTACATGTGTAGAGATGCATAAGGAGGAACATCCAGGTATACAACCATGCATACAATCCCAGAAAGCCACGTGTCTTACATGTTTAGAGATGCATAAGGAGGAACATCCAGATATACAACCATGCATACAATCCCGGGTAGCCACGTGTCTTACATGTTTAGAGATACATAAGGAGGAACATCCAGGTATACAACCATGCATACAATCCCGGGTAGCCAGATGTCTTACATGTTAAGAGATACATAAGGAGGAACATCCAGGTATACAACCATGCATACAATCCCGGGTAGCCACGTGTCTTACATGTTAAGAGATACATAAGGAGGAACATCCAGGTATACAACCATGCATACAATCCCGGGTAGCCACGTGTCTTACATGTTTAGAAATACATAAGGAGGAACATCCAGGTATACAACCATGCATACAATCCCGGGTAGCCACGTGTCTTACATGTTTTAGAAATACATAAGGAGGAACATCCATGTATACAACCATGCATACAATCCCGGGTAGCCAGGTGTCTTACATGTTTTAGAAATACATAAGGAGGAACATCCAGGTATACAACCATGCATACAATCCCGGGTAGCCACGTGTCTTACATGTTTAGAGATACATATGGAGGAACATCCAGGTATACAACCATGCATACAATCCCGGGTAGCCACGTGTCTTACATGTTTAGAGATACATAAGGAGGAACATCCAGGTATACAACCATGCATACAATCCTGGGTAGCCACGTGTCTTACATGTTTAGAGATACATAAGGAGGAACATCCAGGTATACAACCATGCATACAATCCTGGGTAGCCACGTGTCTTACATGTTAAGAGATACATAAGGAGGGGTACATTGGATAAAATGAATACTTTTCATGGAACCTTTTTAATGTGAGGGGTTGTTAGGGACAGGTTGGTCGGAAGTGTGAATGTCCACCCTGCAACTTATGAAGATTGCGAAATGGGCGGCTGTAAACAAGCACCGCGTGAGTATGTCCGTGATCAACACTGTAAGCTTAGCCTTGATATAAATGTAGGTAAACGTCCCTAACAACCCCTCACCTATGAAGGATCCTTGAAACAAATATTTATTTCATCCAAGATGTTCCTCCTTATGTAGCTTTAAACATGTAAGATGTGAGGTGAGGTGAAATGGGGTTTAACGTCACGTCCAAGATTATTGCACTTATATAGCGACGTGCATGCACGTGTGTGTGTGTGTGTGTGTGTGTGTGTGTGTGTGTGTGTGTGTGTGTGTGTGTGTGTGTGTGTGTGTGTGTGTGTGTGTGTGTGTGTGTGTGTGTGTGTGTGTGTGTGTGTGTGTGTGTGTGTGTGTGTGTGTGTGTGTGTGTGTGTGTGTGTGTGTGTGTGTGTGTGTGTGTGTGTGTGTGTGTGTGTGTGTGTGTGTGTGTGTGTGTGTGTGTGTGTGTGTGTGTGTGTGTGTGTGTGTGTGTGTGTGTGTGTGTGTGTGTGTGTGTGTGTGTGTGTGTGTGTGTGTGTGTGTGTGTGTGTGTGTGTGTGTGTGTGTGTGTGTGTGTGTGTGTGTGTGTGTGTGTGTGTGTGTGTGTGTGTGTGTGTGTGTGTGTGTGTGTGTGTGTGTGTGTGTGTGTGTGTGTGTGTGTGTGTGTGTGTGTGTGTGTGTGTGTGTGTGTGTGTGTGTGTGTGTGTGTGTGTGTGTGTGTGTGTGTGTGTGTGTGTGTGTGTGTGTGTGTGTGTGTGTGTGTGTGTGTGTGTGTGTGTGTGTGTGTGTGTGTGTGTGTGTGTGTGTGTGTGTGTGTGTGTGTGTGTGTGTGTGTGTGTGTGTGTGTGTGTGTGTGTGTGTGTGTGTGTGTGTGTGTGTGTGTGTGTGTGTGTGTGTGTGTGTGTGTGTGTGTGTGTGTGTGTGTGTGTGTGTGTGTGTGTGTGTGTGTGTGTGTGTGTGTGTGTGTGTGTGTGTGTGTGTGTGTGTGTGTGTGTGTGTGTGTGTGTGTGTGTGTGTGTGTGTGTGTGTGTGTGTGTGTGTGTGTGTGTGTGTGTGTGTGTGTGTGTGTGTGTGTGTGTGTGTGTGTGTGTGTGTGTGTGTGTGTGTGTGTGTGTGTGTGTGTGTGTGTGTGTGTGTGTGTGTGTGTGTGTGTGTGTGTGTGTGTGTGTGTGTGTGTGTGTGTGTGTGTGTGTGTGTGTGTGTGTGTGTGTGTGTGTGTGTGTGTGTGTGTGTGTGTGTGTGTGTGTGTGTGTGTGTGTGTGTGTGTGTGTGTGTGTGTGTGTGTGTGTGTGTGTGTGTGTGTGTGTGTGTGTGTGTGTGTGTGTGTGTGTGTGTGTGTGTGTGTGTGTGTGTGTGTGTGTGTGTGTGTGTGTGTGTGTGTGTGTGTGTGTGTGTGTGTGTGTGTGTGTGTGTGTGTGTGTGTGTGTGTGTGTGTGTGTGTGTGTGTGTGTGTGTGTGTGTGTGTGTGTGTGTGTGTGTGTGTGTGTGTGTGTGTGTGTGTGTGTGTGTGTGTGTGTGTGTGTGGCTACTTGTACTAGACCGGATTGGTGCCAGTTTATAGTGCTAGCACACTGAGATACCATGCCGCAGTTTAACATGAATACCCCATGGCCACTCAGACACAGTATACTGACTCCGAGCCGACCAGTCCTTGTGTTAGCCCCTTAATACCGAGCGCCAGACAGGGTAACAGCAAGTACCATCTTTTAACGTCTTTTGGTATGACGCGGCTGGGGATCGAACTCCGGACCTTCCGCTCCCCGGGCGGACGCTCTACCACTAGGCCACGGAGGCGGTAAATATGTATGACACGTGGCTACCTGGGATTGTATTCATGGTTGTATACCTGGATGTTACGGTAAAACTACTACCATACTCGTGTAGTCTATCTGAATGTTGTTTCTCATCAGATGACAGGAACGTGTACAAGGACACTACGTAGGCGTACATTTCCCTCATACAGACACCTTGTGAATAGATGAACGCTAAATCCTCAGTTTATAATTTCACACTTGTAAAACTGCTTAAGTCAGCTTCTTCCTCAATACAGTAAATCAACATGCATGTGTTCCCAGCAACGTATGCTGAAGATAAGGGCGCCTAAATGGGTCAGTCTCGAAAGCAAGTCTGTAATGGCACACAGAGAGTTGCACATAATATATCACTGGATTGCTTAGCCCAGACTCGATTGCGTACAGGCCGTCGTTTTACAACGGGAGCATTGCTTAGTGCGACGTTAAAAAACACACCACACAGAAACATTATCTCCCGTGTGCCACGCACATGCGTAATGTGCCTTCATATTTTAAAATGTATACTTGTTCCTTGCACTGTATGACCATGCTCTTTATCAAGGTGAACCTGATATATTCGCTATGTATTTGCTCAAGGACATGGAACAAGAGCTGATCTAGTGTGCATTACACATGTTTTAATATTTAGTCGCTCGTCTTTTTGCCAGATGGGAATGACGAACAGAAGACAGGCAGTGTGCTGACTTGGTTGTTGGCATCACTGCTTCTCCTTGTATCGGGCATCTTGCTGACACTCTGCCTCTGTTACTGCAAGCGTTTCCCCAAACAAAGGTGGGTCTGTTGCCATCACTGCTACTCCTTGTGTCGGACATCTTGCTGACACTCTGCCTCTGTTACTGCAAGCGTTTCCCCAAACAAAGGTGGGTATGTTGCCATCACTGCTACTCCCTGTGTCGGGCATCTTGCTGACACTCTGTCTCTGTTACTGCAAGCGTTTCCCCAAACAAAGGTGGGTGTGTTGCCATCACTGCTACTCCCTGTGTCGGGCATCTTGCTGACACTCTGTCTCTGTTACTGCAAGCGTTTCCCCAAACAAAGGTGGGTGTGTTGCCATCACTGCTACTCCCTGTGTCGGGCATTTTGCTGACACTCTGCCTCTGTTACTGCAAGCGTTTCCCCAAACAAAGGTGGGTGTGTTGCCATCACTGCTACTCCCTGTGTCGGGCATCTTGCTGACACTCTGCCTCTGTTACTGCAAGCGTTTCCCCAAACAAAGGTGGGTGTGTTGCCATCAGTGCTACTCCCTGTGTCGGGCATCTTGCTGACACTCTGCCTCTGTTACTGCAAGCGTTTCCCCAAACAAAGGTGGGTGTGTTGCCATCACTGCTACTCCCTGTGTCGGGCATCTTGCTGACACTCTGCCTCTGTTACTGCAAGCGTTTCCCCAAACAAAGGTGGGTGTGTTGCCATCAGTGCTACTCCCTGTGTCGGGCATCTTGCATCTTGCCTCTGCCTCTGTTACTGCAAGCGTTTCCCCAAACAAAGGTGGGTGTGTTGCCATCACTGCTTCTCCTTGTGTCGGGCATCTTGCTGACACTCTGCCTCTGTTACTGCAAGCGTTTCCCCAAACAAAGATGGGTATGTTGCCATCACTGCTACTCCCTGTGTCGGGCATCTTGCTGACACTCTGTCTCTGTTACTGCAAGCGTTTCCCCAAACAAAGGTGGGTGTGTTGCCATCACTGCTACTCCCTGTGTCGGGCATCTTGCTGACACTCTGTCTCTGTTACTGCAAGCGTTTCCCCAAACAAAGGTGGGTGTGTTGCCATCACTGCTACTCCCTGTGTCGGGCATCTTGCTGACACTCTGCCTCTGTTACTGCAAGCGTTTCCCCAAACAAAGGTGGGTGTGTTGCCATCACTGCTACTCCCTGTGTCGGGCATCTTGCTGACACTCTGCCTCTGTTACTGCAAGCGTTTCCCCAAACAAAGGTGGGTGTGTTGCCATCAGTGCTACTCCCTGTGTCGGGCATCTTGCTGACACTCTGCCTCTGTTACTGCAAGCGTTTCCCCAAACAAAGGTGGGTGTGTTGCCATCACTGCTACTCCCTGTGTCGGGCATCTTGCTGACACTCTGCCTCTGTTACTGCAAGCGTTTCCCCAAACAAAGGTGGGTGTGTTGCCATCAGTGCTACTCCCTGTGTCGGGCATCTTGCATCTTGCCTCTGCCTCTGTTACTGCAAGCGTTTCCCCAAACAAAGGTGGGTGTGTTGCCATCACTGCTACTCCCTGTGTCGGGCATCTTGCTGACACTCTGTCTCTGTTACTGCAAGCGTTTCCCCAAACAAAGATGGGTATGTTGCCATCACTGCTACTCCCTGTGTCGGGCATCTTGCTGACACTCTGTCTCTGTTACTGCAAGCGTTTCCCCAAACAAAGGTGGGTGTGTTGCCATCACTGCTACTCCCTGTGTCGGGCATCTTGCTGACACTCTGTCTCTGTTACTGCAAGCGTTTCCCCAAACAAAGGTGGGTGTGTTGCCATCACTGCTACTCCCTGTGTCGGGCATCTTGCTGACACTCTGCCTCTGTTACTGCAAGCGTTTCCCCAAACAAAGGTGGGTGTGTTGCCATCACTGCTACTCCCTGTGTCGGGCATCTTGCTGACACTCTGCCTCTGTTACTGCAAGCGTTTCCCCAAACAAAGGTGGGTGTGTTGCCATCAGTGCTACTCCCTGTGTCGGGCATCTTGCATCTTGCCTCTGCCTCTGTTACTGCAAGCGTTTCCCCAAACAAAGGTGGGTGTGTTGCCATCACTGCTTCTCCTTGTGTCGGGCATCTTGCTGACACTCTGCCTCTGTTACTGCAAGCGTTTCCCCAAACAAAGGTGGGTATGTTGCCATCACTGCTACTCCCTGTGTCGGGCATCTTGCTGACACTCTGCCTCTGTTACTGCAAGCGTTTCCCCAAACAAAGGTGGGTGTGTTGCCATCACTGCTACTCCCTGTGTCGGGCATCTTGCTGACACTCTGTCTCTGTTACTGCAAGCGTTTCCCCAAACAAAGGTGGGTGTGTTGCCATCACTGCTACTCCCTGTGTCGGGCATCTTGCTGACACTCTGCCTCTGTTACTGCAAGCGTTTCCCCAAACAAAGGTGGGTGTGTTGCCATCACTGCTACTCCCTGTGTCGGGCATCTTGCTGACACTCTGCCTCTGTTACTGCAAGCGTTTCCCCAAACAAAGGTGGGTGTGTTGCCATCACTGCTACTCCCTGTGTCGGGCATCTTGCATCTTGCCTCTGCCTCTGTTACTGCAAGCGTTTCCCCAAACAAAGGTGGGTGTGTTGCCATCACTGCTTCTCCTTGTGTCGGGCATCTTGCTGACACTCTGCCTCTGTTACTGCAAGCGTTTCCCCAAACAAAGGTGGTTATGTTGCCATCACTGCTACTCCCTGTATCGGGCATCTTGCTGACACTCTGTCTCTGTTACTGCAAGCGTTTCCCCAAACAAAGGTGGGTGTGTTGCCATCACTGCTACTCCCTGTGTCGGGCATCTTGTTGACACTCTGCCTCTGTTACTGCAAGCGTTTCCCCAAACAAAGGTGAATGTGTTGCCATCACTGCTTCTCCTTGTGTCGGGCATCTTGCTGACACTCTGTCTCTGTTACTGCAAGCGTTTCCCCAAACAAAGGTGGGTGTGTTGCCATCACTGCTACTCCCTGTGTCGGGCATCTTGCATCTTGCCTCTGCCTCTGTTACTGCAAGCGTTTCCCCAAACAAAGGTGAATGTGTTGCCATCACTGCTACTCCCTGTATCGGGCATCTTGCTGACACTCTGCCTCTGTTACTGCAAACGTTTCCCAAATAAAGGTGGGTGTGTTGCCATCACTGCTACTCCCTGTGTCGGGCATCTTGCTGACACTCTGTCTCTGTTACTGCAAGCGTTTCCCCAAACAAAGGTGAGTTTGTCCCAGTGTTATGGTAACAGTCACTACACGACCACTGTAGTTTGTAGTATGTTTATTGTACCTGGGGCTAAAATTGACTCATACTTCAAACCATACTTACTATTCACACCACTATGACGTATTTTGGAGTTTTGTCATGATATGCTAGTAATTCATACACGTCAAAACTTCATTTTTCCACTTATCAAATCAACGTAATTTAGTTAAAATGTTAAATGGAGGAAATTGTTATCACACCCAAAAGAAGACAGTTAACTCCCCGACAGGGTTATTATTGCGCAATATTCACGTTTGGTTAATGTTTGTTTGTTTGTTGTTTAATGCCGAAGTCAGAGGTATTCCAGCTATATGACGGCGGTCTGTAAATAACCGAGTCTGGACCAGAAAATCCGGTGATTGACATCATGAGCATCGATCAATGCAATTGGGATACGATGACATCCATCAACCAAGTCCGCGAGACTGACCACCTGATCCCGTTAGTCGCCTCTTACGACAAGCATAGTCAAGCATGGGTAGCTGGAAGATCTATTGAATTGATAATTACTAAATAAGCATCATGTACGTTAGTGTCAGTAGTTGCTGATATGATTACGAGAAGAGATTTGGAACCATTATGCATCATAGTATACCACAACGTGGGCGACCACAAGGTGGGGGAAAGGTCGATCCTTTTCTGAGAGAAGCAGGATCGGTTGCTAGCTTCGATGATTCCCAAAACTTTAATCACTGATGTTCTTGAATGTGTAAAGCAACACTGGTATATCATTGTAGGTTTAGAGTACGTTTCGACGCTTTTTAACAGATCAGAAATGTAAGATCATGCTTCTGGTGAGGATTGGTTTGTTTGTTTGTTGTTATTGGATATTCCAGCTATAAAACGGCGGTCTATAAAACATCTAGTCTGGACCAGACAATCCAGTGATTAATATCATGAGCATCGATCCATGCTATTTGGATCAATGACATGCATCAACCAAGTCAGTGAGCCTGGCCACCTGATCCCGTTAGTCGCCTCTTATGACAGGCATAGTCGCCTTTTATGGCAAAATGGGTTGCTGAGGACCTATTCTACCCCGAATGTTCGCGGGTCTCTGGTGACTAAACGATAATAGGTAATGTACGCATGAGAAAATGCAGTATATGCACAAAGATCCTAAATACATACATATCTCTGTGTTGCAGGGAACAGGAGGAGCACCAGGATCAGATGCATCAAGATGAGGTGGAGTATCTGCAGTATTTACCTACAGTACAGGGAGATACACTTAATACTAACCGTCATTCGAATCATGCCTATTATGACGTTATCGATGCCGAGAAGGGTCCCGCCATTGTGTTCCTGTGACCACTGATTATATGTTCCCTCGTTTATGTTGTATGACGCGCTAGTTGTTGATGAATTTGTCGGTTTTATCAGTGGTGATCTTCTGTTTGTTATTCCGCCCTCATTTAGCTGACCCTGTTCCCAAAGTATACAGCACTATACTACAACATTAACGTTAAAAACACGTGAAGAATATATGGTGCGCTTCACATCGATGATGATGCCATGAACGTTGATGCCACTACTCTGTACAGTATACGTCTTTACTACCAGCTGATAATACATGGGTCTATTAGCAATGGTGATATGAAACCAAAGTTGTTGTTATCATTTAACGTGTATAGAATACTATTTGTATTGTGTAAACAAGTGTCTCAGTCACGAAAGACGAGACGTAAACTTCGGGTCGTGTCGCTTCGGATCAATGTTGTGTGTGTTTGTACTAATGTGCCTTAAATTTGCAAGTCGTGCACACTAATTCTTAATTTTCATAAAAGATTGAAAAAGATCAGGTGTGATATATTTGTACATTAAAGTAATAAACATTCTACACTGTACACACGCTTCTGTTTGTTATTATTTATCTATAAACTGTGGTAAAAAACAAGTGTGTATCCATTAAATCACCACAACTTATGCAATTGCTGTGTGGTACGTCTATTTACTTGCTATGAAGGGTGATGTTACTAACAAAGTAGCTTAAGAATATAATACACTCCAATGTATTATAGGCCTTTACGGGTAGGAAGTTCATTCTGGAAACAAACATGAGAACTATTCGGCACAGTCTTCAACGATGTTCCTAATAGTGTAATACATTGCACATGGTGTACATACATTGAAACAACAGTGTCTGGATGCAGGTTTATTCTCGTATATATTCGTGTATAATTTTACAAAAATGGTTGATGCGAGTTTGGACCAGAGTATCCAGTGGTTGACATCATGAACATCGGTATATCGGTAACGATGACATGCATCCACCAATTCTTGGAGCATGATAATTCCATCTCGTTAGTCGCCTCCTCCGACAAGCATGGGTTCTTGAGACCAGTACGAACACTTATCTTTATGAGTTGCTTTGACAATGAGCAATTAGATTGTGTTTGATTTGTTTTTGTTGTTGTTTAAGGCACACTCAGCTGTATTCAAGCTATTTTGCGACGTTTTGTAAATCATCGAGTCTGGAGCAGACAATCCAGTGATTGACATCATGAGAATCGATCTACGCAATTGGGATACGATGACATGCATCAACAAAGTCTGCGCGTCTGACCACCCGATCCCGTTTCGCCTTTTTACGGCAAGCATGGGTTGCTGAAGACTTAATCTTATCCGGAGCAATTAGATTTGCTTCAATTGTCTTTCATTATAAAAATGTATATCCTATATTTCAATTTTAAAAACTCAACAATATAAAATGCGTTAACGTGCACAAGGGAGGCACAACGAACATATTTGTAGATTTGAAACCATAACACAATAGGGGCGAACAATGCTTGTTTCGTTCTACTGTGAGTTTGATTTAATCATTTGTTGAAGGAACACAACACACAGTTTATCCGGTACAAACGCACAATAGAGTCATTAATCATCAACTCAACAACACCATACATTTAAATGGCCTGGGTTAGAGTGTATCGGACCCAAGCGTCTAGTTTTCATAACCCCTTAATATTTCACCTGGTAAAACAGTGGACACGTAAATACTAACCCGCTCAGTCAGAAACATTTAGTCACAGAAATGCTTCTGCTCCTTACCTGTTACTGGGGACATGATGTCACTGGAATTATGCCTGCCAGAGTTGCATTGCATTAATTCGTTAATCCTAACCCGCCCAGTCAGAAACATATATATTTAGTCACAAGAATGCTTCTGTTAATAACGAGTGATGTCACTAGAACTGTTCCTGTCCGAGTTACATTGTTGCTGAAGGTTGGCGTCACCGAGCACGGCGGGTGTAACACAATAGGACAATGGAAAGCTCGTATCGCAACGTGGCGAGACTTAACAGATAAACTCTGCTTGACCTTCTGCCTTGTGTACAATAGATACATGCAGTGAAACAGCAGGTCACCTTGAGCTGTCCAGACAAGCGGAATGTTGACAACGAAGCTGCATACGGAGATCGCCTGCAACACGTGGTACTTGCGTTATTGTCGGCGTGGATCCGTGGACCTGGATCTTCGGCGTGACGAGCGAACGCTTTAACCATTTGGTTTATCAACCGCCCCCCGGCCCTATAGTTACGGTGATAAGATAAAATAGATGCCCAGTTTCTTGTCATGCCTCGTGTACATCAGAACACCTTTAAATATCCACTCACATGTTTGAAAACGGAATTATTGGTTGTTTTGAGGGTCGTATATTGTAAGTGGCGTGTTCGGCACACTCATTGTTACTGAGGCAGAGGTCGAATTGAATAAAAGCGATACGGAAATAATTGCAAAACTGGTTGTAAATAACGCCCACTTTACGTGCTGTATGAACAGCCCTTCAGCATACCCTTGTGATACACATGTTTACGTGCTAGTTGTATCAAGGGTGCCATGAATAAAACATTGTCCTTCCCTATCAGAGCGGAAAACCCAGCCACCCTGTACTTGTAGGGGCACACTGACATGGTGACTTGAATCATTCTTGTAACTTTGCACCACAGAATATTACACGATGTGTATTTGTCGACTGAGGAATCTGGAGCTACAGCAGTCAACCGTTTCTTCCCAGGTACAGCTAATTGCGACGACTTATGTAAGGTCGTTATTTGTTAACCATCACTATGCGTCCCCTGTAATATGTATGTGTATGATGAGTTATTTGTTTATTGACATCTAAAGAAGCATTGACCTATTCTACCCTGGATCTTCACGGGTCACGAATGGTATGTACAGTGTAAGGGTATAGTCTAGGACAACGAACCTCTATCGCACGATAAGGCTGTATGGAAGCCTTTCTGTACAAGATCAACAATATACGCCCAACGAACACGTCCAGGAAAACTCAAGGTTCGATCGCAAACTCTGCCTAATATTGATTCATGAAACATCATAACCTATTCACTGAACTACAGTCACAGCATCCCTGGTGATTCCGGGTAGGAATATAGCAACCTTTTCGCAAAAGGCGATTAACGGAATCGGGTAGTTAGGTTCGCTGACTTTGTTGATTTTAATATTCCGTAGATGATCATGATTTCAGTCTCTGAGATGTCTGGTCAAGACTCGATTATTTACAGGCCGCCGTCATACACATGGAATGTTGTTTATTGTGGCGGTAAATAACACACAAACAGAACTGTCACAGCCACCCTTTCATACCTCGACATTCGCTCTCAGCTATCAACGAACATCTAAATGCACTTGTTATCTGGGGCATGTGAAGTGACATTAACGCAACTCTGGTGCAGGGAAATGTGACCTGACTCTGCATATCTGTCAGGCTCCAATCACTGTGTGCTGCAAGGTCGCTCTCTGACATGTTACTTGTGATCAAGCCGGGCGTGTCATGTCATTTCTCGGAAGTATGTACAATGCCCTAAAGGGGCGCCAGGTAGTTGACATTTTCCCCTAATAAAAGAAAACAGAAAAACACAAACAAATCATTCATGTTTATATAGTCATGTTTATATATATTAACTTGTTCACGCTATTGGTCAACTAGTTCTGATAAATAGACACATTATTCCCTAATTGACACATACTGCTTCCCCTACACATAGTACGAGCGTAGACTCACTCCCGATGAGTGAGGCTTGACAAGCCTGACTGACCTGGTTGGGATTGATTAATTGATTGATCTTTAAAACTGCTATACAGACATGGCTGTGTGTTTTGTGTACATGTAAGAAGTTTGAAACGTGGTGGATCGTGGGATGACAAGAGTGGGGTACCAGCGGGGACGACGGATTGAGCTGGTGTTTTGCGGGTACAACATGTGGAGGTTAATACAGTTTGTGAGGGTAGGGAGAAGAGGGTTAGTGGGTAGCCGCGTAATCAGGGTATGAATACGCTGAAACAGGAGAGGACGTCCGCAATTAATAGAGATGCGTCAAATGCATTCAGACACAGTTGAAAGTGTTCTACGTGAATGTCCACGATGTCTTTCTTGACAGTTGATATGATGGAGTGTGTTTCATGCACCAGTTCATTCTGGTCCAAATATCTGTGATAACCAGACTTCGTGATATGTTCAACTTCCAAATTGACAACCCATGTAAAATCTATCCTCTTCCCTGTTAACTTACAACATGTTTTGTTCTCTCCTTTGGAGGAATAAAAGCATATGAAGTAAATTACGGTTATAATGATGTCAAAGGGACCACTAATTTTAATTCGTTATAACCGTAGTTCGTTATAAGCAAATGAACGGAATATTTACAGCAAATAGACAGGACCAAACAATAGTTCGTTATATCCGTCAGTTCGTTATAACTGTGTTCGATTTTACCGTAGTTTACTGTATATGTCACCTGAGTTGGGTTTAACGCCTTTTTTAACAGTGTTCCAGGTATATCACGGCGTGTCAGCTTAATGTGGGAGGAAAGCCCAATTAAACCCACGAGCACGGGTATGGTGCAGACAAACCTAGAAACATAATCGGGATTCGAACCCACAATCATAGGTTTCTTGCGTGCCCAAGAGACGCAACTCTGCACATCAAACTGCGGCGCCTTAGACGACTTGGCCACCCGTGGCCCCCTATGGAGGAATAATAACATATACATGTCACCTGAAGGACAACGACTAACAGTGAACAGCTAGGCTTAATCGTGCAGGCTGCATGAAATATATGTCTCCTCAAAAACGCACTACAGTTGACAAGTAGTCGCGTCTCAATGTTGTTCATCTTAATAAATAAAAATAATCGAAGCGTGAACATGATTTTGTAACGAAATCATTACATATTCTCTGTTCCACGTGATCTGGTTAGGAGCCGAACTAGAGCATGCTGGGACATATCTCGCGACACCAGGACACAGTAGTATGGAGGAAAGCCCTGGGACATTACGGTGAAAGATTAAAGGATATATTTCAGCATCACAGTGGTAAGTAAAATCTGCATTTACTATAATGTACCACAAAAGCAATATTTCATCTCAATTCACCTTCTGAAACAGATATGGGAAGCACAAACACCGGAATGCACTGATTAATATTTACATTCCAAGACGTTGGAAGGACAAATATAGCCTCATAGGTTATGTTATTTGTTTACAATAATGTTATGTTATTCACAGACACCCGACACTCAACGTAATATCCATATTTCACATGTGGTTCTTGGGTATCAGTATTATCGATCGTCATGTCCAACAAAAGACATGTTTGTGTACTGCATTTCACTTCCGTCTTAAAGGTGTGTTGTACATTCGGTTTGGTGCACATTAGCCTTTGACTTGTATCTTGGTTTTATTTGTCTATGACTCCGTGGTATAAAGCCTATGACATAAACCACAGACAGAAACCTGACAACCAACCTTACTATAAATAATTCACATAAGGAATTTATACCTGTCACAGATCGAAGTTCAGGTCACGCTGCCCTTCGTCGTCGCTGTAATTGTGTACTGCATTCCACGTCCACGTTCAGTGTGTATTGCTCATTCGGGTGACGCAGTTCAGTCGCGGACGTGCATTTGGACCTGGAAATTATATTTCGACATATATTATATGACATTATGTGATCACTAGGAACAGATGTTGCTGTCTTACAGACAAACATATGTCCTCTTGACAAAAAACAAATACACAACTCACATACCCGACTTCTTACTACTACTTAGTTGATGCTTGAGTACAAGGGGCACGGGTGGCCCAGTCGTCTAAGTACATTTACATAAAGTCGTCATACCCCTTATTATACTGTGTCACGGGTGGCCCTGTCGTCAAAGGCCCCACAATTCGCTGTGGGGTTGCCTCCCTTGGGAACACCAGGAACCTATTATTGTGGATACCAAATCCCGATGTGCAACGTGGATGTGTCTAGGTTTCCCAGCACCAAACGTTGGCTTTATGGCAGTGGTCTAACTGGAATGCCCTTCAAAGCTGCGTTAAACCCACCAACCTTATTCATTACATTGCATATGCACAGAGTCATTCGTGACAGTTGATCTTCCTCCATATCTCCCACGCATGAGTTTAGTTTTGTTATACAGTAAGCGACGTGCACCGAATCCAACAACTAGCATTAGCTGGTTTCTAAAACCAGACAACCGTGATATGTATGCTTTAGCATATAGCAAAAACAACAACCAGAAGTAAACAAAGGCACACATCGGGGATATTGGTCCTTACAACATATTTACCTGAAATATATTATCAACACTGACTGACTGACTGAGTATGGTTTTACGCCGCATGGTATCTCAGTGAGCTAGCACTATGAATCGGCATCAGTCCGGACTAGTACAAACCGCCACACAAACACACACACGTACATGCACGTCGCTATATAAGTGCAATAATCTTGGACGCGACGTTAAACCCCATTTCACCTCACCTCACCTCACCTCACTGTTAAGAAAAAAGGGAAATCACAGTCCCGACACGTCTGAATATATTCAGACTAAAAGTACATCCGAACGGATAATTCGAACCACGGGCATAGCTGCGAACAAGTTTTCAACGAAACCTAAAGCTAAGGCAGTTATTCTTGGACCGACAGGGAGGCGACTGTGACGTGCATGCCAGAGTTGACATAATGTGGGGCACACAGCAACATGTCCCATGACCCCACTGCACAGAGGTGAGTGGTGAATGAATGGGCGGGACACCATGGCTGCAGCGTAGGTGATGGTATCAACATCGTTGAGGTACGTAAATCTCTAAACGATTTAAGTTGCCGGCCATTTCGACATAAATCAGCTGATGTTACATTTACTGAAACATTCATATAGACCGAGCCGTGTATATTATTGTATTTTGTCGGCGCATGGTAAAGGTGAAATGCAGACGGAAACCCGACACTCAACTGGACTGTTATCGGTATGGTCGGCCTTCATGTCACGTTGACCTCCGACATCGGTACACCAAGCAAGTAAATAAACACACTATGGTTTGTGAGCATATCTGTCCAGCAACAAGGTGTCATTCGCGTCAAGCCTGAGTTGTGGTAGATAATTAAATGTCTTGTGTAAGATGGAACTATTGACTTATGGACACACAGGGAATGATACAAATGTTTGATATGTTAATTTATTAACAGCTAGTGATGGGCATCAGCTCGCTTAATAGAGGTTCCACTGTACACGACAACCCACACAACAATACAAGATCTGAGTGTATCGACAGTCAGTTTATTGGACAGCCACATAGATTTGATAAGGGTGGATGATAAACAGCTTTACATACAGATAAATATATCAACGTCTTACATTTGTTTGCTTAAATGTTTAGTTACATTGTTGAGATAGTACTGTAATTGAGCAAAAAAAAATAACCACGAAAAATATGGACCTGCAAAGTTCCATGATCAGGAATGAACGACCACTACGAGTGTGAGTATTCCAGTGTCAGCTTAATGTGGGAGGAAAACCCGAAGTGATGCAGGTCTCAGACTTCGGTGAAACCCACGAGCACGGGTATGGTTTTGACAAACCTAAAACATGATTGGGGCGAACCGGAATTCCAGCCCACAATCCAAGGTTTCTGGCATGCCCAAGGGACGCAACTCTGCACAGGGAATCGCGGCCCCTTAGATGACTGACTGACACCCGAACCCCCACAAACCACAGATGTATACATGTACCGACTATGCTATATTGCTATCTGGGGCAAGGTGTTTCAAAGAACGCACTCAGTCATGTCACCTGACGTGACATTATAAGTAGACTGTCGTACACGGTTGTATCGTTGGCCAGACCAAGTCATTCCTCAGGAACGAGTAGAATCGCCCAGAGGGGTGAAAGGTAGTCAGACATTGACGATTGTGTTAAAAAAGAGCGACAATTTTGAATCCTACAGATGTGTTTATCAATATCCATTACATCTATCATTAGCGTGGAATATCCATACTGATATATGTGACAGTAACTGATATTGTTCCCTGATTGAAGCTAGCCGGGGCCCCTACACACAGTAGGTTACGCTCACGCTGTATTCTCGGGAAAAGCGCCTGACCTGGAAAGACTAAGATATATGTGTTGATATTCTGTGGAAGGGTAACTCGGTTACTCAAAACACGAATGTGTGGGGAATCCCCTTGAGAAGGCTGCAGTTAAATAAGAGTGGGACAAACACACGACAGCGTGGACAGGATCTGGGTGTTGAGGTGCACTGTACGGGGTGAAGGTAAGGATGTGCGGTGGGGGGTGCGGGGTTGAGTTAGGTGAGTGCCCTTTGAGGAAGTATGGAAATGTGGAAGTGCAGGGTGAGGCAGGCAGGTGCGGGATTAAGGTTGGAAGTGCGGGGTTGAAGTTGGAAGGCGCCGTTTAATTAGGTATGCACATGTGGAAGTTCAAGGTTAAGGGAGGGGGGTGTGGGATTGAGGCAGGGGCAAAGGGTTTGAGGCAGAGGGTGGGAAGTTGGGGTAGGTGGTGCGGGCTAGAGGTGGGGAGGTGCAGGGTTGAGGCAGGGGTGCGGGGTAGAGGTGGGGAGGTGCAGGGTTGAGGCAGGGGTGCGGGGTAGAGGTGGGGAGGTGCAGGGTTGAGGCAGGGGTGCGGGGTAGAGGTGGGGAGGTGCAGGGTAAAGGCGGGGGTGCGGGGTAGAAGTGGGGCTGCGGGGTAGAGGTGGGGGTGCGGGGTTGAAGTGGGGCTGCGGGTTAGAGTTTGTGGTGCGGGGTTGAGGTGGGGGTGCGAGGTTTAAGTAGGGGGTGCGGGGTTGAGGTGGGGGTGCGGGGTAGAGGTGGGGGTGCGGGGTTGAAGTAGGGGTGCAGGATTGAGGTGGGAGGTGCTGGGTTGAGGTAGGGGTGCGGGATTGAGGTGGGGAGGTGCTGGGTTGAGGGAGGGGGTGCGGAGTTGAGGGAGGGGGGTGCGGAGTTGAGTGGGGGAGGTGCGGGGTCGAGGCAGGGGGTTTCGGGGTTGAGGTTGGTAGGTGCGGGGTTGAGGCTGGGGGTTCGGGGTTGAGGGAGGGGTGCGGGGTTGAGGGAGGGGGTACGGGGTTGAGGGAGGGGGTGCGGGGTTGAGGGAGGGGGTGCGGAGTTGAGGTGGGAAGGTGCGGGGTTGAGGCTGGGGGTTCGGGGTTGAGGTTGGGTTTGCAGGGTAGAGATGGGGAGGTGCGGGGTGGAGGCAGGGGTGCGGAGTTGAGGTGGGGAGGTGCGGGGTTGAGGCTGGGGGTTCGGGGTTGAGGTTGGGTTGGAAGGGTAGAGATGGGGAGGTGCGGGGTTGAGATGGGCAGGTGCGGGGTGGAGGCAGGGGTGCGGGGTTGAGGTAGGGGTGCGGGGTTGAGGTGGGGAGGTGCAGGGTTGAGGCAGGGGGTGCAGTGTTGAGGTAGGGGGTGCGGGGTTGAAGTAGGGGGTGCGGAGTTGAGGTAGGGAGGAGCGGGGGTGCGGGGTTGAGCTAGGGGTTGGGCAAGCGTGGAGTAGGGAGAAAGCAGGGTGAAAGCAGGGTAGGGAAGAGAAGAGAAGTTTGGGATTGAAGCGTTTATCGCAAAGGCCTTTCTTCTTTTTACGACATGGGGGCAATGTGTGAAGCCCATTTCTTCACTTCCGTGTTGATTATGCTGGAAGGGTGATAAAAGCAGCATCAAGCTTAACACAGCCAATGTGTTCACGGGTATATTGCTTTTGTGTGCTGTTTGAGCATCTGTGACGTTATCCTTTAGTTTGAACGCGGCATGATATTTTTACAAATTGAATAAATGTTTGTTATCAATAATACACTATCATAGACGATTATCGAAAAGACGGACGTATTTGTTTTATTTGACACTCAAGTTAATGTTTTGTCGGAAAACACATGATTTGCGAAAGTCTACAACGACACACAATATTATGGTGCGATATATATTTATATTGTATATATATATTGTTATATATTGTTGTATTTTATTCATTAACAATGTTTGTAACGTTGTAATATTTTTTACAATTGAGAGTCGGTAGATAGGACGGTAACTCGTTGTTGTTGTGTTGTGGATTACAGCGTTGTTATACCTGCAGGGGAACGATATCGAGGTCGACATGCCCTGTGACTAACTATGTGTTACTGGCCCTATTGCTCACAGTCATACTGGCACATTGCGAGACACCTCACTCGTCTGAATATGCACCACAACGTATATACTATTACGTTTTGATTCGGGGGCACGGGTGGCCCAGTCGTCTAAGGCGCCGCGATTCGCTGTGCAGAGTTGCGTCCCTTGGGCACGCCAGAAACCTATGATCGAGGGTTCGAATCACCTTTCTAGTTTTGTGAGCACCATACCCGTGCGCGTGAGTTTCACCGAGGTGAACCTTGAGAGACACCTTCCCTTCTGTAGCCTGAACCACGTACAGGTCATGTATATGCTCTTACGTTTTGATTCGACGCGTGAGTTACGGGATAAGATAAATCTTTAGCAGCCCCAAAAAAGGGAACTGCTTGTCGTAGAGGCGACTGATGGGGCCGGGTTATCAGGCTCGCTGACTTGGTTGATGTATGTCATCGTGTTCCGAATGCGTAGACCGATGCTCACGATGTCCATCACCGGATTGTCTGGTCCAGACTCGATTATTTGCATTTACACAATCATATGTTGCTGTGTCAGGTTATAAAGTATTAAGACTGATCGTTGTATTGTTCGGAAGACGGTTAAACAGGCTGGGGAGGGACGACTTATCGACGCTCAACCAAGAGAGAAAAGGTCGTGTCGACATGGAAGGGCGGTCTGGTAGCCTAGTGGTAAAAGCGTTTGCACGTCACGCCGAAGACCCGGGTTCGATTCCCGACATGGGTACAATGTGTGAAGCCCATTTCTGGTGTCCCCCGCCGTGATATTGCTGGAATAGTGCTAAAAGCGGCGTAAAACCACACTCACTCACACTCACGTGTAAACATGGATGCACCATGCGTTATCGATGACTAGGTAATCCAAGGTTCACGTAATTGCGTGTGATAAGGGAATACGGCTGCGTTTGACTGGTGTTGTGATAAATGAGCTATAATGTGCCAAGCGACTTGGAAATGTAAGGATGTCCTTTGTTCAGGATAATTTGTGAGAATTATTAAAAGTATCAAGAAATACATGCGCTGTAATAATATTAAGGCTACTAAAAGGTGGACTGACACAGCGTTAGTATATCTAAACAGTCGCACCTACAGAAGCTAGCAGCACTGATACTAACTAGCAGTTCTAATATTCAACTGACCTCATTTAAATACACAGAGGTTATCAAATCTAGGCACTGTCAGGTATAAGTACCACGACACCAGTCTACATAGATTTACAGACAGCTTCTGCATGCCCAGCTGAACGAACTCGTATGCACTGAAGTTAGAGATGTCTACCAGAGTTATCTTGTGTAGAGATTAATTATCTGTGAGGCAAGTGCGGACGTTGGAGTAGACACAATTCTCGTGGGCAGTCTTTCACCCAAAGCAGCTCACCAAATGTGTGTTTGTGGGATCAGGGGCAAGGACGCTGTGGATATGCGTTGATGTGCGTATGCATACAAACATGTAGTGTGTGTGTGTGTGTGTGTGTGTGTGTGTGTGTGTGTGTGTGTGTGTGTGTGTGTGTGTGTGTGTGTGTGTGTGTGTGTGTGTGTGTGTGTGTGTGTGTGTGAATGATACCGTATTCGACGTAATAAGCGCCCCGCTGTAATAAGCGCCCACGGCGATATTTTCTAATATATTGGCTAGCGAACAATCCCAATTAGCACCCCTTCCAATTGATCAATGTACACAGGACTTTTTTACTCGTGTATAATACGTATGTTATATGCATTCATAATAATGGGAAATTAAATTCTGGAAAAAAGTATATCTGTCGTATATAAACATTTCAGGCTGTCAGCATAAACCACGAAGTTTACGATCTTTTAACTGTTGTTTTTCACCAAAATAATAGTCTAATAAGAGCCCCTCTTTCTAATTTTGAGAGCGCCCTGGGCGCTTATTGTCTCGAATACGGTATATATTTGAACATGGGAGTTTTATGTCGCAAATGTTATTTTCACTAATCAATGCACATGGCAAGGGGCTGTGGAAAAAAAACAAACATGTATTTTCTGTGAGAGTAGTATTCCAATGATATTGCCGAAGAAGTGAGATGCATGACCTTTAACACATTACTACATGTATCTATTTTTCATAATATCTGCATTTGACTTGATGACCACCTGGTAAACCCATTTCTGTCATCCGTGTCAAATGACATGGAGCAAACATTTGGTAAGCACAAACGTTTAAGCACAATATGTGTTTCAAACAAAAACGTATAAAACAGCATAAATGGTCAAGTAAAAGCAGCTTGATGCATACTGGTGTTTGTATCACAAAACCATATATTTCCTTTACAGAGGCTCCAACTCATCGTCCAGCAGAGCCATGCAGATGATCTACCCCATTCTGATGATAGTCAGTGAGTATTGAGAACACGGGCTTTTTCGGCTGTCACAACGTTGAACATATCTCCTAACTCAATACATTCTTTTCACACCGTAGAGTACATGACTTGAAATTCTACTTTTCTTTGTCATTACCCTGTACCAAAACATTGGTCAGTGGAGAAGAAATAATACTGTCCGGTTTCCTTCCTTTCGTTATCCTCATTTAAATGCCTGCGTATTTTTCAATCTTTCAGTATTGGAAACACATGGCCAGAACAACTGTGAATGGGGGAAGTATGGCGAAAACTGCAGCAAAGATTGCCCTTTGAATTGTATCCCTGACCCAAGGAGACACCTGACACACTGCCACAAGGAGACAGGGAAGTGCTCGGAGGGGTGTGTGCCGGGGTGGTTTGAGGATCTCTGTGATCACGCTTGTAGTAAGAACTGCTTGAGAAACACCTGTAATCGGCAAAATGGCATCTGCACCTTTGGTTGTGATGGAGACTACACAGGGGACTTTTGCAACAGTATTAGAGGTTTGAAAACAAGTTTATTCAAATATGTGATAGTTGGTGCTGATGTGCAGTAAACAGTCTTGCTACCAAATCAGGCAATTTTTTACTCAACAAAAACAGTTAAGGACCACTAACATTTTATGTCACAAAAAAACAGATTTTGTTATGTTATGAAAGCCCAAACAGATATACATAGTTTGGCCTTTCAACAAGCTTATGAAACGTCACATGATGCACGTGCAGTATGTGAGAGGCATGCCCAGCATGAGATTCATGGTGTTCAGCTTTTGTGTGGACTTTCTGCCTTTAACGGGTGTGGTGTAAAAACGCTGTTAGACTTCTCTGACGTATACATAACTGATAGAAGCAAAATGCCAGGTCGGCATATCTCTCTATTACAGAAGCAGGTAGAGCTAGTTGATTCAAATTAGTAATAGTTGATGCTGATCTGCTGTATGGTATATATAAAACGGTTTTATATTGTTTTGCTACCAAATCAGGCAATTTAATGCTCAACAAGATCAGTTAGGGACCACTGATATTTTCTGACACAAAAAACAGTGTTAGTCAAATGGCGATATCCATAGTTTGGGCCCTTCAGATGAATGGCAACGAATCCCTCAAGCTGCTTTCAGGAACCTCTTTTAAATCTTCACTTGGCGGTGTCAGGCCGTGATCAGAGCTTGTGGTGGCCACATTCGATACTGACATTGCTGTAAACATTCATGACATCGGAATCGAGGTTTTACATTAATAGTCTGTTTATGATGGGATTCTGACTGACTGTGGATGGTTCACCAAATGGAGACTGACTTCTGTTTTATGCTGCCAAGGGTGGTAACTCGGCGTGATTCAACTTGCTCTGAATCAATAAAACACTTTGTTATTCATTGTTTGGTCTTTCTGAAGGTATGGTAGTTATATTTCGGTTTTAAGGATGTTTCTTAACCTTTTATTTGAGTATATATGCAAACGTACTGATTGGTTAGCTGTTAAACCTATGAGGATTTGGAAAAAAAAAAGATCTTCAGCAACCTGTGTTTTTTAAGACAACAAACCGCTTGCAAACTTCGATGCATGTCATCGTAACCCAAGTGTGTGGATCAACGTCAAACACTGGCGTGTCTGGTCCAGACTCGATTATTTACAGAACACAGTCATGTACCTGGCATATTGCTGATTGTGGCTAAAGTTTGGATTATATCTCAAGAATAAACAAAAGATAAACAAATGGAGTGTGGGTTTTAACCTTTCTCGTGTAAGGGTTTTCTAGTACATTTGCCACTGGTGGGGCAGGACACGCTCACCTTTTTGCGGCCACCTGGCTTCACCATTATTTGATAGTGATTCATAAACACATGATAAAGTCAGAATTGTACAACCGACTCTGCTTGTAGCAGAGCTTTCTACTGAATATGGAAAGGGTCTTGTCGTTTCCATTTCAATCAGGCAAATATAACATGGCGGTGCACTCATAAATGTTATGCAATGTTTTATTGTTTTTGATCTGTCTGCAGTTGGATATAAATATGATGTGATATCAGATACAAGTATATTCATGTATTGATTTTCTAAAACAATCAAGCTCGAACATGAGTGTATAAAGCTGGACTAGTCATCTTTACTGTAGTAGTGTTTGGAAGATCTCTGTACATGACTAACGACGTTGCCTGTATTTATGTCTGTACAGGGACGACGGCGTTACCTCCAAGGGAATCCAGCACATGTAAGTACAAATACAACCTAAGACTCATATATGTTAAGATAATGTGCAAATCATAATTGCTTTATATTCCTTGCCGGTATTTTGTCACAGACACATCGCCGACAACACCGAGTGAATCCAACACAGAGAAAACACCGGGCCTGGCTGCGATACTTGTCCCTGTGTTCCTCATCCTGGTTGTTGTCCTTGCTGTGGTGGTGATCATACTGTAAGTGTGTACCTAACCCAAGGAGATTGGGTCCAGATTATTGCTATATGTATGTATTAAAAATTAAAACAGTATTGTGAACTGACTGGTGATGTCTGAATCTATATAACATCGCCTCCGTGGGCTGGTGGTGGAGCGTCCTCCCGGATAGCGGGAGGAACCGGCTTTGATCCCCGGCCGCGTCACACCAACAGACGGTATGGTACTTGTTGTTACCCTGCCTGTCGATTGGCATTAAGGGGATAAAACAAACACTTGTCGGCTCGGAGTGTGTCTGAATATACATGTTAAAATGCGGCATGGTGTCTTAGTGGTCTAGCACTATCAGTCCGTATTAGGACACACAGCCACACACATACACACGTGCATGCACGTCGCTATAAAAGTGCAATAACCTTGAACGTGACCTTTAACCCCATTTCACCTCGCCTCACTCAATACCATTTTGTTTGCATTGAAAGTTGTTAATATTTCTACGGAGATGACAACGTTTATATTTTACAGTTCACACATTTCTCAATAACCAACCATGGTTGTGTGCGTATTTTCATATTTCTTTATAGACGGAAACGGAAAAGGGGAGAAACCACAGGGATTATCGATGCAGTGACAGGGATACTTCCATGCTGGAGAACAACTGGTACAGATGGTACAACTGCCAGGTAATACAGAAATATAACCTGAGGCAGAACGTCTTGTTCATCACCATCACTTACGTCTATGTACAGTATATTATATGTCTAAACACAACGAAGTACATTCATGAAATGATGATCCCCTGATTTCTAAAACTTTCAATTCGGACATGCTGATTCATCCATTTGTCATCATCTCGATTTTGTTTATTTCATGTTCAGAGCCGGTGAAGATGGTGAGTATATACTTCGTTACTATTTAATTATATTTGAAGTGACAATATAGTGTTATTGAGTTTGTGTAAACGCGATTTTATTCCACAAGAATCCAAAGTAATTGTGATACAAGAAACTAAAATTATATAATTATGATTGTTAAATTGATTAATCCTCACTTTAGACAGGGAAAACGAATGTTGAGCATTTCCCAATTACGTAAATCTGCTAGCATGGGCATCATTTCTTAGAAACAACACAGTTATAATCTTCAGAAACAGAAACTGTTTCATAGTTCGGCACGACACACGGGGTTGTTTTGTAGTTTTCAGTGTTGCAATGCAACTTCTCATTTGTAAAGCTCTTGTCCTGTGTATTTTATACTGATATATATACAGCTATAACAACAAGCATCGGTGTCAGTTTGTACATATTTCGATTGAACAAGGTTAAAAAAGGGTTAAGCATGTTTACATTGATTCTATTACTGGTTTTCCTTTGGTTGTTCTGTGAATACCTGTGATGTTGACATAACATGTTATCGTTCTTACATGGATATCGAAATGCAGATTGGAAAATCCATCCAGAGTGGGTTGAACATGCTTCATCTAACCATCATAACTGTTATGTTTCAGAACCTTTCATGGCAGAGGAAGGTGGAGCCAGTAAGTATGGGATACATATAATGGTGTATGTGTTGATGAATGAATGTTGTCACTTCACATCATATCATGGTGGATATGGTGATTTTATGGTGATTTTACAATGTTAGCAAAGTGTATTAATAATCAATGTGTTCACTGGTGTGGCAATCATATTAGCCATTGGCGGGAATATGATAAGAACATATTTTGTAATATGTGACTATGAGTCCAAGACATTGAACAACAAAAATTCATACAGTGCAACAGATGAGCAGCGTATTTACGTAAAATACGTAAAGAAAATAATAAAATATAAACAAATAGATAATTATAAAATAATAATACATGAAAAGTGATAATAATAAAACAAAATATATGAATAATAAAATAGTCAAAAACAATGACTTTAAATGCACTTGCTTACAGAAACGCATGCATTAAATTGAAAACTCAAATGTATAAAAACAGCCCACGTAAATACCCAATGAACCTTTTTCAGCCTGCATACTAAGGAATCAATTTCCGAAACACGGTTACGAGCTAACTTCATAATTAGAACAGTTATCATGGTATGTACATCTAAAACATTACTTCATTTTTTTCAAATCTTAAAATTTCCACTCTTTTGGGGAATACCCAATAGAGTGATGAATAGATAACTGAAAAAGAAATAATGTTTACCCAATGAAAAATATAATAACCCAATTAATATAGAAACCCTAGAGTAAAAACTCAATTGCTCAAAAAGTTATCTAGAGCTCTGTTGGTATCATACCATAATGTTAGCAAATTAGTTGTGTTTGGTATATAAGAGCGGGTTAAATATATAATCTCACCCGAGTGTCTTTTGATATCAAATATATCAACACAAGTTGATACAAGTAGGAAAACTCCGAGGCACAAGGGTGAGATTTTATTTATCATCCAACATCATTCTTCCAACTTTTTCAGTTTGTAGCCAGTAATTAGCAGTGTAGTAAGTGTAAAAAGTACTGTTTACAGCTTCAGTAGCAGAGCCATTAGTGATGTCACATGATTGTGATGTCATGGCAACCAATGACGTCACAATGGTCTGCAAAGCATTGTGATGCATTTTCAGTGCAGCGATATCTACAGTGTAGATATCGCTTGATCTCACCCAAGCGTTAGCTCCTGTGGGAGCCAGTTTTGGATGATAAACAGGCTTCATCTAACCATATAATAACTTACAGAACATCTCCTCACAAAGCACGTGAGTAACTTATGGTTGTGTATGTGTTGATGAATGAAACAATATGTTAACCAAGTTATCTGGATGGAACATAATTTAGTGTGAAACCAACAAAGAAACAAGAAACAACCAACAAATGAGATACGATGAGCAAATGAATTACATATTATATATGTGTTGATAAATAAATGTTGTTCAATGAATTTATATGAAGTGAATGTCAGTTCTCCACATGTGTCCTCTACTGTGTAGACTGCTCATTATGTCACAGTGAAAATGGTGATTTTGTAATGTTAGTCAAATGTCTTTTTTATCAATATTTAATATTTATATATTTAATACATTACCCTTTAAGGGGAATATGTGCAGAACATATGTTTTGTAATATATGACCATACGTCGAATACACTGAACAATAACTGGTAACTTACGATATGTAGATCAATTCATATTATATTCGCTTATAAATTCACATTGCCTTACATCTTTTCTAAATTAGACTACACCACATCATCGTACAATGAAGTTTGAACTGGTAATCAAATACTACATTGTGTTTCAGTTGTGGAAGCACATTCGTGTAAATTATTTACTTTTATATTCTGACCAGCAACAGGGGGACCAGCAACACGGGGAGATGCAAGTTCCATCAGCAGTTTTGTTCTCTTTGAAGATGATGACTTTCCACCTGGTAAGAACAGAATACCGTCATTAGTAATCATCTGGCACGTCCTTCATGATGCATATGCAGGTGTACGTACCACAAAGGTAACCCGAGGCGTCCGATGAATTAATGACTTTAATTACATTTTACTGTATTTTATATGGGTATATGTTCATATAAGAATCAAAAGAGTTGAACTGGCGATACTCAATATCAATGTGGACAATTGTTTTACATGTTTATCAACTTTTACAGGTTCAATAGAACAGAAGATAAAAGATATCCAAGGGGTGTTTGTTAAAACTGAGAGCTTTAAGAAGGCTAAAGAAAAGTTGGAGACGTTTGGCCATGTGACACTAAGCGGTGCTCCAGGAGCAGGTAAAACAGCCATGGCCCTGATGCTGGGAGCTGAATACAGGAAGCAGGGGTATGAGCTGGTACTGGTTGAGCATGCTTATAAAGTAAAGCTGTCTGAGTATCTAGATAAAGGCAAAGACGTGTGTGTCATATTTGATGACGTATTGAAGACAGTCAGATCATATTTGGACATGTCCCGTCTCAAACACGTTTTGTACGACCTCCACATGCACCTGGAACAGTGTGAGTCCGGATCAGAAAGAAGATACCAGCGTCTGCAGCAAGAACCAGGAGAGGAACAGGGAAAGCTGGAACAACCAAACATCTGTGTTATATTCACTGTAGACACCAACAATCTTCAGCGTGCAATGTCGAAGCTAGGAGGTCAACATATTTTCAAAAGTTCATCAGATGTCAAACTGAGTTGTACACAGGAAGAGAAGAAAGAATTGTGGCAGAAGTACAAACATCGCTATGGGTATAAAGTGGATGTGAAGAATGTTTTTGCATATACGGAAACGACTGTCGGTTTTCCTCTGGAATGCAAACTTTTCTCCAGTTGTTGTGGCTTTCAAATGCACCATGATAGTTTTTTCGAGAAACCTTTGTTTTACATCACAAATCAACTTCGCACGATTATTAGCTCATTGGATGACAAGTCAGCTGCTCTCATCCTGATCTTACTGTGTGAAGGTCAGATAGACACCAGTCAACTGGAGACTGAATGTTCCATCCCAGACGGTCAACTCACGACTAAAGATGACCGCCCTGACAGTCAACTGGAGACTAAAGCTGACCATCCTGACAGTAAACTGAAGACTAAGGGTGGCAGTCCAAACAGTCAACTGAAGACTAAGGGTGGTAGTCCAAACAGTCAACTGAAGACTAAGGGTGGTAGTCCAAACAGTCAACTCGATACGGAAGGTGTCTGCCCAATCAGTCAACTTGAGACTGAAGCTGTCCGTCCTGACATTCAACATGGGACTGAAGCTGTCCGTCCTGTCACTCAACTTGAGACTAAAGCTGACAGTCCTGACAATCAACTTGAGACTGAAGCTGTCCGCCCAATCATTCAACGTGAGACTGAAGGTGTCCGTCCTGTCACTCAATTTGATACTAAAGCCGACAGTCCTGACAACCAACTTGAGACTGAAGCTGTCCGCCCAAACATTCAACGTGAGACTGAAGGTGTCCGTCCTGTCAGTCAACTGAAGACTAAAGGTGGCAGTCCAGACAGTCAACTGGCAACGGAAGGTGCCTGTATCAGTCAACTTGAAAATGAAGGTGCCCGCCCAAACCTAGAGGCTCACCTCAAGGCAGTTGCAACTCTTGTGAAGACATCAACCAGCCAGGGTGTAGCTGAGGCTGTGAGGGGCTTCTGTGGTACATTGTTAACAAAAGGAAACATAACATCATTTTCCCATTCGATAATTTATGATGTCTGTGCTTTGGTCTTATTCAATATTGAACCACACTTTATTCTAAAACATTGCAGTATAAATTTCCTCCTGGAGCACGTACATGATCAGCAAGACGACCGTATTCCTGTCAATGAAAACCAGCTCAGGATACCTTTCTCAGAGGCCTTCAGTGAAATAATTGCTGACAGAATGGCAGATGCTATTGTCAGTGGTGCTTTCAGTATGTACATCTGGCACCCCATATGGAAACGAAAAGACATATCAGACAAAGTAAATCATATGATCACAGATCCACCTTCTTTGTCTGATGTTACCAGACACAACCTTCTCTATTACGCCTGTTTCACTGGGAACAAGAATATCCTAGAGCGACTTCTTCCTCACTGTGACATCAATAGGCGTGGTTTGAACGGCTGGACACCGTTGATGTATGCAGTTGTCTCTGGACAGATGGAATGTTTTGACATCCTTGTGAAAAACAAAGCGGGTATGGCTTTTTGTGATATCAACAACAACAATTTACTGCATTTGGCTTGTAAACATGGATACATGTCCACGGTAAAACATGTAAAAAATGTACTCAAGGAACACCTTTCTCCTGATTTGTATCTCAAGCGATACATCAATGGTCGGGGAGAAAATGACTGGACACCAGTTATGTGTGCAGTGGCATTTGGGAAGGAGGATATCATAGACTATCTTACCTATGAAAAGAATTCAATTGGATTAAAAAAAGAATTAAAAAGCGATTTTAAATTATCAGATATCAACACAAACACCGTGCTTCACCTTGCATGTCGGTTTGGAAACAAGTCCACTGTAGAAAGTCTGCTACCCCACACAGATATAAATGCACGTGGCAATAATGGGCAGACACCGCTTATGTGTGCACTTTTTTCAGAGAGGAAAGAAACCTTCGACCTTCTTGTGTCAATGAAAGCTGACATCACAATGACTGACGATGACAACAACAGCCTCCTTCACTTGAGCTGCCACGTTGATGACGCGTCCCTTGTCGTGCCAATTGTGCCAAACGTTGACATCAATCGTCGGGGAAAACACGGATGGACACCATTGATGAAGGCAGCTGTACATGGAAATATGGATGTATTTCAGCTTTTCCTTTACACAGTGAAGGTGGACCTCAAGCTGAAAGATGAAAACAACAACAATCTCCTCCATCTTGCATGTCATGGAGGACATGTCTCCATTGTGCAACAATTACTGCCAAAGTTTAAAATAAACAGTCGGGGAAACAACGGGAGGACGCCAGTGATGTGTGCAGCTGCCAGTGGAGTCGAGAGTGTTTTCAACCTGCTTGTGTCAGAGGGGGCTGATATAAGACTGAGGGATGACAACAACAATTCTCTATTGCATTTAGCATGCTTTGGTGGGAATATTTCCATTGTGACTTATCTTTTGCCAAAGAGTGATATCAACTGTCAGGGAAGTCACGGGAGAACAGCAATAATGATCACAGTTTTGGTTGGAAAACCAGCCCTGTTCAAACTACTTTTGTCAAAGAAGGCCAATATCAAACTGACTGATGATGATAATAATACTGTATTACACCATGCCTGTCAGGGTGGGAACTATTCCATTGTGAACTATCTAATGTCAAAGTTTGGCATCGACACTTCTGGAAAACACGGCTGGACACCAGTCATGTTTGCTGCATGGGCGGGAAGGAAGGTCGTGTTCGATTTGCTTGTGAAGCAGGGGGCTGACCTCACTTTAACTGATGCCTTCAATGACAATGTTCTACATTTAGCATGTCAAAGTGGGAGCACAGATATTGTCGAATATCTTGTGACACCCTCTGACGTCAGTCTTCGGGGAAAGAACGACTCGATACCAGAAATGCATGCAGCGAGATCAGTGTCCAGTGGAAATAAAGATCCTTGTGATGGTAATGCACCGAAGGATGTCATACAATCATCAACTTCCCCTGAAAATCATAATGCTATTTATATGGTCAGTCACAGTGGAAAGGAAGCCATTGTGAAACAAGTGAGTGGCTACTTTGACATCAACGTCAGAGGCAGGGATGATCAGACCCCACTAATGAGGGCAGTGTGTGGAGGACATATTGCTGTGTTCCGGTTCTTGGTGTCCCGTGGAGCCGACCAAACTCTGGTGGACAAGGATGGACACACTCTTCTACATCTGTCTACTCAGCACGGTCAGCTTCATATGGTGAAATACATCATTGACTCTTTTGACATCAATGCTAAAGACAAGGTTGGTTTGACACCTGTCATGACGTCAATATTGTATGCCAAAGTTGCTGTGTTCGAATATCTTAGAGAAAAGGATGCAGACTTGTCGCTCGTTAACAACGCAGGTGATACACTGGTGACTCTCGCTCATAAAATAGGATGCAGACAAATCATAGAACAACTACCACCGTCCAAAAATGTCAAACGATTGTCTGGCCAGAAGGATTCACATCCTGGCAAGTCCCAAAAGCGTAACCCCAAGATGAATAGAAAGTCGCACAACTGAACAAGCTCAAAAGTGTGCGATCTGAAAACATACAACATTTGTAGTCTTGATCTGAAATACAGAGATCAGTCCGCGACACATTACTAGATGTAAGCATTATCTGCTCCCATAAGTGCCCGATGTCAGAAATGAAGGATGCAGGTGATGGTAGTGTTTGTGTTAAACCATTGATACCGATATACTGTATACTGTCTTAGACCATCTCTCTAATCTTCTATGTATAACACATGATTGTCCTTAAAATCATATGGTGGATATAAGCTCAATTGGAAGACAATGTGTGCTATTTATCTCATGATAAATTGTACTGAAAGAGAAAGTTACTTTCGTAAAGGCATATGAAATGTATCCAAATTTGCATCCCCTAATGAGAACATTACAGAAGCCCGAACGAAGTTTAAACCCCATCTTAAACCCTACTGGACAAAACCAAAATCTGAAGTTATAACGACATGAAGTGCGCCGTGAAGATGACACTTGCTAGAGAACAGCAAAAACAAGCAAGCAAAGCATTGTTTCCGAAGAACGTATCAGAGATGCAAACAAGACCTCATAGCAGGCTGAACGAACTCTGAGGCAGCTGAAATAAATATACACTTATACCTTAAAACTGCAACACGATATAACTAAGTTAAGGGCCAAGTACACTTACGTCTATAAACATGTGATCAAAGTGGTTACACGGAAGGTATTTTTGGAATCTCTGGTAATATTCCCTGTTCTTTTACCTGATGTTGTAATATGTAAAACAATACAGAAAACTATGAGAATTCTAATGTTGATAACGAAGTAACTGCTGATTGTCTATTTTCATTCACGGTACAGATAAAGGGCTGATTAACAACACATCTCAAGGACCTAATATGTTAACACATGCACATAGTAAGCATGTTTGAGGAACTTTATAAAAGCATATCGTGTTTTTATGCCATGATACTATTTTTAGAAAAATGAACGAGAACATAGGAAACTTCATGATATGCAAACTACAGCTCATCTTCGATCATCTTGAAATGCAAACAGAATCAAAGGATTTTATGTGTGGAACAGTTGCGAATGATATCGTAATACACTTGATGTCGTGTCATATGAATCTAGTGAAAATAAATATCATGTTTGATCATTGGTTTATTTGATGTTAATATATTTGTTAGAATTAGAATCTACCTGTACAAATATTAATGAAGATGGTATTGTTTGTCTTTCCTGCTTGGAGATATTCCCGAACAAATGATAGATTACAGCATATTGACAGAACGCATGATAAATAAAGGAAGTGCACTTAAAAAGTGAGATGAAGCCATCCAACGCTGCTTATACTAAACAAAGTTTATTGTCAGTGAGCGTACGCTTGTAATATATACTCACACGTAAAAGAAACGCAAGTCGAGTACGTAGTAGACATGCCATTTCTTTTCAACAGTAAAGACAGGTAATACTAATAGGGCAAGATTGACAAAAACATGACTGAAGACAGTTTAATGTATTAAAAGGACGATGACATAATTGTTTTTGTTTTTTTCAAATGTTAATGGCTCACACAGTTTCGGAGCAACACCCGAAATGTCAGTCAATACCTGGTGTGACCACCATTAGCATTGATCACTGCCACACATCTCCTATACATTGAGTGGATCAGACGATTTGTGAAGGCACTAGGGATCCTCCTGCACACATCCAGAACAGCTGTGCGTAGTTCATCGGCAGATGTAGGGACTGGGCTCACATTGTGCAGACGCCTTTGGACCTCATCCCACAAGTGTTCGATGGGGTTCAGATCAGGGCTGAGGGCTGAGGGCTGGCCACGGTAGAACACGGATGTTGTGTTGTTGCAGAAAGGCCATGGTAGCTCTGGCGACATGGGGACGAGCGTTGTCCTGCTGGAAAATGTGTTGTTGAATGGAACAACGTGGGGTCTGATAACTTGGTCGATATACGGCTGAGCAATGACGCCGTGTCCCCGACCTTGACCAACATTCAGAAAGCACATGGGTCCAAGTCTCGCATTAAGTCCAATCCCTGCCCATATCATGATGCTAGGTCGACCCATGGATCCCTTTCCACAACGTCTCTGTCGGCGAAACGATGACCTCAACGCCGCCAAATTCTGACTCTTCTGTCTGTATGGGAGACACAAAAGCGACTTTCATCAGAGAAGGTGACACGCCTCCACTCACGATGGCGCCAATTGTGATGACCCTGTGCTCACTAAAGTCGTGCGTGTCGATGCTGTGGTTGGAGAACAGGACGACGTGCTGGACGGCGACATCTGAGGTTGTTGAAACGGAGAAGTCGGATCACAGTGTTCCGGCTAATGTGTCGATTAGGAGTTCCTATGGTCTGTCGAGCACTGTCACTTGCAGTTAGGAACGGATGTCGCTGGTGGTGACGGGTAATCTGCCTATCTTGTCAAGGTGTGATGACCCTAGGACGACCACTCCGAGGAAGGTCATCTGTGGTCTGTGTTGCATAGTATCGATGCAGGAGACGGTAAATTGTGGTTATGTTAACGTTGGAATGACGGGCAACATCTTGGACAGACTCTCCAGCTTCCAAACGTCCGATAGCATGGTTTCTCTGAATTTGAGTTAGTCGTTGCAATGTTGACCAACGAGTGGTAGGTCCAAGAATCGGCCACAGTTTTATACCCACTACAGTTCGTGACAGTTCGTGCATTTTCGATTTCGCGAGAAATTGGTTCATGATACCCACATATTCATTGAAATGGTGCGTTTTGGCGATTCGTTTTTTATGTTGCGTTTTTACTCGGGGCTTCCAAAATGCATCCACAACTATTGATAACACCATTCGGCTTCACTATATGCTACAACTCGTATCAATGTATGGTTCCGTGTTTGTTACCTATTTGCTTAAAACCACTTGCGTTTCTTTTGCGTGTGAGTATACATATATATATAAAACACAGTAAAGTTCTAAGCTTCAGGCACAATATAGTCAAAGTTAAATAAGTGGAGTAAGATCGAACACAGTTTTAATTGGCCAATTAAAACTGTGTTCAGTCTTACTCCACTTTTTATTTTTTTACTGTGTATATATGTTTATAAATATATGTGTGTGAGTGCGTGCGTGTGTGTGTGCATTTGTTTGTTTATCCTTTGCATGTTGTCACACCACAAGTGATGGAGGTCTCAGACGTTTACCACTTCGGTGAAACCCACGAGCACGAGTATGGTGTTGACAAACCTGGAAACATAATCGGGGATTCGAACCCACAATCATAGGTTTCTGACTTGCCCAAAGGACGCGACTTGCGGCGCCTGAGACGACTGGGACACCCGTGCCCCCTTATGACATGGAGGAAATACAGATCATCTATACATCTATAATGCATCTTATATTTTTCACATAGGTTTCAATGTTTCACTTTAATGACCTTACTGTTGTCATTGTTTCTTTCCTTGTTTTGAACACACGTTGTATATGTCTTAGATGAGTTTAAAGACAAACTGATAAAAATGGCATAGTTTACAAGGACATTGTGACACATGTGTTTCTATCCTATATCTCCCAAATGATCAACTCTAAATGTATTTAAAATAGTATAATGTTAAACATTTCGATTATGCTATGGATCGCTGCGCTGCCTGTTTATTTACACACGATAGTTAAAACATTTTAAAAACAAGTCTTCAACGGCAAATAATAAATAAAACGCTGAACTCATCCCCGTGTAATATTGATTTGATTAAACTCCTGAATAAACATAGTAACTGACTCGCTTTCGTTCGTCAGACATCAGAACTATGCAATATTTGTTTAAAAAAATATTGTATTTTCCGGTCGGTCGTTTAGTATGTTGTATGTCTTAGTTAATGAACTTCTTCACCCGTTTGAAACAACATCGATTCAAGTTTAATCACCTTTTTGTGAAAGGTGGTGAAGGGAGGGTTTCATAATGAACGATTAGGAATCTAACCTGAGCATTCGGCATGACGATCCAACGATTTTTTGTTTAAGTTACCCTATCATCCCACAACGATCTCTGTGATCCCTGGAAATGTTAGCAGGAAGGGCAGATGAGGCAGAACAAAAACGTCTTGATATCAGCACAGTATACGCTCAAGCAGGCCAAGTAGTTATGTGATATTCCTTCTTTCGTCTGATGAAGGAAAAGGAGCATGCCTCGACTCCTTGGTTTGCTTCCCGCGAAATAGATGACTACATCTGTAAAACATGATACTCATCGAACTGGGGGCACGGGTGGCCCAGTCGTCTAAAGGGCCGCGATTCACTGTGCAGAAGTTCGTCCCTTGGGCACGCCAGAAACCTATGATTGTGGGTTCGAATCCCGGTTCGTCTCGATTATGTTTCTAGGTTTGTCAGCACCGTACCCGTGCTCGTGGGTTTCACCGAAGTGGTAAACGTCTGAGACCTGCATCACTTCGGGCTTTCCTCCCATATTAAGCTGACACGCCGCGATACAACTGGAATACTGTTAAAAGCGGCGTTAAACCCAACTCACTCACTCACTCATCAAACTTGTAAGTCAATTTAGCGAGACAGTGAGGGGGCCTCAAGGACATTAATTAACGAGTTCCTTAACTAATCAGAAGCTAGTATTTTTATGTCAGTTAGGTTAAATCTAGTTAAATCAACTTTTCTCCAAAACAAAACATCAAATCTGATACGTAAAATTTACGAAATACGTGCACACGTTTTTTAAATCATTGTAACTCCATGCTAATACCAACTGCAATCTGATGTTTCCCTACTCATCTTACTGATCGGATATGCTTTAAGTAGTTGTATGTTATTGTAGTAAACTTGCGTTAATTTGTATGGTTGACAAAACTTAACGATTATAATTACCATATGTCCATGGACGGTTTCAAAGCAACAGCAGTGCCGTACGCTCAGGAGTGCGGGCAATCTGACAATCTAGTGTTCCTAGATACGCCATTCACATGTAACTTTATACAACAACATCGACATGTATTGTAACGGGTGTACCCATCCGTCCAATAACCTTAAACGTAAATATGCTCCTGAAATACCGGCCCTATCGGGAGTATATCTTCCGGATTTTCTTCGGGCTTTTAATGTTTGTCAGGCGAAGGAGATAAGTCGAGTTTGTTTTATGTCATACGCCATGGGCTCCGAGAATAAACACTAACGATCACTCAATTCGGGTTGAGGCCTTTTTTGGACGTGTGCAATCCCCCGCGCTGACCCTCGACAAAAAGAGCGTCACAGTATGAATATACACCGACGCTCTGTTCCTATATGTTTAACAACACCTACTTGTGTCTGGAGGAAACACCATCCATGTTTACCTGGATACGACATCCCAAAGGAAATGAATCTAGAAACCGTATTATATATCTACAGACAGCAACAAGCATGTGTACCTCGGTACAACAGCATTAATATTGTGCTATGAATTGTACCACATTCGTGTGTACCTAGATACGACATCTCGGTGTACCTTTATACAATAACTTCCATATGAATCTAGATACAAGAACATGTATGTGCACATAGGCACAGCGACATGAATATTTATGTGAATATAGACACAATGACATCCATGTATACCAAGATTCAACGACATTCATCGCGATTTACAATACATCCATATGAATCTAGATACAACAGGCATGCGTACCTCGGTACAACAGCATTGATATGAGTCTGTGCGCAGCAATGTACATATATATATCCATATGTACCTAGATACAACAGCATTATTTTGTACCTCCGTACAACAACATTCATGTGTACCTGAAACGACAACATTAATGTGTACCTAGATACGACATCCCGATGAGCCTGGAAACAGCAATCATGTGTACAATATCCTTATGGATCCACATGCAATTGCAGCAATGTATAACTAGGTACAACATGAATATCGAGAGTAAAATGGAGGACTTTGAAAGAAAGATGGACAGTTTGACGGAGGGATGAAGCCAATTATAGGCATTTTTTTCCGCCACTTATCCTAACACAAAATTGTGAACCTTTTCGCAAAATCTTCCTTGTAGCAGCAACGAACAAGTGTTGTGTGACATAACGTGAGCGCATTCCGGTACAGTGCCGAGGTCCTCAACATCCTGAGTATGGTCACACTCTGTTTCAAAAGTAATGATTGAAGCAGATTCCACCAACTTATAACTGCATCGACCTGCTAGCGTGAGAGGTCCATACGTTTACAGGCCGACACTACAAACCCCGAAGCTGGATCAAACAGTGTTTTATGACTCAACACATGTGAACGCCTGAAGTGACGCAGGTCTTACACGAATACCACGAGCACGGGAATGGTGCTAACAAACCTAGACACATCATTCGGGGGAATCTGCTTTTCAAACCTAAGTTAACAGCTTTCTGGCATACCTCAGGCACGCAACTCTGCTTTAGACGCCTTGATAACCCGTGACCCTTCTTGTGACCCTGAGCACAGACAAAATGTCAAATGTAAATGTATATTGATATCCTCTGACATGTTTGCATAGTTTTAGAAGTCAAATATGTGTTTTATTTATCAATTTGCCAAAAATATATAAATATTAGGTAAAAAACGTCACCTGCATATTCCGAATATATATTTTACTTTGTTCATTTTGCAAATATGACTGTTTCTCCTTTTCGTTCATACCCGTGAAGATCCGGGGTAGAATAGGTCTTCAGCAACCCATGCCATGCCATAAAAGGCCACTATGCTTGTAGAAAGAGGCGACTAACGGGATCAGGTGGTCAGGCTCGCTGACTTGGTTGAAGCATGTCATCAGTCCCAATTCTGTCGATCGATGCTCATGATGTCAATCACTGGATTGTCAGCTCAGATTCGATTATTTACAGACCACCGTCATATAGCTGGAAAATTGCTGAGTGCGGCGTAAAACAGAAAACCAAACCAAAACCTTTATAATCATAACTGGTATTGTCTCGATATTTTCACAGAAACATTTGCATTAAAATATAACGAACACCCTTCTGAAAAAGCTGTTTTGTGCAAGGTTATTTCGAAGCAGCTCATTAACTTGAGACTGGACCACTTTATTTTGTAATTATAATGTGAATCATCAATGCATGTTAATATCATATGTGTCAGTATTCATTTTCGTCTTCCTTGTAACACAAGGGGATGAGAGGGGATGGATGTAGGGGGGTGGGGTCTAGGGGGAGGGCGCGTGTGGGGGAAGGCAATACTATCAACAGGAAGCGGAATGTGATACAAAAGAAGACTGCTGGTCGTGTGACAACACATGGATCACAGCCCCCTGTGGCACGTGTATGATACAGATGGTTCACGGTTCACACATAGTTTGTCTGCAAAACATCGGAATACATCAAGTCCTAACATAGCGTATGTATCTGCTGCTGGTATTAATATTCATCATATAAATATGTTGAAGTTATTTTTGTTATAAAATGTGCTGGATTCCATAATGAACTGTGTGCAATCCCTCTTTTTAGCATTATACGCATTGTGGGGAGTATAGCATGCACGCCTTTCTGACGGCCAAAGTCCACAACTCTTGGATTTCTGAATTCCTATTGGATCCCTCCAGTCGTTGCATCAGACAATTGTTGTTTCATTGTGTATAATAATGAGTAATGTTTGTCACTTAAATCCATAGAGGAAGCAAAAGTACTGCAAGTCCCCATGGTTTTAGGATGGTGATGTACCTTCAGTTGTTGGCGATCTACAACCCATTCTTATCATCTATTGTGATATATTGTGATACATTTGTATGCTTATAGGCTAGTTTTAAATAACAATGAGTGATATGCTAGATATTTAACTGTCCCTTGTTGATAGGCTTTTATAGTTTAAATGCATGTGTTATTTATAACATTGATAGTTATGATATGGCTGAAATACTGCCTCACATTATCACTTAATATTGTTTCACTTTCATATCTGTTTCAGTCAGCACAATGGTTTCCTTGGTGATGATATGGATGGCATGCTCGGTAGTTACTACTGGAGGTAAATCAAAGAGCTCTCAATAAGGATAAGTTTTATTCCACACTGACAGGACGCAGGCTCATAAAACATGATTTTCGGGAGTAGTTGCAAATATGTCTAACAGATCATATTCTAATGTCGCCGCATGACAAATGCATATTGACAGTGTTTCTTGTAAGAGTACAATTATCAGTGTTTGACATGGTTTATGGTTTATGTTGAGTGGGATGTACATACAAAGGCGGTTATATATATACTAATCAAAAGAAGTTAAGGATCACCCGATACTTTCATATTGGTAATGTTAATCTGTCATGGCATGAGAGATTAACTATTGTAATATGAAAGAATCAGGTGATCCTTAACTTCTTTTGAGTAGTATATGTAGTTCATACTCGCAGTTGGGACAAACTCGTCTCCTCTCACATTAAATTTACATTGCTCTCATATTCTAAATTATCTAGCTATATTTATATGCCTTCCTACTTCAATTTTTAGTCTATGAGTGCTATGTCAAAATTGTGCTGTGCTTTTAAATGTAAATACGCTAAAATATGAGGATGGTCGGTAAACACAAACGTGAACCAGGCAATAACATAATGAATATTGATTTATCCTATAACGGAGAAATGCCTTCATCAACGAGTGAGTGAGTGAGTTTGGTTTACGCCGCTTTTAGCAATATTCCAGCAATATCAAGGCGGGGGACACCAGAAATGGGCTTCACACATTGTACCCATGTGAGGTGAAAGGGGGGTTGGCATTGTATTGTAAATGTTTCTGCTCTAGTGAATATACTGGACGTATGATTAATATACATGCGGAATACTTTATCCCATCTGCATCCAGGTCTTATGTAAATCCTAAATGCAATCATCATATTTCTCATTTATTTTTTTAGGTCAAATCAACTGTATTGTGTCTCAAAGTCAAATCAGTCAGTACAAAGTTGTTTGGGTAGTATAAGTGTTCGCTACCTTTCAGCGTCCCATCATTTTGTATTTTCGCTGTTCAGGTATAATCAGTTTTATTCCATACACATGTAGGTGCTTAACGTTCGGTTGATCTTTCATAGGAAGAACCCCCAGAATAAACATTTAGGTGCTCGGGAATACATAATCATGTAACTTATTGCACGTACTTAGGTATCTCCTAGTTTTGCTAAAGAGGAAACTTATTTTCCAATTCGTGAAACCATCACATCATGACTGTGATATAACTTTCAGCCACTCCATGCAAGAAAACCCATCACTGTTCAGACTGTAACAAAGGGTCCGGGGATTGCCTCACTGAGTGTGACACGGGGTATTACGGACGTAAATGCAACTCTACCTGCAGCAAGAACTGTAGGAATAACACATGTGTGATCTCAAGCCATGGTAGTGATAACTGCACTGACGGGTGTGTCCCAGGATACCAAGGCATTGGCTGCAACATACCATGTGACAGTCCAGGAGGTAACTGCACAGCATGTCCAGGTGGTTGTGATGGAGGATATTGTCAGTTGAACTCCTCCTGTGTGTCTGGATGTGTAGACTCCTACTACGGGACTGACTGTGGTGAAAAATCGGATATTATATTATACGTCTGGCTGTAATATCATGACTTTCCTAAGGGATGCTTTAGGCGTTTAGGTATATATCCAAACATGGCCATTTTGTTATCATTAACATAGCTTGACGCGATGATATGTATTTAACATCATGAGAGAAGATGGCCCTTTGATGAAACATATTGATAGGACATCACCAGTGAAAAACATATTGACAACAATGATCAATGTCATCAGTCACGAACCTGTATTCATATTACTTTATACCTCATACATATTATAATTATAGTGACATGTTTTGCACATGCGTCTTATCCCTGCAGTAAAAGTAATAATATACAAGTTCAGAATATGACATGATCAGTTATCCGTGGCTGGCTGTTCTTCGCGCACTTGATGTAAGGAAATGAATCAAACTTTCACATCAACATTGGTCTTTGTCAGGTGGTAAAGTGGGACTACATGTAGGGCTTTCCACAGCAGCTTTCGGTTTCATGGCAGTCATCTTCCTGGTTGTGTGCTGCAAGTACCGCCACCGTTTGAGAAAGGACAGGTGAGTGTGTTAGTGTGTGAGTGAGTGAGTGTGTGTGTGAGTGAGTGAGTGAGTGCATGAGTTTGTGAGTGAGTGAGTGAGTGAGTAGGTGGGCGGGTGCGTGCGTGCTTGCGTGACCGGACGGTCAATATGTGTACTACCATTCTGTGTACATGCTTATACTTCAGTGTAACTACATCTGATGTCTGCTCTACTGTATGAACACTGCCTCCTACATGTACACACACACACACACACACACACACACACACACACACACACATATATATATATATATATATATATATATATATATATATATATTTGTCAACTGTACCCTGTACTCTGTAGTTGAACCTACACCGAAACGCCACTCCTAATTGTTATAAAGAAGTTGTTCATCCATATATGTTATCTTTACTTAGTATTCCAACTTCTAAATGGCTTGCAAAGACGAGCTGAGCACAGTCAGCAATGTTCCGCCATTGAGAGTCACAGTTGGACCATGTGCCATGTTCGTCGTATTAACTGACATGGAATCTCCGTGGTTACTGTGACATGGGGTGCCTGACACGCATGTTTGATGAATGCTAAAAAGTCATTGGCTGTAATTTCCTAATTAAAAATATGAGCCTATATATTACAACAACAGAAACCCAGCAACAATATATTTTTGTGGCAGAAAATTCCCGAAAAAAATCAAGTCGTTTTACAGCTAATAACCCCTACAATTAAATCAGTCATGTATCAAATATATTTGACCATTATTATTATTATTATTTAAACATGTAAAACTTTGCCAATATGGACGCATGGCTGATATGAGTAAAGGTGGGCCTTTTGTTAATGACATCAAAGTACATTGTTTTTACTTCTACAGTGTTACCAAGACAAAGGATGGTGTGTGCGACTCTGTTGTCGAGAAGGGCGATGCCTCTGTTGTTGAGCTGGAATGGTATTCTGAGATACCACTGAAAGACATGGCCATACATTGTGGGACATCTAATGGAAGAGGAAGTGCAGCTGGTGGTCGAGCGGATGATGTTTATGACGTTGCAGATGAAGGCAAACGGGAATTTGCTGATGTCGTTGGCAATATTTACTCAAAATTGTCACATGCTTAGTCTCTATTTTGCTCTGCAAAGGTCTTTTGTTAACTAATGACACTGTCTATTCAGTATGACCATTCTTTCATTGATCTTTCCCCTACGTGATAAAGTGGACAGAGTATCTGCCCAGATTGTGGAATGTTGGTGGTTCGATACAAGCATTCGTCATGACGAGGACAAGGGCGGGGAGTCAGTATATTGTCTCTGAGGCTGCAAGGTCCATGGTAAACTGCGGCATGACATCTTAATGAGTTCGCGCTATAAAACTGGAATAGCTCGGGACATATGCATGCACATCGCTATATAAGTGCAACTATCTTGAAAGTAAAACCATTTTTTACCTCATCTTTGTTTGAAAGGATATTGCCTATTGTAGAATATAGTATGATTTGTGTAATTATTATTTACATAACTATAAATATGGAACCATATCCAACCTTTTGTTTGTCCGTGTGTTTAGATATGGAATGATGTTATTTACATGAACAGTGAAGTTGTGTTCATTAAAGTTACCTTCCACTATGTCGTTCTGTATTCAGAATTGGTCACAACGATGCCTTGCATGCCAACAAGATGGAGATGAGATGTTCACGCTCTGTGATTAATTGTTGATTGTCATTTTGAATCAAAGGCCATGGCCGTTGCTCGTGATTTCAATAAACGGTGTGACGGTTCAGTGAGTGAGTGAGTTAGTTAGTTGGGTTTAACGCCGCTTTTAACAGTATTCCAGTTATAACACGGCGTTCAGCTTAATGTGGGAGGAAAGCCCGAAGTCATGAAGGTCTCACCAGTTCGGTGAAACCCACTAGCACGGGTATGGTGCTGGCAAACATAGACTCATAATCGGGGGAAACTGGGATTCGAACCAACAATCATAGGTTTCTGCGTGCCCTGACGGTTCAGTACCAGAGTCGCTGGAATAGCTGCAACGTTAAACAGTCCCTCAAGTTAGTATTGGGTGTACAATTGGAGCGGCCAGCCAGTATTCTAGAAACTGATGCTTCCCCAAATATCTCGAATGATCAAGTCTGTGATGTTTGCAGACAGCAGCTAGTGGTGCACAACTCTAAACGCTCTCTGACGCCGACAGCACTCGACATTTGACTTCAATTATTTGCTGCCAATGAAATACTCATGGTTTAACTAGATGCATTGGCCACAGTAATCGAAATAAAGAGATAACTATACAACAGTTAATATGTTACTATTTGTTTGTACATTATTAATAACTGTTATCCTTGAAAAACATTCCTTGGAACAATGTTGGAGACGTAATTCTTCTCGTGTAGGTGATCACAGCCCTAAGAGTAGCTATGGTAGTTAGTATCACATAAGCACTCCTCGCATATCACCTTGTACGTTTCTACCTCATTCGGTCCTTGTAAACATCTAAACCCGACATCACCTTGTACGTTCCTACCTCATTAGGTCCTTGTAAACATCTAAACCCGACATCACCTTGTACGTTTCTTCTTCATAAGGTCCTTGTAAACATCTAAACCCGACATCACCTTGTACGTTCCTACCTCATTAGGTCCTTGTAAACATCTAAACCCGACATCACCTTGTACGTTTCTTCCTCATTCGGTCCTTGTAAACATCTAAACCCGATATCACCTTGTACGTTCCTACCTCATTAGGTCCTTGTAAACATCTAAACCCGACATCACCTTGTACGTTTCTTCCTCATTAGGTCCTTGTTAGCTTCTAAACCGACATCACCTTGTACGTTTCTTCCTCATTAGGTCCTTGTTAGCATCTAAACCGACATCACCTTGTACGTTTCTTCCTCATTAGGTCCTTGTTAGCATCTAAACCGACATCACCTTGTTAACGGAAAAAATGGCCGCACACCGGTGATGCATGCAGTTGTGGCAGGACAGAAGAACGTATTCAACATGCTTGTGTCACAAAGAGCTGACTTGAAACGGCTTGATGACTCTGGGAACAATTTACTGCACCTTGCATGTCAGGCTGGAAACCAGTGCATCATAAAGTATCTCCTGACCAGATATGACATTAACAGTCATGGGGAAAATGGATGGACACCAATAATGATGGCAGCCCGCAGTGGAAAGAAGGATGTTTTTGATCTTATTGCAACAAAGGGAGGTGATCAATCATTGACAACTTCTGAGAAGGATAATGTTTTCATGCAGCCTGCCATGGTGGTAACACAGCCATTGTCAAGAAGGTCATTGACAGCTTTGGTGTCAACTCAAGGGGACGTAATCGTTACACTCCTCTGATGAGGGCAGTTTGTGGGGGCCACATTGCTGTGTACAAATTCCTGGTTTCACATAATGCTGAGCAAACTCAGGTGGACAATGATGGACATACTCTTCTACATCTTGCTAGTCAGCATGGTCACCTCCATATGGTGAAATACACCAGAAGCTCTGTCGATGAGTTTGACATCAACACTCAAGACAAGGTTGGTTTGACGATCAAGCTGCTGTGGTGAAATATCTGAAACGTGAAGTCGCAGACCTGTCACTGACTGACAACACTGGTGATGATGCATATACCCTAGGAAGCAGACAAATCATAGAACAACTAACACTAGCAGGAGAGATAGATCACAAGGGACAGCCCTTTACTAAAAGAAGTATCTCGCCTGTTTTCCCAGAGAGTACCACAGTCACACCATGGAATATGCTTATGAAGTCACTGGTGAGAGCACGAATGCATCTACTGTAAACATACGACTGCAGGGATCCTGAACTGAGGCAGCTTGACCACTTCAATGACACATTGCTCCATCTGGCCTGTCGTGGCGGAAACAGACAGTGTGTGGAGTTTCTGCTCCAATCCTATGACATCAATGTCCGAGGTCGGTATAACTGGACACCGGTGATGATGGCGGCTGTGTGTGGACATGAGGATGTCTTCCAGTTGCTGGTGTCTCACAAGTCAGATCTCTCTCTGGTCTCAGATAAAGGAGAAGATAGCCTTACTCTAGCTCAGCGGGGCAACAGTAAAAACATTATCACACACTGTGAGACACAAAAAAAGTGTTTTCGGTGAAATGAGAGAAATACATGCACGTTAAATCCCATCTGTCGTAGTGGATTCATATTGCGATATTGAACAGCAATGTGTATCCTGTTCCAAGACTTTTAGTGTTGCTCTCTTGTTGATGTTCAGTACTTTTTTATGATGATGATATAAATCCTGCCGGGGTCCATGCGGGAAGCAAAGGCACTGTAAGTCCCCATGGTCCCCAGTATGGCGATCTCTAGCCCATTTTTATATTGTGTTGTTAATTTGTCCTGCTTTTAAATTTTGCTCAACTAGTTTAAAACAGACTGTGATATTCTAGTTATTGTACTGGCCTTCTTTTATAAATTTGACATGCATGTGTTATTAATGTATTACTTCTCGTCACGACGCCGTGACTCTCATTTCACAAGAGAGCAGTGTTGCACATATGCTTTAAAGTGAAGTGCTTCAATTCATATCAAGTTTCTAAACAAAACTAATGCTTATAATTCAATATATATGTTATCTTTAAGATATCCATATAGGCATTGATTTGAATTTGGGTTTAAAGGGGGCGGGTGGGTGTTATTATGCATTAACAGCTATAGATTGTGTACATATACGTTGGTTTTAGACACTGCTTTATTAAATTCAACGTATACTTATGAACAATGGCTTTGTTGATGCCTCTATCCTTTATTGTACAAACTGTAAATAAGAATAACATGACAAGCAGCAAGATTATGAATATATCCATAACTTGTGTGACAAATGAACACGAGCACTAACTGACAATCGAAAATTTGCTGATTTCTGTACAGAAAAAAAATAATACCATTGCTCTCTCAAGGATGTGTTTACACTCGTTTGCAATTGTAGATTAACGCACTTTACTCAATTCAGGGAATATATTCTCGCAAGTTGTTTTGTATCGATTAGCAGTTACCTTAAGTCTGATTGTGATGCGTGACGTTTCGTGTAGGAAACTTTCTCAAAGACTGACTGCAGGATGGGCGAGAAAGTGAATCGATGCCTTGTGTCTTATGAATTTGCCAAGATACCTTATATATAGCCATCTGTCCATCTGTAAACAGCTTTCGTTCAGGAACGGAATGGCCTGTTAAAAAAATGACATTGATATTTCTTCACTATATGGATACAATACAGCCGATGTGAGGTTAAATGTTAAATTCTGAACATTTGAAATATTTTACATTACGTCTAGCGCATAGTACTTAGTGATGCTGTCACTTCTTTGCCCTTTTTGTTTGAATAAAATGGATTGATTCTTCACAGATCTCATGAACACTTTCTGAAAGTTCTGAAAGAATATTGTCAGACATTGAGAAGAAGCTACAATTCCCTTGTAAGGAAGTTTCAAAATCAGGAGCAATCGTTCATCATGCTACTGGAGGACGAGCTACAGGTCAGAAGATTATAAATCGTCTACAAACAGCTCATATCAATGCTCAGCAGCCACATACCAATGCCGATTATATAGTTCTAGCCCACAGAGACACCATGCTACAGTTTAACATGAACATCCCACCCTGACGACAACCACTCATGATTGAGGAAAGACAAAACACTTACAACATTAAAACCATTTACAATGGCAAATGCCGATTGACAAATTATATATTAGTGAGTGAGTGAGTATGGTTTTACGCCGCTTTTGTAATATTCCAGCAGTATAACGGCGGGGGACACTAGAAATGGGCTTCACACATTGTACTCATGGCGGGAATCGAACCTTGGGCAATAATGTATGCATCAAGGCCAAAAGTATAATGCATATTTTATATTTGGATTTGTCTCGTGATCATACTTTAAATCAAGATACACATTTTTTTCATTATGAAATCATGCTTAAGAATACAATATCAGCATGGATCACATCAATGTCTTCAGAGGTGAGAAGATCTGTCATTAACTGACGGTCTTCGAATGACGAATGTCGACATATTTGGAATCTGTCACTTGAATAATGTCATATTTGGTCAATTGCTTTGCACGATTGATATTGCACGACAACGTTAACTAACAACACCCCTAACGTTATTACATTGGTTAATCCCATTGATTAAGGATGTTCGTACTACCCCAATATTCCTAATTTATTTTTATTTATTCAGTAAAAGAGAGGGGGGCTTTGAAAATTGTTAATTATTTAAATAAAGAATGACGAATGGCGACGTATTTTGCCTTTCGATTGAATTTTAACATTTGGAGCTGAATGACAACAGATCAGTCTGTTTTGACGTTGTAAGTTGAATGTCGAAAGATGAACTCATTCGTCATTTGCCATGTATGCATCAAGGCCAAATGTATAATGCCTATTTTATATTGGTATTTGTCTCGTGATCATATTTTTAATCGAGATACACATTTTTTCATTATGAAATCATGCTTAAGAATACAGAAACAGCATGGATCACATCAGTGTCTTCAGAGGTGAGAAGATCTGTCACTACTGACGTTCTTCGAAAGACGAATGACGACATATTTAGAATCCGTCACTCGAATGATGTCGTGTTAGGTTACTAGCGTTAAAGGGGACTTTAATGTTGTAAATTGAATGACAATTGGCAAAATAATTCGTTTTCGTCAAGTCTTTGAATATCAGTTGTATTTTGTCTTGCAAGTTGAATAATATCTGACAAAATAGTTCGGATTCGTCATTCGAATGAAGAATAAAATAACCTTTCCTCCTTCAAATGATGATAAACGAATGAAGAAAAGACAATCGGATTCGTCATTCAAATGACCATTCACCAAATATTTTCGTCTTTCGTTTTTGTTAATGTGCTTTAAAGTTGTTATTTGAGTGACGAAAAAAATTCATCATTCGCCACGCGATTGTATTTTAATGCTGCAAGTTGAATGACGAATGAGTGAGTGAATATGATTGTATGCCTCTTTTAGCAATATTTTAGCAATACTATGTCAGGGGACCCCGGAAAAGTGGCTTCATATATTGTACACATGTGGGTAATCGAACCTGGGTATTTGGCGTAGCGACGCAATGCTTCATTGGTATTGATGTGCCAACTCGACCAACATACGTACGAAGGTCAACAGGCTATACGTATTGATATTAATGTGCAAACTCGACCAACACAAGAACAAAGGTCAACTGACTACTGAGTGGTAATTGTGTCAACTCAACTAAAACATTAACGGAGGTCAACAGGCTATACTCATTGGTATTAATGTGCCAACTCGACCAACATAGGAACGAAGGTCAATTGACTATGTTTATTGAAATGAATGTGTCAACTCAACCAACACATAAACTCAGGTCAGCTGACTCTACTGATTGGTAAACTTAACCAACACATTAACGTACGTCAACTGATTATACTTACCGCGATATAGCTGTTATACTATTAAAAGCGGCGTTAAACCCGAATCGCTCACTCACTCACTCTCACTGTGTAATTGTGTACCAACTCAACCAACACAGGGACGAAGGTCAACTGACTTAGCTTATTGGTATTAATGTCTCAGCTCGACTACATGGTCTACATACATCAATTATTAGTATTAGCGAGTGAACTCCAACACACAAGCGAAGGTGAACATGCTGTGCTCATTGGTATTAATGTGTCAACAGGGGGCCAACCCAGTAACGAAGGTGAACATGCTATGCTCATTGGTATTAATGTGTCAACATGGTGCCAACCCAGTAACGAAGGTCAACATGCTATGTTTATTGGTATGAATGTGTCAACAGGGTGCCAACCCAGTAACGAAGGTCAACATGCTATGCCCATTGGTATTAATGTGTCAACAGGGGGCCAACCCAGTAACGAAGGTGAACATGCTATGTTTATTGGTATTAATGTGTCATCAGGGGGCCAACCCAGTAACGAAGGTCAACATGCTATGTTTATTGGTATTAATGTGTCAACAGGGGGCCAACCAAGTAACGAAGGTGAACATGCTATGTTTATTGGTATTAATGTGTCAACGGGGGGCCAACCCAGTAACAAAGGTCAACATGCTATGTTTATTGGTATTAATGTGTCAACAGGGTGCCAACCCAGTAACGAAGGTCAACATGCTATGCTCATTGGTATTAATGTGTCAACAGGGGGCCAACCCAGTACGGAGGTCAACATGCTATGCTCATTGGTATTAATGTGTCAACAGGGTGCTAACCCAGTTACGACGGTCAACATGCTGTGCTCATTGGTATTAAGGTGACCAACACAGGCGCGAAGGTCAACAGGCCAAGTTATCGGGAGAAAGGTGACACGCCTCATAATGATTGGGCTGGTAGCTATGAAATTAGTGACAGTATTCCTTTCACAGTATTCCAGTTATATCATTGCGTGTCAGCTTAATGTTGGAGGAAAGGTCTCAGACGTTTACCACTTCGGTGAAACCCACTTGCACGGCTGTGGTCCTGACAAACCTAGAAAAATATTTTGGGGAAACCGGGATTCGAACCCACAATCATAGGTTTCTGGCGTGCCCAACGGACGCAGCTCTGCACAGCGAATCGCACCCCTTAGACGACTAGGCCACCCGGGTCCCCAGATTCGATTACACATAGGTAGTGACTGGTCCTAAGCATATAAATGACTCAATAAAAACTGCTAAATCTCCTTGTCCTTTTATGTGGCCCTCGCTTTGTTTCACATATGTGCAAATGGGGAATGTTATTGCCTTTGTGTTTCAGTAGACAAAAGTTCTGAATTTGATTTTGTATCCTGCTTTTTAACATTTGACTGATGTCTACAATGTGACTATAATGTATCAATATATATACTCGCCGCCAAAAGAAACGCGAACGATAGAAACATATAGAGAGTTATCTACGCCATTGATATGTTTCAAATGCGTGCCAGTATATAACAAAGCAGTCAAGTGTTACCACGGAGTGACTTTGTTCTAATCACGATATGCTACACGTGATTTCCAAACTAAACACGCCAATCCTGCCCGAGACAAATCTCGAGTCATGGATCTATGACGTCACATGTGATGCATTCATGAGCATCGGTTCACACAACATTCCCGTATGTTTGTTTGCGCATGGAACCAATCTACTATCTACTTTCTCTTGAATATGAGCATGTCTTCATATCTTCACATATTAACCATCATACACGACATTCGCGTTTCTTTTGGCGGTGAGTATATAAAGCTATCTACTTTAAGATAAAGTTTTGGTTGCAAAATCATCTTTCTTCCTCGTGTTTCGGTATTTGCATATATCAATAGATTTGATATTTTTTTCTTCCGTCTTAATTCTCATTTTCCTCGTTTGATGGGAGATGAAAATAGTAGTGTGTGATTAATTGAAATGTATATAAAGTAGATGTTTATAGCAGGGCAGTAGGATACAGGAGACAGTCGTCTTTCAGCAATACCAAGTATATTATTATATTTCTTTCTTGAATAATCCGTTCTCCTTCCAAAAATGTCAAAACTTGGGGGGGGGGTGCATTTTGTTCAATTGAGTGTGTAACATATAAAAAAATGTCTGAAAATTACCAACAAACTTGAAGGTTGCTGAAGGTATCAGGAAGGTTTCCGGGGAACGGAAGCCTACACTTGTTTTGCTGTGAATATAGTTTAAATACACTCATAAGACGACGTGTTGACAGTGTTCAAGCTATACGGACACCACGCATCGTTGCCTTCAGAGACACATTTCAAAACTAACATTTGCGTAAACCTTCCTGAAATACTCAGTAAGAAAACATGCCTTATAATGTTTTCATGTCTGGTTTTAGCACATGATGTGATAACACAAGAACGTTTTTTCTTGCATGTTGCCACACCTTCAACCAGCTACACCATGTGCTCAGTGTACTGCACGTGTGTTCATCAGATAATATGTTCATGTGTTTCAGAAAACAAACATGACTGTGCTGACCAACCTCTGCAGCATCTACATGGCTGTGTCGATATTCGGTACATATACTAAACAGTTATGCTAAAGATGTTTTGTTATTTTGCTGCACTATCAAGGCATGAGAATGTCAATCAGAATATCGTCGTGTGTGTCTGGATGTGCAGTCTCCTACCATGGGTCTGGATGTAAGAAACTTTAGAAATAGAAGTGACAAAACCATGTCAATAATTATAAATAAGCTTCTTCCCAAAAGCTGTACGTTTCCCACTTAATCATTAGCATGTGTTTATGCTTGATCCACCCCAAACTACATACCCGCCATGGACATGGTTAGAAATAATAACACTGTGTATGAACGTGCTGTACGTATCAGCAGTTGTTCCCAACTTGGGAGGCATTACTGTAGAGTGACCAGCTCTTCTGGCACATTTGAAAACCATTTACTGGCTGTAGAGTTGCAGGGTAATTATAACATTCAGTAGTTTATGTGATTAATTTAGTTTTCCAGTCGTCCATAGTACAATGAAACTACAAGACAATGTGCATCTTTCGTTTTTTTCAGTGAGGGCGTTAAATCATCAGACAGTTGTGAAATTACTATTTACTAATAGCTTGCACAAAATTATCACCTCTTGGGAATCTGTAAACGTTCGGCTATTAACAATAAAAGTCAAGCAGAAACTACCTTAGTTCTTTATCAAATTGAGTCGATTCACATTTTATTTCTATTTTTCCAGCAAGTCCAAGGAAACACGTTGTAAATGACTGTGAAACTGAAGCTCCTCACAACGGAAAAGCGCCTTCTGGGAGAATAACATTCACTCTGTGTGCCTACCCAGACCATGTAGTAACGAAACTGCATTTTGAAAGACATGGGCCTCCAAAAGACATCACACACAATAATAAGTACAATTACACTATGAAAATGTTAATGTCAAACATCTACGAGTATACACTCACCATTTCCGACATTGCTGAGGAGGACTTCGGGGCGTATACTTTCATCTTTGCTTTCGACGAACGAGAAATTTATATACTTATCATTGCTTCCCAGCCGAAAGGTACGAACTGAAGTATAGATCAATGACTTGTAACATATTAAAATAATTAAGTGTCGTTATTCTTAAGGTATTGCCAAAGGTATGATGCTAAACGACCAGAGGACATTACTAATGGAAACAATATAGCCAGTGTTACGTTTAGGTAGGATGGTTTCTGTTTGATACAACACTCTTTTTTCAGAAAGTACGGATCTCGCCTTTTTTTCTTTTGCCATTATTATCGGGACCTCTGTAGTGTGCATCCCGCTAGTCTTCATTGCTGTGGCCTGCCTCGTACGTTGGAAGAATGTCAAAGGTTATATACTATGTGTAATATTTATTTTGCTCTATGTCGTGTTAACTGTGTGTATAATGACGTGTCAGTAGATGTGATAGATATTACTGTGAGATGTCGTCATTCCTAGGTTTATTAAACTTATTTGCTTTCATTCACGACGACGTTAATAATCATCTGACAAACGAGACTACGGGCTGTTTTCACAAAGCGATCGTAGCACTATTTCCTTGAAGAAACTGAACTCGTAACGTACGTCAGATCACTTCCGCATGTTTGTGATAATACATTATACAAATTTGTCAAAATAATGTACTTCATATTTGACGTTAATATTTCCCTCTTAGCAACTGAAAGTGATTTACTGGAAATGTTCAGCTAAAAAAGGTAATTGAAAAACTCCTTAGCAGCCAATAGTGATTATGTAGCAATCCACAGTCTAAAAAGTACTATCACCACCATCATCTTATGTAATACATCACATTTTCCAAAACTACAAGCGACATATGTAATTAACAGTTGTCTGGATTGTTTAATGACTATTGTTTATTTTTGCAGACTACTGGAATACCAGGTGAGTTCTGGAAAAAACTATTCTTCCACATTTTTTAAAATACTTATATTTAATCCCTGAAGTATTTAAACAAAATAATAATCAGCGGAAAAAAGTTGCAGACTTATTTTTTAAGGTTGCATTAAATATATTTTGAAAACTAATATCAGATTGGAATAAGCAAAACGTGAAATGACACAATACAATCAATCCACAAATATGACTGCCTGAGATAGCGTCTCTAGGAAACATTAAAACCCTATACACACACAATCACAGATGGCATGATGTATTCAGCAAATACAAATTGTAAGGCTTCTGATACAAGCTATATGTAGGGATGTGCAATAACCTTCACGTCTATAAGTATATGACTAATGTTATGTCCTTGTACCCACAGGTGTGTTCAGCCCTAAACACACATACACATAGTACACATGTGCAATAACCTCCACGTCTATAAGTATATGACTCATGTTATGTCCTTGTCCCCACATGTGTGTTCAGCCCTACATGACACCTACACACAGTACACATGTGCAATAACCTCCACGTCTATAAGTATATGACTATAAGTATATGACTCATGTTATGTCCTTGTCCCCACAGGTTTGTTCAGCCCTACATCACACCTACACACAGTACACATGTGCAATAACCTCCACGTCTATAAGTATATGACTATAAGTATATGACTCATGTTATGTCCTTGTCCCCACAGGTGTGTTCAGCCCTACATAACACCTACACATAGTACACATGTGCAATAACCTCCACGTCTATAAGTATATGACTCATGTTATGTCCTTGTCCCCACAGGTTTGTTCAGCCCTACATCACACCTACACACAGTACACATGTGCAATAACCTCCACGTCTATAAGTATATGACTATAAGTATATGACTCATGTTATGTCCTTGTCCCCACAGGTGTGTTCAGCCCTACATAACACCTACACATAGTACACATGTGCAATAACCTCCACGTCTATAAGTATATGACTCATGTTATGTCCTTGTCCCCACAGGTTTGTTCAGCCCTACATCACACCTACACACAGTACACATGTGCAATAACCTCCACGTCTATAAGTATATGACTATAAGTATATGACTCATGTTATGTCCTTGTCCCCACAGGTGTGTTCAGCCCTACATAACACCTACACATAGTACACATGTGCAATAACCTCCACGTCTATAAGTGTATGACTCATGTTATGTCCTTGTCCCCACAGGTTTGTTCAGCCCTACATTACACCTACACATAGTACACATGTGCCACTGGAGAATAGTGATGGTCAAGGCTATGAAGACATTGGAGACTCCAGAGTGTGATTCCCATGACAGTGATGAGGCTGGGATAGCATTGTATACCATTGTGAGTCAAAATGAACAGTTGTGCAAAGGAACATCTGCTGATTAAACTTCATCATATACTAATGCATGACTTAAGTCAACACTGCTGGGATGTACTGAGGCACGAGTTGCTGTCCTCATTGTCGCCGTGATCACAATTAATTGAGATGCATATTTCACTATGTATTTGTATTTATTACCGTAAATTATACAATTCATGTATGCATGTCTTAGTTAAGCATCGGTCAGTTCACAGGCGTAAAAACAATAAACCAACCTTACCACTCCTGTCATATGGTGATTAACAACATGCATACCATTGCCACACACAATATTTCAACAATAAAATATTTGACTGGCTTCCTTGTATGCTATATTATATTATACTTTATAATTTGTATTTGCTATTACTTATTCACAATATCCAAATATGTAATGTTACACTGTAATTTGTACGGTGTATGTATATGACGTACATGATTGTTTGATTGGAGATCACTGCACGTGCTGTAAAGCAGGCAGGTGCAGTCATGTGGATAAATAAAATGTAATCAACGTGAAATACCCTTGTATTAAACCCTTTTATCCTTGGCAATAAAATTAATTCACAGGTAAACTGTTTGTTTTGTGATGCGTTTTACAAATGCGACCGCGACAAGAGAGATACCGAAGTCAGAGTGTTGAGGCATCCGGCTTCCTCGTCAGAAGGAAGGTAAAACACACACATGATGCTCACCGCATATTAGGTATTACCAATCTACGTAGCACAGATTGCAAATGCACACACGCAATGCTCCTTTAAAGGGACGGGACGCCCTTTGTTTGTAAACAACCGCTGATAACCGCTCAAACTTACTCGGCTCTGTTCGCGTTATGCTATTTCTGCTCCGGTGAGCACACCATTGGTGTATGCTTGTCACGTGACCAGACTTGTATCTCGTGTGTAAACAAATGCTCTTGCTCTGAACTAAAGCATAAAGCCTTCCGGTGTTCTTTACATATTTGTTTCCATAAAAAAAATGTATATATGTTACTGCAACTGCGACAGCGAGGTATATGACAATATTGCGTTACACTCTTGGTTATGAAGCCTTTCAAGGATTACTCATTTCTTTGGGATGGACTGCAGTTGACCCATTCCTTTGTCCTGAGACAGACATAAATGGGAGGCAACAGTGTCCGCCTCAGACAAGTGTGTCACTGATGCTGTACGGACACATAATCTTGCCGTATTTCTGCCAACGTTATAATATTGACATATTAGACAAGTGAAAAGAAACTATTTAACCAAAAAATGATGTGGATGAGCCATCCTGCTTGGCGGTAATGGAAGAACGATGCTACCGAGGATGCGATAGCTCACTAGGGAGGCAATTTGAACAGCGACAAGACGTCATTCAATTATGACGTAACTCAATGAGTGTACAGGACGAAGAACCGTCGGCGCCTTCGACCATTAAGCAAAGCATCTTAGAAGTAGCAATCAACAGTCTCCCTGTTCCTACCTTCACAGATATCATAAAATATAATTTATAAGATGCCAAACGACTAGCAGATATGTCATTTACCAGTTAAATAAACTGTATCAAATTTCTATTATTTACCGTTTCAGACTACTGGCATATGACGTGAGTTCTCAGGAAACTCGTACATTTAGTATTTCTAAAAGTAACTATTAATTTGAAAGTAGTAGCACACAACTACTTTTGTTAACTTTAGTTAGATATCATTGAAGACTAACATCGGGAGACATGAAAAGAGTCAATTGAAACATTGCAATCAATGACTGAAGCTTACTTAGGAATGCAATAGAAGATGATTATACGATGTTTTCAATGAATACAAATGCCATTAGCATGTGGATAAATGATACCGATGTACTACAAAATATATTTTTAAGACAGTCAGTAGCCTGACATGTCAATGATTATTTGACTAAAGTTATGTCCTTATCCCAACAGGTTTGTGCAGCCCTACATTACTGCGAATCGCGAATCACGTGTGTCACCGTGTGACATCGATGCCCAAATATACGACGTCATTGACGACTCATGTGTGTGAAAACACCGTTAATGAAAGAGTGACAGAAAGACAACAAACACGTGACTGTGATGGGGTGATATCAACAGTCGTGGAAGCGTTCAACAATGAGAGACTTATATTAGATATACCTAATACTCAGTGGCAGAGAAGGGAGTAGCACCGTGTACCATTGCAAGTCATTGTGCAAAGGTGCCTCTGCTGAAGTTTAATGATATGCTCATACATGAGGTGGCTTAAATCAGTAGTTCTGGAATGTACTGAGACACATGTTCTTGAGTTCAATTTTGTGCTCTCAACATTTCAATTTGTATGTACATTTATTATCGTAACATATGTTATGTATGTGTGGCTTCCTTTGAGGCATCAATCAGTTAACAAACAATGAGATCTGATAACCCACCATATTACTCCTTTCAACTGGTTGGTAACAAAATATATATCCTTGCCACACCCAATATATATCACACAAAAAAATTAGCTTGTTTTAATTTATGTACTGAAACTTCTGAACAATCCATGATGTTTCATCTATCACCCAGAGATAGTTTTGATTGCAGAATAATGTTTGATTAGCTTTATTGTATGACATTATAATGGTGTATATGTTATATTTCTTTTTATATGGTTACAATATCTAAACGTGTAATGTTACATTGTAATGTGTATGCTGTAATATATGTCATATAAGCCATCGCTTGATTAACTATTCACTATACATACTGTAACCAGACAGTTGCCATCATGCTTACATATGTGAACTATGTATAACATGTAAACAAAGTGTAGCCTGATCAATACCATTGTAATGTATTATTTGTGCCCTTGGCAATAACATTCATGTATTTAAAACAGCTTGTTTCGAGATGTTTTACACATGAGGCGGGCACAAGAGAGATAGCTGGATCTGAGCGTGGAGGCAGACTTCCCCGTGAGAAGGAAGGTGAAATACATTTCACAACAACACATGACCGTAAATAACTATCACATTGAAACTATGTCAAGTGAAAACACATAGTGTGATTGCGATCACAATATTTCTATAGGAGACAACAATATAAATCAGCGTATGTGGTGCAGACTAACTAGATTATCTTAATATACTTTTCAGTTACTCGGTTGAAACATTAGATTTGTAATCAAGGATTTGCTGAAGTTCGATTTTACCTCACATTTCTTTTGACATTTTGGCAGTTACACAACTTTGGAGAGTGGGTGATTGTTGGATCAAGTCAGGGAGGATTTTTCCAACACTTAGCACTAAAAACACAGGTTTAAAACATCACCCATCTTCACCTCAGCCAAGTTTCTCAGCTTTGAGCGATCCCCAGCATCGAGTGAGTGAGTGAGTATGGTTTTACGCAGCGTTTCAGCAAATATAGCTGCAGGGGATACCAGAAATGGGTTTCACACATTGTACCCATGTCGGGATTCGAACCCGGTCCTTCGGCGTTACGAGCGAACGCCTAAACCACCAGACTACCCGACTGCCCCTGCAGTAACAGTATATATTGTGGGCAGTTTACTTTAAAAATCCACTTATCATTTTCGTTATTTTGCAATGTGTTTAATATCATAATGCGTGTATAGTTATCTGTTCGAGGATGTATTTCGTATACGTTTTAGGCTTGTTTACATTAAATATGACACGAACCATCATATTAATGAGTATCATAAGGCATGGCTTATGAATTTGTTCAAATATAATATTTAGAGGCTTGCATTTTCCTTAAGATTAGCTTTACTATCAAGGATGAAGAAAGTTGGAACGAAACTAATGGTAATAAATTATACCCAACTACCTTGCGTAAATTAGGAGTGATTGTTCTTACTGTTAGATGAGTGAGTGAGTGAGTTAAGTTTTAAGTCACATGGGCAATATTTCAGCCATAACGTGACTAATACTGTTAGATGAATCAGGACAGAGCGACTATATGTGTTGAATATGACGATGTCAAGCATATGTTTTCTTTTTCTTTGGAAATATCCTCTCTCTCAAACGAAATCGTGCGTTGTGGTTTGAATATAGACAAAAGTCAAGTCTGGTATATTTTGAAGGAACAAAGATTAAGACAAAAAATGACACAACCAGTATGACAGTATTTCAACATATGATATCGACGGCTTTAACAATTCAAATAGCATTAGTGCTATCTCTTAACAAAACGGGACGGTCGGGTAGTCTAGTTAAAGTGTTATCTCGTCACGCCGAAGATCCGGGTTCGATTCCCGACATGTGTACAATGTGTGAAGCCCATTTCTGGTGTCGCCCGCCGTGATATTCCTTGAATAATGCTTAAAGCGGCGTAACACCATACTCACTCACTCACTCTTCACAAAACAAATGCCATTCACTTGGGTCAGTTAATTACTAAGGACAAACGTATAAGGAAGTGAACATCTTATTTTCAGATTTCCAACATCATATTTTGAAATTGCCAAGTGAACGTGTCAAAGATGTTTGAGCAAGCCATGAAGTTCAATAATTGTTTTCTTTTAATCACGATACACGTCCTTTTACCACATTTTACTTTTTGTGTGTAAGTTTTAGTGCTGTTTCCCACCAGTATTGTTGTAGTGTTGTTGTATATTCTCCCGACATGACACGGGTGTTGCAACTCTATGTTTGTATATGTTACTGTGAAAGTTTTTGGAGGACCAAAAAAGTGATACTATTTAATTAATATCAATGTTTCCCTGTAGTAATGTACTACAGGGAACATGAAAGCTGATCACTTGGGACCTCCATACACAACTTTACGCTTTACCGCGATACGATGGGTTTTTCTCCCATATCAAACCGAGCGCGAGGCCCTTTACTCGGTGGTACTTAACTAAATGAACTTTTATCTGTAAGATATGCATTGTTAGATAAAATAAATGACATCTGATATAGAGAACATGAATAATTATAAATGTTGTTGGGAAAATTTGGTTCTGTTTAGCGTACATAAAAAGTACCGCGATTCCCCGAGGTTGCAGGCTACAACGTACAGAGCTATGGGCATGGTGTATACAAGGTCAACTAGGTTACTATATTAATCATCTCCTATGAACCTTGGTTGTATTAACAAAAATATGTTTGCCATGTTTGAACCCTTAATACGCTACTGAAATATTTTTGCCCTGAGAAAACATTTCCTTCTGTAGCAAAATCATATTGATCCAATATCATCTTCCCTATATTATAATGCAGCTATGTTAGTCATCAACAAGTTTAGGTTTTAGTTTCAGACTGGTTATGAGTGTGTACATTTATCTAATCGGATTTTACAAGATGGCCATCATCCTAACAACAGTAAGTATATACATTGCTCTGTATATTGTTAGCGGTGATTTGGGATACCTGCGCTTTCGGTTTAAATAGATCATATGAAGGGAAAGAAATATATAATAAAAATCATGTACACTCGTTGTTTATGTGTCTTATCTGATAGCTCTCTAAAGAATCAATCGAGCAATCGTAGCCATGCAAATCCTAAGATCATATCAGCATTCATGGAGGTATCACATCAGTCAAAATCTTGTTTGTTTTAATATATTGTTTCAGGCGACTGACCCCTTTTCACTTGCATAAAGTGTATATGTACAATGAAACTGTTGTTTATTCTATTATTCAGAACACTATGGGCTTGTTGACGATGCTCTGCGTTGGCTGCTTGACCATTTATTCTGCTGGTAAGGGTGTTAAAAGTATATATTATGCTGTCAGATGGAATTTCAATATCGATTCATGTTACATAATTTGCTGCTTAGAATGATAATTCCACGTTACATAGGGAAACAAGTGGGGTGGGCCTGTGCTGTCAGGTTTTCAAAGGTTTTAATTTCGTAGAATTGCATTCCTCATTTGCGCCAGAACTGCGATTCCATGATTGGAATGATTGGTCCGCTCCGATAGTGATCCTTGGCTCATCAACATCACGCCATTGCTCGATGTAGCTCCACAGCAGGTGCTTGCTATGAAGCACATTGTAATCGTGACTTGTCCTAGGACTCAGTGTAGTCTCAGTGTAACCTCTTTCAAATATAGGTTTGGTTCACATGTGAAATGCTTACTGCTATTGCTTTTGCATGTGACATATGTCTCAAGTATTAGTAAATTATGTAAATATTTCAGCAACCCAGTGCCAGGGCAACCAACACTGTTCAGAGTGTGACAACATAACAGGACACTGCATGAGTGATTGTGACCCTGGATACTATGATCAGAAATGCATGTCTGTGTGCAGCGATAACTGCAGACACAACACGTGTATAATGTCCAACACTGGCAATGATTATTGCACTGATGGATGTGTCCCAGGGTATCAAGGTCCGGAGTGTGGCAAGCCATGTTACAACCCAGGAGGTAACTGTACTGCGTGTCCAGGTGAGTGTGATGGAGGATATTGTCAGCTGGGATCCTCCTGTGTGTCTGGGTGTGTAGAGTCCTACTACGGGACTGGATGTCAGAACTGTTCAAGTGGATGCATGACCTGCAACAGGAAGACAGGAACATGTGATGAAAAACCGGGTAGGTATGATTTAATGCCTGGTTGTAATAAGGTGTGCACGTGTCAGTCAGATTATGCGCTCAATAAGATAGCTTTATATGGTGGTGGGCCTTAAATGTTATGTGAAAAGATGCCTCACAAAGGAAGTATTGTCATAGTACTTAACTTAAAAATACGAGTGACAGAAATTACGTCCATAATCTGCTAACTGTTCTTTAATATGTTCATCTAACACCACAACGACCACCCCCGACCCCCTCCCATTATGTTTCGGTAGCCACAACTGCTAGCTCTCATGCCGGGCACTTCAAAAATTCTTGACAACCATTTGTCCTCCTTCAATATGCTTCTTTCACATCAGGGGGCACGGGTGGCCTAGTCGTCTAGTCGCCTAAAGCGCGGCGATTCACTGTGCAGAGTTGCGTCCCTTGGGCAAGCCAGAAACCTATGATTGTGGGTTCGAATCCCGGTTCGCCCTGATGTTTTTAGGTTTATCCGCACCATACCAGTGCTCGCGGGTTTCAACGAAGTGGTAAACGTCTGAGACCTGCATCATTTTCCTCCCACATTAAGCTGACACGCCGCGGTATAACTGGAATACTGTTAAAAGCGGCGCTAAACCCAACTCACTCACTCACTCTTCCACATCAACTACTTCCACTTTCTCTGATGCCGACGGCTTCAATAAACCCTTCCTGACCTCTACCAGCGTTTTGGTGTGTCTGTGCATGTATTAGATCTCCCACGACCCAATGTGTGAGATCTCCCACTGAACCCATGTTATAGATATCTTACTTAATCTTAGATCTACTATCTACTATCGGGTAGTGGGTTAGTCTACTGAAAAAAGGTTCGCTCTTCATGTCGAAGACCCGTTTTCGATACCCCACATGGCTACATGAAGTCCATGTCTAGTGTTTCCCACATTGATATTGCTGAAATTGCTCACTCATTCACTCACTTACTCTCTCTTAGATCTACACCTAAACCAAGTTCTTCGACCTACAACTCCCCCTATCTCATAGAACTACTACTCCCTTCTTTGATCTACCACTCTCCCTGTATGTAAGACCTACTAACCGCCCACCCTGTAGCTAAGATCCGCAACTCCCTCATTTCACAAACCAGAAACTACCCCATCACTTAGTCCTGCCACTCCCTCTATCTCTTACTCATGCAACTCCATCGGGTCGCTAGCCTACAGTTCCCCTATTTCTTAGATCTATGACTCCCCTTTCTGACTATCCTATCACTATCCCATTGCTAAGACCTACCATTGCCAGTATCTCTTAGACCTACAATTACCCTATCTCTTAAATCTACCACTCGCCTAATATCTTAGTCCTCCCACTTCCCAAGCTCTCTGGCCGACCCCTCCCCTTTCTCTTAGATCCAACTCTACCCCCATGTCATAGACATACAACTTCCCTAATTACTTAGATCTGAAACTCATCTATTTCACAAACCTGGAATTATACTAAGTCTATATCTTAGATCTATTTCTCCCCTTATATCTTGAGCATGCAACTTATCCCCCATTTGTCTAAACCTACCTCCTGTAATATTCTTAAACCTACAATCCTGCATATATCCTACCTACCGCTCCACATATCACTAAAAGAAACCATTCCCCTATTTCTCAGAGCCACTACCAGGTTACATTCATGTGGGATGGGCCCGTGCTGTCAAGTTTTTCAAAGGTTTTAACTTCCTAGAATTGCATTCCTCATTTCCGCCAGAACTGCTAATCGATGATTGGAATTATTGGTCCGCCCCGACAGTGATGCTCAGCTCATCATCATTACGCCATTGTAACTCTGCAGCAGGTGCTTGGTATGAAGAACATCGTAAACGTGACTTGTCCTTGGACTCAGTGTAATCTCAGGGTAACCTCTTTCAAATACATGTTCGCTTTACATGTGAAATACTTTCTGCAATATTGCTTTTGTAACTTGCATATGTTCCAAGTAATAATATTTGTTTTTAATATTTCAGCAACCCAATGCCATGACATCCAACACTGTTCAGAGTGTGACAACATAACAGGACACTGCATCACAGGCTGTGAAGTTGGGTACTACGATCAGAAATGCATGTCTGTGTGCAGCGATAACTGCAGAAATAACACATGCATAAGTTCCAACACTGGCAATGGCAATTGCACTGAGGGGTGTGTCCCAGGGTATCAAGGTCCGGGGTGTGGCAAGCCATGTTACAGTCCAGGAGGTAACTGTACAGCATGTCCAGGTGGTTGTGATGGAGGATATTGTCAGCTGGGCTCCTCCTGCTATTCTGGATGTGAAGACTCCTACTACGGGACTGGATGTAAGAACTGTTCAAGTGGGTGTACGCCGTGCAACAGGACGACAGGATCATGTGATGACAAACCGGGTAGGTATGAGGTGAGGTGAAATGGGGTTTAACGTCGCGTCCAAGATTATTGCACTTATATAGCGACGTGGATGTACGTGTGTGTTTGTGTGGCTGCTTGTACTAGTCCGGACTGATGCCGATTTATAATGCTAGTTCACTGAGATACCATGCCGCAGTTTAACATGAATACCCCACTCAGACACAGTATACAAACTCCGAGCCGACCAGTCCTTGTTTTTGCCCCTTAAGTCCCTTTTCTTCTGACGCGGCCGGGGATCGAACCCCGGGCCTTCCGCTCTCCAGGCGGACGCTCTACCACTAGACCAGGAGGCGGTCGGGGTAGGTATGATCTTATGCCTGGTTGTAATAAGGTGTGTACACGTGTCAGTCAGATTATGCGCTCAACAAGATACCTTTATATGATGGTATGCATTACACGTTATGCGAGAAGGTGCCTCACAAAGAAGGTATTTTCATAGGACTCGACTTTAGAAGTTAAAGTGACAAAATAACGTCCATAATCATAAAGAACGAAATCTGCAAGAAAGTCCCCCTTCAATATGTTCATTTTACACCAACCACGACCACAAGTTCCAAATTCCTACCAATCACTACTCCTCCTTCAAAATGTTTCTTTTTGTCACCACATCTATCTTATACTTGGACCACCTCATCAATCCTTCCGGGCCTCTTACCCTCATTCAATATGTTTCTGTAGCCACAACCGATACCTCTCATGCCGGGCACTTGACAACCATTAGTCCTCCTTCAAAATGCTCCTGTTACACAAGTTTCGACCCCTTTCTCTGATCCCGACCAATTCACCCCTGCCAGTGTTTCAGAGTGTCTGTGCATGTATTAGATCTCCCACTACCCCATGTCTTAGATCCCCTAATATCTCTTAGATCTATTATCTGATGTCGGGGCAGTGGGGCCTTCTAGCCAAACGTTTCCTCTACGTGCCGAAGACCAGGTTTCAATTTCCCACATGGGTAAGCATGTCATCGTATCCCAAATGCGTAGATGTTCATGCTATCAATCACTTGATTGTCTGGTCCAGACTCGATTATTTGACGTAGAGCATCTACTATTTTCTAGACCTTCTTCATATCTTAATCCTACATATCTACAATATCTGGCCCCGTATTTCGTAGACCACCATCACCTCCTCTGTTTATTATGCCTACAGATCACCATGTGCCTACGACCTACAAAACACCCATCTTTTAGATCTACCACCACCCCATTTGGATCAGACCAAGAGCTCCCGTATTATCATTATCACGCCCTATATTTTGGACCTAACTCTACCCCTCTCACTAAGACCAACTTCACCCTATCACTTAAATCAACAACTCGCCCAATTATTAGTGGAACAGCAACTTCTTTTTTCCAGACCTTCTTTATATCATAGTGCTACAACTCCATCTATCACTAAATCAAACCCCTCCCCCTATTTCTTAGAATCACTACTACCTATCATATATATTTTAACTAAAAAACTTAACACTATCCCATTTCTCAGACCAGCCACTCCATCATCTCTTAGACCTACCTCTCCCCCTATATATTAGAGCTAACATCCCTTCCATCTGTTAGACATACAACTCTCCTCATCGCTTAAAACTACAATTCCCAATATATATTTGATCTACCATGCTCCGTATTTCTTAGACTACCACTACCCATATCACTAAAACCAACCACTGCCCCTATCACATACACTCCTTTATATCTGCACCCGTATTTCGTAGACCACCATTACTCCACATGACTCTTTGACCGCTTCCCCTCGCACTTAATCCAACCACTATCACAAAGACCAACCATGTCCCCTATCTTGCACCTACCGCTCCTCAAACTTATTTGACCTACAGCCCCCTTAGTAATACTGTAGGTGCATGTACATACATGAGGGTACTTGAGATGCTTTTCGATGCATAATATGCTCGAATTATAAAACACGTATAACACATATGTGACTTTCACTCTGCTGTTAAGACGAGTGATTATTTGTCAGGAACGAACAGTAGTGAACGCCGTTTTTAACAGTTTTTAACAGTTTTCCAGTTGTATCAGCTTAATGTAGGAGGACAGTCTGAAGTGATGTAGGTCTCGAAAACGAGCACGGGTATGGTGCTGACAAACCTAGAAACATAATCGGGGCGAACCGGGATTCGAACCCACAATCATAGGTTTGTGGCGTGCCCAAGGGACGCAACTCTGCACAGCGAATCAAGGCGCCTTAGACGACTAGGCCACCCGTGCTCCCGGAACGAAGTGTTAGCAAGAACAAGTGTTCATTTCTACACAATATTCCACATTTCAATTTGTGCACACGTGGATTTAAGTGAATTATCTAAAATTCGGACAGACACTACATATGTCGTCAGCGGGGTATGATGTGACCAAGTACGTACAATAGTCGACCTCGCTATGGAAAAGACATGATAGAATGGTGTGAAAATGTCCCATCATTGGATTTATGTTTTTAAGATTATTTAAGATTGTCATCCTTCTCAAATGTTCTTAACAACTACGTAGGTCCGTGAGTTTTGCCCTAAAAATGGTCAACAGCTGCATGTTGCATGCAAGAAAAAAAAACAAACGTCAGTTCTTGTTGTTTCCAGATATAAGTGGGAAGTATGTCCGCATTGGATTACTGGCAGCATCGCTGTTCTTAGTATTTTGCGTCTTTGTGACAATTTATACATCTTTCACCAAATATTTGAATAGAAATCGGTGAGTATGTAATATGTGAATTTGCTTGTAAACGTTGGTACTCACTGATTCCTGTTTTTGTAAACACCATGCTATTTCCAAACAACAGATAATGTATTCTAGTCTAGCAAAATTCCGAATTATGTTAATTGATAAAATACCAACGTAACATCGCTTTTTCTGCGACATAGTGTGTAACATGTTTATCTAACCAGGTTAATCAGATTGATTTCAATATACAATGACTATAACAAATAAAACAATCTTACAGTACAGTAACTTCGTTGAAATCCACGAGCACGGGTATGGTGCTGACAAAAATAGAAACATAATCGGGCGAACCGGGATTCGAACCCACAATCATAGGTTTGTGGCGTGCCCAAGGGACGCAACTCTGCACAGCGAATCGCGGCGCCTTAGACGACTAGGCCACCCGTCCTCCAACAGGATGTTTGAATCCCATTGTCAAATGACATGTTTACTTCTCATCAACTAACCAGATAAAGGTGATATTTTTAGGAGTTGTCATGAGACAAAATAATCATGTTATTTAAAAGACACATTATATATTTTCTTAACGTTATAAGCATTATCTGTCATTGAATTAGGCTGAAAGTGTTCATTCACTGGAGTGAGATATCGATTTAAGTTTTTCAGAATACATTTAGTGTTTCATGAATGCATACATGCACATACTAAGGGAAAGCATCCTAAAAATGTGATAGAAACATTGGTATTGGCCACAAGTGTGAACATGTTTTAAATGTTTCTGTTGCAGGGAAGAAAGACATCAGGAAGATGAAGATATCTATCTGCCAAATGTACCGGCCAGGGAGCGAGGTGCACCTGATGCATTTCGACACTCGAATGCAATGTACAGTGAAGTCAATGAAAGCGAAACGGGTACAGTTGTGGTGTTCCTGGAGGAACGATGCAGTAACTGAAATTGACGGTGTCATTTCGTCTTCGCCAGGCCTTATACGCGTCTCAGCTCGGACTGTATTAGTTTTCTTTGTAATATGAGTCATTAGTGTATGTGTTTGCCTCACAAATTTTACCTGAACCTTGAGAAATGAAAAGAAATTCGACTTGTTCAGTGTCGATATAACTAAATTTTTAGATAGTTATGCTTATCGCTGGTTAAAATCCGTATTAGCTTATTAGCATATACACATATGATTACTCGTTTATAGATAACGTTTCCGTCAAATGTATCAGTCAGATCAGAAGTGTTACTCATTGAGTTTCATCTGATATGGATTAAATGCATACTATCATCAGAAATAATTATGAGCTATGAGTTTGAGTCAGTGTGAAACCAGTTTCATACCTTCCTTTTTTTTCTATGTCATATGATGTTTCCTATATTTGTGTTCTTCCTGTATACTACATGACGTGTGTTTGTTGTAATAAGTTCATATCAGTTAATGAACATCTGAAAAAATATTTGTTGCGGTTAGTATGAATATTAGCATAACACGTTTTACAGAAGCACTGGGCGTCAATAACCTGATATAACTCAAATGCTGCGCTATGTGACAGACTGTAGTGTTGTTCATATGTGAAATGTGGAGCTCAGTAAGAGTTATCTGCCCCTGGTTGTTGCTTGCGGATGTTCGAGATGGGACAGTTTCTAGAAGGCTGGCTGAGAGAGAAGAAGGCGATTCGAGGCCTTTTTTCGACCTGACTTGCGTTTTACCTACTCAAAGGGTGGATACCTTTAGGGAGGTGTGACTACTCAAGGGTTGGATACCTTTAGGGAAGAGTGACTCCTAAAGGGGGTGGCTACCTTTAGGGAAGATTGACCTACTCCAAAGGTGGATACCTCTAGGGAACACTGACCTGCTCAAGGGGTTGATACCTCTAGGGAAGACTGACCTGCTCAAGGGTTGGATACCTTTAGGGAAGACTGTCCTACTCAAGGGGTGGATACCTTTAGGGAAGATTGACCTACTCCAGAGGTGGATACCTGTAGGGAAGACTGACCTACTCAAGGGTTGGATACCTTTAGGGAAGACTGACCTACTCAAGGGTTGGATACCTTTAGGGAAGACTGACCTGCTCAAGGGGTGGATACCTTTAGGGAAGACTGACCTACTCAAGGGTTGGATACCTTTGGGGAAGACTGACCATATCAAAGGGTGGATACCTTTAGGGAAGACTGACCTACTCAAGGGGTGGATACCTTTAGGGAAGACTGACCTGCTCAAGGGTTGGATACCTTTAGGGAAGACTGACCTACTCAAAGGGTGGATACCTTTAGGGAAGACTGACCTACTCTAGGGGTGGATACCTTTAGGGAAGACTGACCTGCTCAAGGGTTGGATACCTTTAGGGAAGATTGACCTACTC